AACAGGGGAAAAAAATCTCACGTTACCTCCGCCGCTGTACAGGACATAACTCTCTTTTGCCTCTGAACGCTCTCTCCCCCGACCGCTGGGAAATCCTGTCTCGCCGTCGATCAGCGGTCGCATATTCCGACGACGGCGCCCTTGTCGATATCCGAACAGTCTTCTTTACATTCCTCCCGTCTGACTTGAGATGATGGCGGCAGCGCTTGATCAACCCCTGTTCGAATCAATTGCGGGCCCTCCCGCGACCGATGCGGCCTCGATCACTCCTCCCCATAGCGCCAACGGCAAGAAGGAGGTCCCCGATGGCGTCCCGTCGGAGCTGTCGGATCTCGAACTGGATCCGAATGCTGCCGGAGCGCCGGATATGCCGTCGGTAGAGGAAGAGGAGGAGGAGATCGAACCGGACCATTATTATGGCGACGGCAAAATCCCCGTGTTCAAGCCAGTAAGTGACCTGGTCCGGTCAGAGTCTTGATAAGTATCCGGCGACATCGGCTGACTGCGGTGGAAAAGACAATGAGCCAGTTCCGCGATTTCCAGTACTTTATCAACAAGGTTGAAAGCTACGGTATGCGGTCAGGCATCATCAAGGTCATACCTCCGAAGGAATGGTAAGTTTGACCGGCGCCATGGACTCCGCGGATATCTGCTGACCATCGCTCTCTTCTAGGTCCGAGTCTCTTCCCCCTCTCGACGAAGCCGTCAAGAAGATTCGCGTGAAGAACCCGATCATGCAGGAATTCCACGGCTCGCACGGAACTTACACCCAGGCCAACATCGAGCGACAACGGTCCTACAACCTGCCCCAATGGAAGGGATTGTGCGAGGAGAGCAGCCACCAACCGCCCGCTCGCAGAGGCGAGAGGCGCCGCAACCAGGAGCGCGCCAACCGTGCTCCGGCGGCCCCCAAGTCACAAACCGCGCGATCCGATTCTCAGAAACGCCGCCCAGGCCCCGGGCGTCCGCCGAAGCGATCGAACCAGGCCAAGGTGAAAGAAGAACCGACTGAGGAGGGACTTGAAAAGATCAAACCCGAAGGTCCGCCGACTCCGGTGTCCCCCGAATCGAATCCGGTCGAGGCGAAGACGGAGGAATTAAGTGACGGAGAGTCTTTGCCTGCGCCAAAGCCCAAGGGACGGCAGCCCAAATCCGTGACTTCGCGGAGGAAAAACAACAAGGGCGATGCGATCGATTACGTGGACGAGGAAACCTTCCGGGATTTCGACTATCGCATCCATGATAATGGAGACTATACCCAGGAACGATGTGAGGAACTCGAAACCGCCTACTGGAAATCCCTGATGTTCAACAATCCCATGTACGGCGCGGACATGCCCGGATCGCTCTTCGACGAGAACATCACAACGTCGTGGAACGTGGCCAAGCTGCCCAACCTGCTCGATGTTCTGGGACAAAAAGTGCCTGGTGTCAACACCGCATACCTCTACCTGGGTATGTGGAAGGCCACCTTTGCCTGGCATTTGGAAGATGTGGACCTTTACAGTATCAACTACATCCACTTCGGTGCCCCCAAACAGTGGTACAGCATCTCGCAAGAGGATGCCCCTCGCTTTGAACAAGCCATGAAGAGTAAGTTCCTTGTCGAACCAACCCATCTCCAGATTATAGGTCGGTCGATGCTGACTTTGATCTCCAGGTATCTGGACCAGCGATGCCAAGAGTTGCGACCAGTTTCTCCGCCACAAGACCTACCTCGTTTCTCCCAGTCTCCTCAAGTCCCAGTACGGTATCACGGTGAACCGGTTAGTCCATTACGAGGGCGAATTTGTCATTACCTACCCATATGGCTACCACTCCGGATACAACCTGGGATACAACTGTGCCGAGTCCGTCAACTTCGCCACGGAGAAGTGGCTGGACTACGGTCGCGTCGCTAAGAAATGCCACTGTGAAGCCGACAGCGTGTGGATCGACGTCGACGAGATCGAACGCAAGCTGCGGGGCGAAGCTACTCCAGACTACTACTATGGCGAACTCGAAAGCGACCTGGACGAAATGGAGGGAGCTTCGGATCTCTTGACTCCACCACGCAGTGTCCCGGAGAAAACCCGTGGCCGGAAGCGAAAGCACGACGGTGAAACCACCAAGGCCAAGCGCATGCGGGTCAATGTGGAGCTCCCGAGAAAGGTCCCCTGCGTCTTGTGCCCCAACAATCTGGATTACGAGGATCTTCTGCCGACCGAGGATGGGGCGTCCCATGCTCACCGGCGCTGTGCGCTGTACATTGAGGAGACCAGTATTCTGCGCGACGAGTCGGGCAAGGAGGTGGTGTGCGACATTGACAAGATCCCCAAGGCGCGGATGGGCCTCAAGTGCCTGTTCTGCCGTGAAGTTCGCGGGGCGTGCTTCCAGTGCAACTTTGGCAAATGCACGCGGTCCTACCACCCCACCTGTGCTCTTCTTGCCGGCGTCCAGGTGGAACAGGGCCTGGTTGGCGTGATCGCGGATGACGGCAATCAGTATTCCATCCCTAGCGTCGATCTGAAGTGCAAGTATCATCGGCAGAAGAAACCCACGTGGATGAGTGGCTGCGAAACGCCCGATCAGGACCGCAAGCTGATCGAAACGGCGCAACGACTGGTGGTGGGAGAGCTGGTGCAATTCCAAGCCGACAAGGAAATCAACGGAGCGGTGGTCCTGGAGAACCGACCGGCGGAGCGGACTTTGATGGTGAAGGTCCTGCCACGAGGGTGAGTTTTTTTTTTTTTTTTTTTTTTTTTTGGTTTTTCCCTTTTCCCTCTAGATGCTGTCATCGTCCCAGTGCGGGAATTTGTTTGCGCATTACCTAATTGGGAACCACGATGCTGACCACCGCCTCATTTTTTTTTTTTTTGTGCAGGGATGTAATCGAGTTACCGTACCGGTGGATGCTTGTCGTCCGACGGAGCAATTTTGCAGTTTTAACACCAGGCACACAGCCGCTGCCTGCCCACTTGGCTCGGAAGCCCGAAGGCCGGAAGGAGTTGGAATCGGCGGTGCCGGTGGCAGGCAATCCATTTGGCGATGAGCGATCTCCGTATCAGTGGGCCGAGTTCGAGACGGTCGACAACGCTAATCCGCGGGCCCCACCATCGGGCAAGGTTGATTTGGACCAGAACGAACAGATCTGGCATTACCTGGGTCCGTCGTCCACCGAGTGTAGGGCTCAGTATACGCACAACCCTAGCGTGGCCGTCCACAACCCGCGGTCGAATTTCCTGGACAGCGTCAAGTCCCTTGGCGCCGTGATGGCCCGACTGCCCTCGGCGTACCCCCACCATCTGCCGGTGCCTTCTCCCTATGCAGTGGCGGCCGCTGCTAAGGCTGCCCCTCCTCAACACCACCACAAGAACCACCTCTCACCTGCCACCGCCACGTCCACCACCTCCGTCTCCGCCGCCGCTGCTGCTGCTGCCGCTGCCACCTCTTCCCGCCCTTCCCTGTTGCAGCGTCCTCTTGCCCCTCCTCCTCCTCGTACCTCCTCTGCTGCTGCCTCTCACTCTGCGATGCCGTCGGCCTATCGATCCCTGCCAACCCAATCTGCCCGCCATGCACCGTATCCTCAATTTGCCAAGTCTCACCAGTCGTCCCCCCACCTTCCTCAGCAGCAAAATACCGCCCATCCCTCCCACCACTCGCCCCCCCAGCAGCAGCAGCAGCAGAAGCCGCACCACCTCCCCGCCAATACCTTCGCCAACGTCCGGGAGCTCGTGGCCCGTCGCCGACTGACCCAGATCACCGACCATGCCAATATCTTCGCCGGCTATACCATCGTCAGCCCCGAGCTGGTCGTTGACTCATTGATGGGACCCATGGGTTCCGTGCCGCCGCCCAATGGTCTGGAGAAACTGGAACTCGCCATGGCCCAGCAACGGGTGCAGTCCCGGGCCGTGGACGGGTCCTTACAACCGGTGCAGCCGCTGAACATGCGTTCCGAGGAGGTGAACCGGCTGCTGCAAATGCTGCGGTTCTCGCTCGTCAGCTACCTCGAGCGTCTGGACGTGCTGCAGAAGAAGGAGTCGGAGAATAGCAAACTGCCGGCGGCCAACGGGAACGGTGCTGCCAAGCTGCCCCGCAAATATGCCTACCTCGAGCAGCAACAGGAACAGGCCCCGACCGTGTACCTGTCGCCGTACGACATGCCGTCGGGGTTCACGGAGCATGCCCAGAAGACCTTCGGACTGACTCCCTGCCAGCCCGAGCTGCCGAAACCGTCGCTGGCGAATGACTATTTCGCCAGTCTTTCGCCCGAGGACCAAGAGAAAATTTTGAAGACATGTGGCAGTTTTGTGCAACGGGCCATCGAGCGGTCCACCAGTCACAGCCGGCAAAGCTCCGCCTCCAACTTCCGATTGGCATCGGCACTGGCCCAACAGACCGAGAACCCCACCATCGATATCACGACGGTCGAAGACATGCCGCTGTCGGGCTTGGACTTTCCCCTGCATGCCGACTCGCCGTGCTCAAGTTTCAGCCGGTCGCATCTGCGGTTCCAGTCTCCCAACGACTTTGCCAACCACGGGACCGAAGTGCACCACGACCATCACGACCTGTTTGGCGACCAGCAAGCGAACACACGGTTCTGGCAGCATTTGCCTTGGGCGGCTGGCGACGGAAACACTCCCAACGAAGAGACCCGGCCGTTCTTCGGTCCTCACGAGCGCCTGAAGCATGACTATGCCTCGTCCGACATCTCGCTGGGGCGTGGCGGACCGGGTTCTCTGCACTCCGTCGACATGGCCGGGTTTGGGATGGACGGAACAGACGACATCTGTGCCGTGCTCAGTCCTTGATCCTCTGGTCACCGTTCCAAAAAGAAGCGTGTTTCTGTATTCGCATGCCGGCGACCCAAAAAGCTGCTGCATTTTTGTTTCCCATGTAACGATTTAACTGGATTGACGACTGCATGACTGGGCGTTTTCTGTTGTTCTTGTGCCTTCCCCGTTTTTTGATCATCACTGTTTCCCTCTTCATCCTCTCTCCCCCCACAGGTGTTTTCCCCTTGTTCCACGACGGAGTTGATGCTAGCTGGCTGGTTACGACTCGGACCGAGACTTGGTGTGTTGCAATCTGCTCTCGGCCTTGTTCTCTCGTTGATATATTTATTGTTTTCCCTCCAACTCTCCCCCGTTGGCGAGGGGGCCTCGAAGATATGGGAAAGATGACGGCGGCGTGGATCCGGGGATGGGGTGAGAGGCCAAATGGCGGTGGGAAAGGACCAGGTGGCAGCCATGGTTGATGCCCGGCTCTGGCCCACTGGGACCCAACGTCTCCTCTCTCTGCCGTCTTGTCTTGGGCCTCGCTCCTTCTTTGTCCTTATCTTGGGTTTCCTTGTTTCCCCCCTTCCCCTCTTCCCTTTCCACCTTGTTTCCATCCATCATACACAAACACCATCCGGGCCTACTTCCGCCCCGTACATTAAGAGATCTCCGAATGTCCAGCACAGCCAGCAAGAAAAAGAAAAAAATCCCCCAGACAAAAGAAAGAAAAAAAAATACCCAATGAAATCAACTTTCACCATCGAACAACCAAGTGGCCTGTCCTGTCTCTGTGCATATATATCCCACCCCCCGTGTACCCTTCCCGATTTGACGTTTGATACCCCCCATTCCCCTGACCATCGCCTGTGCCAACACCTCCCCTCTGACCGGTTATTCATTCTTTGAAACATGATCATGACGTTGATCCTGGCGCTCATCGAGGTCGCCCTCCCGAGGAAGCGACCGAGCATCGATGTGGCAGCCGTCACTCGCCGAGTGACCTGCGATGTATGTTGGAGAACCATAGTCGCTTATTAGCAGTGAATGCAAGAATTGAACTCCATGGGTGTGTCGTAGAATTGTAGATTCATATTTATACGGTCTACACTACAGTCGTACTGTCTTAATAGGGACCTGATCACCGAGTATCGGTTAAGTAAGAGAAATGCCCGAGTGGTGGCTTTTCCCCCGCAAAGAACGGGTCGGAGCGTCTCCACGGGGATTTTGGCTGCAGACTCGCACGACTCGAGTTCTTTCATAGATGGGCATATCCGTACACACAGGGTCCTCCGTAGGGTTCCAGTTCATAGGTATTGATTGATGTTCCGTATTCCTACAACTGGGCCTCCTGCAGATGGCTATAGACGCGCTATCTCGAATGACCTCATGGCACGCAAGGGGGATTAGTCACTGCGTCTTATCAGGGCTATCAGATTATCATTAACCTCGTTAGTCAAGCTATCAGGCAGTAACTCCCTTGGGAAATGCACGTCCAGCGCGGTCTCGGTCCGCGAGGCAATGGGGCTTATCAGGTCACTTGACTGCGGGGGATTAAGGTTTCCTGAGCCCTTCCTTCTGCTGCTCTCTCTTATTGATCGTCATCTCTCGTTCCTCCTGGTCCTTTCTCTCTCTTCCTCTCCTTTATCTTGTCCTCTGCGACATGTCTCGCGAAACCTCGTCTCGCCTCGTTGCTTTCCATTGTCGCTCTCTTCGTTGATCCGGATCTCTTACCTCTGTCTCATTGTCTCGTTTGATCTCCAACCCACACACCATGCGGCAATCCTCCGTCGATGCCAGCGCCGACGCGGCGTTGGCGAGAATGGGTTACAAGAGCGAGCTGCCTCGCAACCTGAGCATGCTGAGCGTCCTCGGACTGTATGAATCTCCTATCTCTGGCGGCCCGCGATCGCTCCCTCCGATTGGATCCCAGCTAACGCCTTATCTCCCCGACACAGCTCCTTCGCAATCATGGCCGCCCCATATGGCCTGAGCACCACGCTGTACATTACTCTCACCGACGGCCAGTCCGTCAGCGTTATCTGGGGCTGGGTGCTGGTCACTCTGATTTCCCTCGCGATTGCCGCCTCCCTGGCCGAAATATGCGCCGTGTATCCGACCGCCGGCGGCGTTTACTACTGGAGCGCCATGCTCTCGACCAAGGAGTGGGCGCCCATGATGTCTTTTATTGACGGCTGGTTGACCCTTGTGGGGAATTGGACCGTCACGCTGAGTATCACCTTTGGCGGCGCCCAATTGATCCTCAGCGCCATCTCCCTGTGGGATGAGACCTTTGTCGCCAATGCCTGGCAGACGGTCCTGATGTTTTGGGCGGTGATTCTCTTCTGCGCGCTGGTCAATATATTCTTCTCTAAGTGGCTGGATTTGATCAACAAGGTCTGCATCTTCTGGACGGCCGCCAGCGTCATCATCATTCTGGTGACGCTGTTGGTCATGGCTGATGATCGCCGAGACGGCGCGTTCGTGTTTGGTCATTATGATGCTTCGGAAAGTGGATGGTATGTTGATGTTCTCCTGATGGATAATGCAGCTGGGTGCTAATGTCTCGCAGGCCGTCCGGATGGGCCTTCTTCGTCGGCTTGTTGCAGGCTGCCTATACTCTGACCGGGTATGGCATGGTGGCGGCCATGTGCGAGGAAGTGCAGAACCCCCACCGCGAGGTCCCCAAGGCCATCGTGCTGTCGGTTTTTGCGGCCGGCGTGACCGGTCTGCTATATTTGATTCCCGTCATGTTTGTCCTGCCCAATGTCAAGACGCTTCTGAACGTCGCCAGCGGTCAACCGATCGGTCTCGTGTTCAAGATGGCGACGGGGTCTGCCGGCGGTGGATTCGGCCTGCTGTTTCTGGTTCTGGGCATCATGATCTTTGCCGGCATCGGTGCCCTGACGGCCGCCAGTCGGTGCACGTACGCCTTTGCTCGCGACGGGGCCATTCCCGGATTCCGCCTCTGGCGCAAGGTGAACCCACGTCTGGATGTACCGGTGTGGGCCATCATACTATCGGCCGTGATCGACTGCCTGCTCGGGCTGATCTACTTCGGGTCGACGGCCGCGTTCAACTCGTTCACGGGCGTGGCGACCATCTGCCTCTCGACCTCGTACGGCGTGCCCATCTTCATCTCGATCCTCCGCGGGCGCCAGGCCGTCAAGGAATCGACGTTCTCGCTGGGCCGGTTCGGATACGCCATCAACGTCTTGACGATCTGCTGGATCCTGCTGGCCGTGGTGCTCTTCTGCATGCCGGTGTCGCTGCCCGTGGACGCCGAGTCGATGAACTACGCCAGCGTGGTGTTCGCGGGGTTCGCGGCCATCAGCATCGGCTGGTACGTGGTGTATGCACGCAAGCACTTCACGGGGCCGCCGCTCAGTGGCGAGCAGATGGCGGAGCTGTCGCCGGTGATGAGCGGGAAGGCGGTGCCGGACGCAGAGAACGGGGATGAGATGGAGGTGGTGAAGAAGTGACGTCCTATAAATATAGCGGATATTTTCCTAGTTTACAATGTATATGATTGATATTGATTCGATATGTTGGCTTCGTCAAAACTCGTTCCTGCGTATGGATCTTCGCTGTACATAAGGCATAAGGCTGATCATCAGAGTCAATGATCGTTCGTCATAACTATTTACTTCCAAGAAAGAAACAGAAAGAGAGAAGTCAAATCCGAAATATCCTCTCAACCTCCACCCTCAACCCTTCCCCTGCTCCTCCCCATCTCCGTCCCCATCCCGCTTTGATATCGACTCCCCCGACACCGACTCACTCCCCTCGGACGAAGCCCCCTCAATTTCCAACGCCACCTCCCCCCTCCTCCTCCCCCTCCGACCGAGACTCTCCCTCCGCTGCATCCTCAACTCCCGCTCCGTCTCCATCAACAACCTCTGCACCGACCGTCGCCCCCGCACATCCGCCTTAACGCACCCATCATTCAGCAGCTCTGTCAGCGCGCCTTTCACTTTATGGTCACAGGTCAAGTCGTCGTGTTTTTCCTGCCGGGGGAGGGCAGTTCCCGTTCCCGTTCCGGCGGTGGTGCTGGTGGTGGCGACAGGGGTGGCGACAGGGGTGGCGACGTGCGTGGGCGTCGTGGTGTACGAGATCGAGCGTTTCGGGGAGTCGGCGCGCGGGCGCAGCAGGTGGGATGGGGGGTGCAGGTGAGGATGCGGATGGGTGTGGTTCGAGTTGAGGGTGGGGATTTGCGTCGAGGAGAAGGTTGGGTGGATGTTGGAGGATGGCATGGTTTGTAGGTATATACCTGCCCCTGGGTAGGAGATAAGGTTGTGGACTTCAGGTATAGATCGAGGTGGGTCCGATCAAGACTGACTGACTCTGTAGGTAGGGAAGTAAAGTGGATAATTGAATGACTGACTGATCTTGATACAGTGCAGTGCAGTACTGACTGCAGAGGAATAAGTAGAAGCAATTGAAATCGCATTTATATGCTCCTCTCCTCCATCGAATATCGGATTTCTTTGTTTGCGCGGCCGGTAATTTTGACGTCATGCGAGCGCAAGAGGACGTTGGTGGTGATTGGCTGGGTTCGATCCCTTCAGGGACAACTTTCCTTTCATTCTTTCTTTCTTCCATGGTACTTGCATCCCTCCATCGGATATCTTCGTATACATCTACGATACATCACAATCCACGTCATTTTTGCATAGTTGACGTTGCCGCTGGTACTCTCTGATAGGTTTGGATGGCTAGGGCCCGGTGTGATTTACATTCTAGGTCATTATGCAGCCAAGGAAGAATGCCTGTGGATTGTTTGTATCCTGCGACCATCGAACCGTCTTCCATGCGCTCTGTGCTGGTGGCCAGAAGACCTAGATCTGATCCTGGCCGCTTGTCTTGCATGGTCAATGGAAGCTGGCCCTGCACCCTGCTGGTTTCAGGATGAAAGCGCAGACGGTCATCTGACGCTGCGCGTTTGGTGATGCAACGGACAAAGAACGGAAATCTTCCATTCTTATGACCAACCCAGAATCTTCCTCTTGTTCTCTTCAAGATCAAGACAGTCAGCAGATTTATCAAGCAAATCTCATTGACGAGCAACCAACTCGACAGTATCAACTGGGCTCATCTCATCGACACTCTGATATGAGAAATGGGGTGCCCTGAGACTTCTCAGAGAAGCTCTCCGTCGGTCATTTCAACATTATCCGTCGACTAGATTTCGCGGATGAAGTGTCCTGGGCTGTGCGTTTACGGATGTCAGAGTTGATGGAAGAGGGCATGGTCTGCCATACAGGTGATGGCATCAATCCGCTCTACTTCTCTATATCAAACTCCAGACAGCGGTGTCCTTACATCGGACCGTGTCGACCGGATAGACGTGGAGTCGCATTCTACATCAGCACGAACCCTGGCGATTGAGCAGATCGAGCCTAAATCCATGGTGCAAAGTGTGAACAGAAGTTGGAAGGCTTAGATCAACCTGACCCCGAGATCTCATCTCGGGCGTTGCTGTCGTGCTCGGGCTGGGCGTACGACATGCATCAGCCTCGGTATACGCCAGAGTGGATTATTATTATCGCGTCTCCTGCATCGGATAATTACTTGAAAAGCCCGGGATAAGAAGGAACGCCGAGAACTGGTGACGGGGATTGCGAAGTAGAAATGCATATTTTGGTGATCCGCCGGGTTTCGCTTCGAACTACTCCGTAGACACGCCAGTGGAGATGGTGGATACCCTCACATTTTGCCTGGAGCCCTGTAAGTATCGTATGATAAGAGCGGGAAACATCATTGAAGATGATTTCATCTTTGTTTACAATTCAAAAATAAAAGAAAATAAAGATCAACCGTGGAACTGCTGCAGAGGAATCGGCGAATACCCGACAATCACAGGGCCGGCGCATTCAGTCCGACAGCCGCGGTCCAACGAACTGTCAATCAATCCATCAACCAAATTTCCCTCTTCCTCTCCACATCCCCGACTCCTCGCGACTCCCTTCCGTCTCCTCAATCCTCCGCCGTCTGCTCCACCGTCGACTCTCCCCTGATCTGTCGTCCCTTGGATCCCTACTCGCTCCTATCATCTCCCCGCCCGGCTCCAACCCGTCAATCCTTCGCCGCCGGCATCGCGTGTCTCAGCGCTGAAATCCGGGGAAGTTGCTCCATTCGGCATCCCAAGATTCCAAGATTCCGGTGTCCAGATTCCAGATTCCAGCCCTCCGATCCAGGGCTTCCGCTCACTCCCTACATTGCATGCGCCGCTTCCATTGATCCCTTTCCTCTCCTGCCCCTTATCGCTCTGGATTGGTCTCGATGAAGGAGCCCCGCGCATGTCGCCCGATCCCGATCCTGCTCTGATGAGGCACGCGCCCAGCCAAGTCTTTCGATCAAGATGTCGGACTCCGTGGGTGTGTGCTCTGGTCCTCTTGGTGTACTGTCCATGTCTAACTGTCCCCGGCACTAGATCGAGTCTTCGTGCACGCCCTGAATACCGTCAAACGCATTCCGCGCACCGGTACCGCTCGGCCCCCTGCTTCGGAGCGACTGAAGCTCTATGGATTGTATAAACAGAGCATGGGTGTGTGCCTCCGCTCCTTTTCTCGACATACCCCTATACCCGGAGATGGTCGCTGACTTGGTTTTCACGCGTCTAGAGGGCGATGTCGAGGGGGTCATGGACCGACCGATCGGAAACACCGCCGATGTTTACGCCGAGTGCGAGAAATGGTACAGGCACCTCTATCCCTCTCCGGAGTCAAATATCCCAGGAATCTGACAAGTCCAAACACTCAAACAGGGACGCATGGTTCGCCCAACGAGGTCTCTCCCGAACCGAGGCCAAACGACGCTACATCTCCACGTTGATCGACACCATGCACCGCTACGCATCGCAGACCCCCGAGGCGCGCGAACTTGTCTCCGAGCTCGAGTTCGTCTGGGACCAAATCAAATCCAACACCTCCTCTGTCTCCTCCACGTCGTCGCCCGTCAACGCGGTGGGCGTGCCGCCCTTGCCACAGCCGAGTTACGCCAGCATCAGCGGACGGTTGGCACGGTCCGAGTACGAGAATCTGATAGCCGCAACGGCTCGCGGAGACTCGAGACTTCGCGTGTTGAGCCCGGTCAGCCAGCCGGACGGGGTGTATCGGCGGCGCGGGTCCAACCTAGATCCCGGGTCCGGGTCGCATTCGCAGACGCGGGTGGACGATGACCTGGACGACGACGAGGACGACGAGGAAGAGTACGCGGAGGCGCAGGATAACATCTACGCCGATGATGACCATGACGACGATGACGACCAGCATGACCATGACCAGGACCCAGACCACGACGGGGATCAATCACAATCACACGATCACCGCGCCGTCTCCGACTACACCAGTGAGCCCGAACACGGGCACCCGCAACGGCGATCGCGCGGTCCGCCGGACAACGACCGCCGATGGCGCCGTCGAGTCGAGCAGGCCTTGACCAACATGACGGCGGAGATCGCCGCCGTGCGCGAACAGATGGAGACGCGGGCGCTGGCGCACCGGCGGCGCACCGGCGTCTGGGCGTGGCTCAAATGGCTGGTCTGGGTGAGCTTCCGCCAGATCATCTGGGACTTGGCCCTCCTGGGGATGGCCCTGATCTGGATGCGACTGCGCGGCGATCGACGATTAGAGGAGAAGCTTCGGGTGGGATGGTCCGAAGTGAAGAGTCGATTGGCGCGGTTCAAATTCCTTCGACGAGCCCCGGTGCATACATTGGTTTAGCTTAGATTTCTTCTTCTCCTTCCTGATGGTCTATTTGTTTCGGGCGGTTCAATCTTTGAGGTGTCTGTTGCCTCCTTTTTTCCCTTTCCAGTACATATGTTTCCCCATTCCTTAATCTCTCTGCATTTGCTTGGTTACTGTTTCTTGGTCCGATACACCGCCTGTATCATTCAACTGTGCATGCATGATAGTGCATTTCCTTTGTTAGTTACTTAGAGCCTGTATTCTAGGAATAGAGTCCTGTTCCGGTTGAACAAATGCAAGAACATATCCATCCTGACAAGCCAGACACGGACAAGAAAAGGGAAAAGAAAACCTCTAGAATTCCATCCTACTAACCAACTGAACCTACCTAGACAAATGCTAATCATATATACAAACAACGACAATAAAACGGACGAGTCCAAGCCCGTCCAGTCCAGTCCAGTCCCCTCGAATTCGATTCCATTGAATTCCATAACCATCAAGGTAAGCAGACCGGTACAGGTACATATCATACCATATCAAACCAGACAGCAGATAGCAGATAACCATAAAAAACATAGTTTAAGATAAAAAGTTACACGGGCCCTTTCGCCTGACAGGCAGATCTCTCTAGATTCATTCTGTTTTTACCCTCCCTGCGACATGCTGCACTCAACGTCGGGCTTAGAACTGAGGACCAGGGTATTTGGAGAAGATCTGCTTGGGGCGCAGGTGCACGGGGACTTGGTTCTCGGGGGCGCCGGGGATGGTTTTCTTGAGGCCCTGTAGAGAATGGGGTTAATGGGTGTCGCTGGGATGGTTAAAAGGGCGGAGGGAGCGTACCAGTTTGTCGAAAACACACGAATTCAAGTCCTGCTCGGCCTTCCGGCAATCCCACAGGTGGTGGTTGTGGTTCTCGAGACACTCCCAGTGAGCCGTGAACTGCTTCAAGCAGTGGGTGTTGATATCCTTGATGCTGTTTATTGTCAGCTGCCTTCTCTCTCTCTCTCTCTGTCTCCCGTGCTGCAGACATCCGTCCCCGTCCCAGAGACAAGAAACTGAAAGATAAAGATACAAGGAAGAAGGAGAACATACACACTAGCCGCACACCTCGTCACCTTCCTCCCCTCCTTCAAGCACTCGGTCTCGCCCTTCCCGTTGGCCTCCATCTTACACTTCATAAAGTCATCGTTGTAGGCCTTGCACCGGTCGCCGATGAAGTAGGCCGCGCTGGTCAGCGGCGCGCTCGTGGCCCCGATCTCGTCCACCTTGGGGATATGCGCCGGCATGGGCGTGGTGTCCACGAGGACATGCTGGTTGAACCTGTTCCGTGCGGAATGGCATGGTTAGCAAGCGCGGTCTTCTCTTCGCGTATAGGTTGAGATCAGTCCGCCGCGGAGGAAGGCTTCAGCTCTAGCTTCAGTCCGGCCCCGAGCTCGGGGGTCCTCGTCCTTGACAGTCCGTCCGACAGCTAGGTCTGCGTCCCTGGGCTTTTCGATAGGTCGGGTGGATTGGATGTCGGTCCCTGGGTTCGCTCGGGGACGCGGAAGGGGGCAGGGGAGATGGAGAGGGGACAGGGATGAACGTACTGGGGCTCCCGGGTCGCCATGATTGCTGGTTAAGGCCAATTGAGGAGGAGGGGTTGAGGTGGAGGAATTGGGGGTGGACGAGGTCGTGAGGAGGAGTGACGGATGGGAATTGGGATGTCGGCTTTGGTCGGTTTTTGCTTGCTTGTGATTGGCTGCCGGGGATGGGATTAGGTAAGGTACGGGATTATGCCTGAGGCGGGAAGGTTGCTGTGTTGGATTATATAATTATGCGGGTTATGCAATCTGTGAACTATGGGCATCAGAGCAATGATGTGGTTATAATACGGATGGATCGAGCAGATTCAATGGCAATTGACGACTGAGGAATAAAGTGTCTATTTTATAAGATTTACTGGCCCTTGACACCTTAAATATGTGATAATCGCGGCGTCTGTTCCACCCTGCATGGGGATACATTTGCAAGTAAGGGTCCTACGTTCACTCCCAGTTCTCTAACTGTATCAGCAGTTAAAGTACCATCTTCGGGGCCAAAATGAACTGCTTTGGTGGATGAAAGAAGAAATCGAATGAAACTGCAGAATAACTATAGTTGGTTATCAGAGCATTCGATAAGATGAACCCGCGCTAATCCCTTCTGGTAAGCACCTGGGCAGCTCTCACGTGACGGCAAAAAACAAAGCAGCGGCCGTTTATCACAACAGTCCGACTGCGACAGCGCTGTTGCTCCTCCACAAACCCAACGGTCTTGCTGCCCCGCGATGTCGCTTTGAGCAATTGGCCTCCCCCCAGATTGAACTTTGGTGCAGACTCAACAATCTGACTTTGGGCGACCTCTTGAGCCATAATTCACCACGCCCTACGCCGACGTCAGCCTCTGAATTCTCGACGTCCGTTGCTTGAACGATCCTACGAGGTTTTCCTTTCTCCGGCATTATACCTACGAGAACCGCCTCGTTCTAGCGAGTCCATTCTTCGTCGCGCAAATGTCGCTCTTCGGAACTGGAACCCAGCCTCAGACGGGCGCGGGCGCCAACCCCAGCCCATTTGGAGCTGCCGTGACTAAACCTAGTCTCTTCGGCAACACTGGCACATCGGGGACAGGCCTCTTCGGTTCGAATACCACCGGAACTGGGAATCAGCAGGGCGGTGGTCTTCTGGGAGGACAGTCGCAGACTCCGCAACCTTCGACAGGAGGTGGTCTTTTCGGTTCAACCCCAACTCAACAACCCTCGTCAGGAGGTGGCCTTTTCGGTTCAACGGCCACTTCTCAACCTCAACAGCAGCAGACACCCGGCACGATCTTTGGGTCGGCGACGACCCAGCCGAAACCCGGTGGATCCTTGTTTGGTGGCCTCGGAGGAGGTCAGCAACAACAGACTTCGAGTCCGTTCGGAAACTTGGGCGCAAGTAACACGCAGCAACAAGCTCCGCAGCCGAGCTTGTTCGGGGGCTCATTGCTTGGAGGTCAGCAACAGGCTGGCCAGCAACAGCAGCAGCAGCAGCAACAACAACCCCAAGCACAACAGCAACAGCAACAGCCTCAGTTAGGGCAGACATTAGGACAGCAGCAGCAGGGATCGAGTCTCTGGTCCCCCGGCCGTGCGGTCACCGGAGGTAAGCGACCTGACCTTTTTCCATACTCGCTCATGGAAGTATGGGACGCTGACTCAAACAGTACACCGAACCGTTCCGATGCAGATGCAAATTGTCCGAGAGAAATGGGACGCCAACACTCGCTCTTCCCCCTTCCGAACCTACCTGTACAACAATGTCGGCGAGGAGGCAGCGCCCTTCTACCAGCCAAGCGCAGATGATGACGATACAAAATGGGAGGATGCTTTGCGACAGAGACCTGGGTCGGGCTATGTACCCGTCCTTGTAAAGGGCTTTTTTGAGCTGGGCAAGCGAGCCCAGAGACAGAAGGACTTCCTTACCATGATGCAGACCCGTCTTCATGAAATCAACAACTGCCTCACCGACTTACTGTCCCGACATGACCTCAAGATCTCCGTGAAAATCGCCGACTGCCGCCGCAAACATCTGGTACTGAGCAAGCGCTGCCTGGCCCTCGCTGCCAAGACCCAGGTCCTACGAAACAGAGGTTATGCGATGGATGACGCGGAGGAGGAATTGAAGAAGAAGCTTGCCCAGCTGGAACGCTCGGTCTTCGACCCCTCGTTGAATGGACGTGCCGAGGAAATCTGGGCCAGAATGCTCGCTATTCAAGAACAATCAAAACGCCTACAGACCGAGATCGAGAGGGCTGGCCCGAGTGCCGCAGCCCAGGTGGACGACGAACTAGACGAGAATACGATGAAGGCTGCCAAGAAGGTACGCATTGATTACACCTCTGTGCTGCGACATTTTGCTAATTACGCTTCTAGATATTGGACGATTATCATACCCAGATTCAGCACCTGCACAAGGAAATGGAGTCGGTCAAGAAGGACCTCGAGGAGGCACAGAAACTCCAAGGTCGGGTCGGCTCCTAGTCCTTGTCGCTCTCCAACACGCGAGAATCTTCGACTTTTGGCGAGGTGGTCTTTGGCTTATGGTTGATGTCCGGAGCAAGGAGTTATTGGAGCTGGGATCTGCAAATTCACCGCGTTGGAGACCTCATTTACTAGAGTAGAACAGCAAGACCAAAAGTGGCACTTTGTCATTTTCCCATTTAATATCCGAAAAAGAAAAAAAATACGAATGTACAATATTAATACATCTGCCGCTCTCTAGGCATGAGAATAGACAAAGTAACACCATCTAGCTTCCGTCATCATGTTGCGAGCCCGTTATGCGTTTAGAGGAACTTCTTGACGAAGTCGACGGCGAAGGGAGCTATTGAATGGTCGTCAGTTGTGGTTTCTTGTATATTGTTTGAAACGAAAAAGGTGTATGTAAACCGCTAAAGGTCGACTTACAGAGGTAGAGGAAGACAGCGCCGGTGATGGCCATGTTGACGGTCTGGCAAGCCTGAGCCTCACCAGCCTGGAAATCATCAGTATATGCCGTAGAATATCACTTGTTATGAAAGAAGATATCGAGTCGTCGTAGGGAGGGCAAGCCGGAAGGTCTAATTACCTTGATCTCCTCCTTGGAGAGCTGTTCTTGTCCTAAACGAAGCATTAGTACCTAGTGCCCAGCACCCAACAGGTCTGGGGGTATTCCCCAGTCCTTTGAGTAAGCAGGAAAACTCACCCGGAGCGAACATTGTGTATGGATATGTGGAATTGAGGAGAGTGGGAAAACAAGGAGATATGAAGAGGCAGGATGAGGTGAAGAGATGATGATGGTTCGTTGGTCTGCGAACTTTCAGAGGCTGAGATTCTGCCGGGCACGGACCACCGCGGAGGCGGAATTTCTGCGGCGGCCTTTGTCGTCGCTGCGACCTGCTCTCCTCGACTTTCCTCTCTTCGCCTCACTTTTCTCCTTGTTCCTTTCGCCTTCGTCTCGTCTGCTTTTACATCATTGGGTGCTACAGTAGCTCTACTGGATCTTGAATTTCTCGCTTATCTCACTTCGATCTCACCCCTCGATCATCTCTGCTCCGTGTTCGCGCAAGCACACGGAGCGCCTTTCAGCGCCGACCCCCCATCCCCAACTTGACATTTGGACCATCTCTACCCAGCAAACATGTCGGCTAGCCCTGAAGTCAAGCCCGACTCTCCGGCCGCGGCTCCCAGTCCCGGACGCGCCGACGACCACGCCCAGGAAGCCACCAAGGCGCCTACTCCTGACGCCGGCGACGAGGACGACGACAAGCAGGCCGCGCCAGCCGACGAAGCCAGCCCGGACGCGGGCGATGCCCTCGACGACGACGATGAGGAGAAAGACGGCGGAGGCTCCGACGACGAGTCGATTCTCTCGGAAGTCGACGAGGCGCAGTTCGAAGACTTTGACCCCGAGAACGTGGATGTCGAGGACCGTCCGCAGCTAGCGATTGATGAAGACAACCTGAAACTGATTGGTCGGCATAAGCGGAAGCGTGATGGGGAGGGTGACGGCAGCGAGAGATCTCGACGGAAGAGGGAAGGTCGGCGAGAGAAGAAGACTCGGCGGATGAAGGAGCTGGAGGAGGGCAGTGATGGCGAGGGATCGTCTTTGAGAAGAAGAGAGCGGAAGAAGAAGGAGGTAGTGGTTGAAGATGAGGAGCTGCTGGACCCGGCGACCCGTATGTTCTACGTCCCGTGTTGCCCTGGGAGGATGATATGGTTTGATATGATGTCTAACGGTAATAGGTCGTCGACGAGCCCTTGATCGTGCTATGGATGAAGCACTGAAGAAACCCACTAAGAGACGGATGCGCAAGCAGGATGGTATTGTATGTTGTTCGCCTTCTCCGATAACGATACTTGGTGCTAATGACCCTTCAGGATCTGGAGCAAATGGCCGATGCTGAGATCGAGGATATGCGCAAGCGCATGACCCACGCTGCACAGTTGGATGCGATTAGCCGACGTGAAGGCAACCCTGCCATGCACAAGCTTAAGATGCTACCGGAGGTGGTCTCGCTTCTCAACCGGAATCAATACGTTAACAGTCTGGTCGACCCCGAAATCAACTTGCTAGAGGCTGTCAAGTTCTTCCTGGAACCGCTCGATGATGGCTCTTTGCCCGCCTACAACATCCAACGTGACCTGATGAACTCGCTCGGCAAACTCCCCATTAACAAGGAAGCCCTGATTGCTAGTGGTATCGGAAAAGTGATTGTCTTCTACACCAAGAGCAAGCGCGCGGAGCCTGGTATCAAACGTGTGGCGGAGCGTCTACTTGCGGAATGGACTCGTCCTATTCTCCAGCGCAGTGACGACTACTCCAAGCGAGTATATCAAGAAGCTGCCTTCGACCCCAGGTATGTCTACTGTCCGCGACTACGGAGACGGCCACGGATACTGACTTGCAATCCCAGAAAACTCACCTCTCGTGCCCCTTCGGCACAAGCCACTGCTGCGGAAGCCCGAGCTCGCGAGCTGCTGCCTCCTCGACTGGCCAACCGCGCCCGTGCCGACATCACACATACCAGTTACACCGTGGTTCCCCGTCCTACGGTGGTACAGGAGAGCAAATTCGCTCGTCCTCTGGGAGCCAGCGGAGAGGACCGATTCCGAAAGATGCGGGCGCGCCAGATTGCAGCATCGAAGGGATCGGGATCGCGGCGATGATTCAGGCCGACTGGATAGTGCATTCGTTCCTTGCTGTTTTCCTTTTTTATTTATCTATTTCTCTGGGATCCAAACCTGCACTGTACTTCTGCTCCTTTGTCATGTTATGAAAGTCAAGGCGTCCGGTTGAAATGGGCGTGAATAATGTCATCATTGAAAAAGTGATTAGTATATGTCGGTCGTAATTCGGATTATGCAGTCCGAGGATAATCCATCGCATCTCGATTTCTCCTCGGGAGGGTCTGACGGCGCAAGTCTGAGTCAGCGGCTCTCGTGCGAGACGTTAGTCAGCCGCGACTCCGAGTTTTTGCCGCGAGTCCCCGACGGGGAATCCCGTGCATCGTACGTCACCGGGCTTTGCTCGCCTTAAGTTCCGATTATCTCCTGCCTCGAGTTTTTCTCTTTCTTATCTGCTTTTCTCGCCGCTTCCTCGCCGTATATAATACCTGGACTTTTCTTTGAACGGCCATTGCTCATCTCTCATCACTCCCATCTCCACCCTTCAATTCACCAACTCCACCACCTAACCCACCATGAAGCTTCTCACCAAGGAAGAAGAGGATGCCCACTACAGGTTCGTCCGCCCCCTCTCTGGCCCCCTCAATTCCCCCAATCTCCCCCCTTACGATTCCCAAGAACTAACATTCCGACCTCTTCACAGCTCCGTCGTTAAAGGCGGCAGTGTCGGTACCGCTCTCGGTCTCGTCGGCGGTGTCGCGGGTGTCATGCTCGCCGCGCGCCGCTACCACACCATCCGTAACCTCACGCTCCCCATGAAGGCCTTCCTGGTGACCTCGTCGGGTACCTTCGTGGGTATCATTGCCGCAGACCACGCGTCGCGGTCCTTCGAAGCCGAACGCAACCAGCAGATGCAATGGTACGAGAACCGCGAGCAGCGGCTGCGCTCGGAGGAGCTGGCCCAGCTGACCATGACGGACCGCGCGCTGCTCTGGGCCCGCCGCGAGAAGTACAAGATCGTCAGCGCCACCTGGGTCGCCTCCATGATCGGCTCCTTCGTCCTCGTCGGCCGTAACCCCTACCTCTCGGGACAGCAGAAGATCGTCCAGGCGCGTGTCTACGCCCAGGGTTTGACTCTGGCCGTGCTGGTCGCTTCGGCTGGGTTCGAGATCTCCGACCAGCGCAGGGGCAAGGGCATTCTGGATGCCTCGAAGGAGCAGAAGAAGAAGCAGGCGGCAGTGGAGCAGGCCCAGCAGGAGGAGTCCGCTGAGAGTGGCGGCGACTTGTGGAAGGATATGGTTGCCGCCGAGGAGGAGCGGTTGAAGAAGAAGCATGTGTCGCTGTACGAGAAGCACGGTGAGCATGGCCACGCCGATGCTAAGGAATCCGCTCCTGCTCCTGCTTCTGCTCCTGCTCCCGCCAAGGAGGAGACTCAGTCGCCGGCTCCGGCCACTGAGGAAAAGAAAGAGAATTAGACTTTCTGGCATTTCTCTTCCGCAACTTCCTATATTCTCAGTGTCCGATGGTGAAAACGGACAATGTCCAACCCAACACCCTCTGGTTGATGTTTATTGTCTAATTGCAGGGAAAAGTGCTCGCTTTCCACTTGGGATATAAACCGTGACATTTACTTTTTTTCTTTCATGTTTTGCGTGGCGAAAACGGCGTTCTATTCTTTGGATTGTACAGTTGGTACGGTATAAGTACACTGGATGTACGGTGGTGTACATTTTGTATATGTCTATGTCTTAGATTTACTTTCTTCTCTCTTCTCATCTCCTCGATTGAAACTGAATGACTTGTTGATGATTGACCCATAGCGCTCGTTTCTGATGCCTCTGGTTCATATTTTTTTATTATTTTAACCAGTGGTCCTTGAACACGCATTCGTGAAGACTCCCCGATAACTGCATATCATTATGCCAATTAAGATGGATATATACCCGCACCTCAGTAACTCAGTATATCGATGAAAGATTGGGTATACTCCACTCAGATCGGCACGTGCCTCATTTTCTCACTCTCGACATATATAAGATCTAAAATCTAAGAATAACCCCAGGAAAAGATCTACCGAGATCGACAGATGGATGCCTGACGGTGATGGCTGCGACTGACGGAGAAGGCATCCGCTACTTGGCTCTCGACGCCTTACCGGGTTAGGGATGGCGTCTTGGTAGGGCTGGGCTTGGCGATCAAGTATGAACCAGCAGTTTGACTGTAGTGATGTGTTGCTGTCTACGGTGCAGATCAGAGGTGAGGCTGTCAAGGATTGGATTCTAATTCATAAGCAGATTAAGATGACAACAATAAAAAAAGAATCCAGATAGAACAGGAACCGAGACTCTGGACCAGCAGAAATAGCCCATATCACAAAGCAGATAGACGACAGAAGAAATAGAAAGATCGACTAGCAAGAAAGCGACGAAAAGAAGGACCTGCTTCATCCAGCAATATCCGATTTGGATCTGTATCCTTAGCTATCCTTAGCATAAAGGATCAACTCTTCTGCGGATCTAAAACCTTCTGCTTCTTGGGCACGCGAGCCAGCCAATAGATAAAGACTGCCCCGACAATATTGAAAGCAACATATGCCCACATAAGGCCAAAGTTCCGCCATGCCTCCGAGAAATCGCTCGCTATTGCTCGGAGAAAGGTATCGGTCTCGCTGATCGGGCAAAAGGCACAATCGGACGTGGCGTGCGGATCCTTCAGGTAGCCATTTCCAGTCATCTTGATGAAAGGATCCATGAAATCCTGGCAGGTTTGGTTGCTCGATGGATTGATTCTCAGGTATTCAACCTCTTCACAGGTGACGGTTGTCCCGGACAGGCCCGTTGAAAGCATCGCAGAGACCAGGTAAGTAAACGGCGAAATACGGTACATGAAAACCCAGAACCCTGGCAATGCCTCTTTTGTGGCGAGGACGCCGCAGAAGAGGAGGCAGAAAGAGAAAAGGAGAGTTGCAATACTACCGCCAGTCTCGGCGAGCTCAATCCCAGCTATCACCATGTGGGCGAAGGTAGAACTAAAGAGCAGAAACGCCAAGATCAATAAGAACATCAATGCTCCGCGTTCCGAGACGGCATCGGTTGGTTTCGCATTATTATATAACCCAATAGGGTAATACCAACACACGAAGATAAGTACCGCCATCAGGCTGTTCCAAGGTAATTCAACAATAATATTGGCGGCCATGAAGGCTTTCCATGAATAGGCTTTTGATGGCCGCTCGCGAGCCTCATAAAGCGATCGTTGAATGACAAAATTCGGCATAATCTGCTGCACCAAATTGCCAAAGGTTGTCATCAGCATAAAAACGCAGAGCATTTGGTTTTGGAGGCCTTGCATGGAATTCTGCGCTCGATAGAACGAGAAACCGACATAAAGTGCCGTGAATATGCATAGAGCAGCCTTGGACCAGATGTAAACCGGTGTGCGATAATACTGAGCAAATATGCGGACCAAACATTCCCACAGTTGCTCATAAAATGGGGCTGCAAATTCACGGAGTGATTTTGGGTCAGGCTTCTCCTGTGGTTTAGCAGACAGAGAAGTTTTTAATTCTGCGAGATGTTCCTTCATCCGAACATACTCAAGACTCTCGCGCCACACCCTGAACCAGTCGATTTCACTATGGGATCCAGGAGCCGCCCCAGTGACTTCCAACATCCACTCGGCCGGGTTCTCTCCTGCTTGGAGTACTTTGGCACCGTTGCGTTCGAAATAACTTGACAAAGTGGAAGAATTTTCACCTATCTCGCCAAAATAGATGGTCTTACCCCCGGTATCAAGGAAGAGAAGACGGTCGAAACGCTGAAACAGCATTGCAGAAGGCTGGTGGATGGTACAGATGATGGCTTGGCCATGCTTTGTTAACGTGTCGATCAGATCCAAGATTGACCAGGACGTTTGACTATCCAAGCCCGAAGTAGGTTCGTCTAGGAAAAGTAGAACCTGAGGCCTTGCAGCAAGCTCAACGCCAATTGTCAATCGCTTGCGCTGTTCAACATTCAGCCCTTCCCCAGGGACACCAACGACCGCGTCTGCATAGGCCTCCATTCCCAAAAGTTTGATTACTTCTTCAACGTAGTCAATCTTCTCTTTGCGACTGAGGTGGGCAGGCTGACGTAGCAAAGCACTGAATTCGAGGGCTTCACGAACGGTCGCCGTTGCAAGGTGGAGGTCCTGCTGCTGTACATAGCCAGTCTTCCTTTGAAAAGATTGATCGCGAGGACGCCCATCAACAAGCATCTGACCTGTGACCACTCCCATCGTGACCCGAGCCGCAAGAACATCAAGCAATGTAGTTTTACCCGCGCCCGAAACACCCATCAATGCGGTACAAGTGCCGGGCTTGACCCAACCGTCCACGTTGTCCAGGATCATTCTTGGGGTTCCTTTGATTTTGATGTCGTAGCAGACATCCTCCCAGTGAAATATGGCGGTTTGCTTCTGGATGTCTGCGGACTCAGACGAAGTGGATGGGTCAGATTTTGCGGTCCCCGAATGCTGGGAGAAACTCTCCAAGTCCTTGATATCAGGAAGCTTCAACTGGTGACCACGACGGAATAAAAGGACTTCCCCTTTTGATCTCTTCTCCGTGATGAGCTCAGTCGCAAGGATGTATGTGAATAAGAAGAATATCATGAATCCCAGGAGGATTCCCATGTTTCTCCACAGGTGGCCCGGGTAATACTGATAGCTTTGCTCGATAAACCGTGTTCCATCCACAACCGTGGATCCAGGCTCGGAACCAACGGTAGAACATATCCGATTATTCATAGAAACTTCATCATACTGGCCTCCCGATGGAAGAATAGTTGAGCAAGTGAATTGCCTGCCAGCAAACTCGTTTACCATGAAGCTCTCGAACGAATACGCAAGTGGATTAACATAGTTCATCCAGCGGGCCCAGCCAAGCATGTTCCTTATGGGAATAGTAAATCCTGTGTAGATTACCAAGCCTAGTATTAGTATAGCGGCGGGGACGAGGGCGGACGAAAGTGAGCGTGACGAGACTGCAATAGTGCGGAAAATCATTGACATGGCAAAAGTTGTGACAACGGAGAAAATCCAGAAGGTGAAGAAGGCGCCAGTATCACGTCGTAAATTTGTCATGAAGTATAGTGGTACATTGAAAGTAATTGAATTAAGCAGTTTGTAGGGTACGTCACAGATCATGGACGAGATGGCTTCTGCGGACGGATGATAGAAGGCGTATCTCGCATGCTTCTCCACAATCGGCCGCTGTGCGTACAAGGTGAGGATTTCAAGGGAACTGGAGAAGGCATTCAGGAGCACTGCAAAGAAAAGCAGAGCTGAGCGGGAGTAGAAGCTGGTGGTATTCTCTGGAAGATTGAAGAAAATCGAACCGATGATTAGTGACATGAAAAGGTTTCCGATCAAGGCAGACACAGTCAAGCTGGAATCCCCGCGCAGACGCTGGAAGCCACGAACGATGCAGAGGTTGATTTGGTTCCAGATAGAAATGGTGTATGGTGACATGGTCCGCTGGAAGCTCGCTTGCGCCGCTCGGCGAGCATTCAAGAATGCCTCGTAAGAAGACCCCCCGATAGGATGCTGGGCCTCAAAGTCCTCAATTTCCTGTAGAAGTTGAGCCCGAGCATCGCTTTTCATCCATACAGCTGCAAATTCGTCCGGGGTGCGAGGCACGCTGTTCTCGAACCCGGGGCGAACCAAGCGCTCCGCGGGGCTGGTGAGCGAGGTGAGGAAATCTGCCGTTGTCTGGCGCCCAGGACACTCGAATCCCATCTCAAGAAAGAATTGTTTGGCGTCAGAGGCCGGTCCAAAATATATTTGCCGGCCCTCGTAGAGCACAGTCACCTTGTCAAAAACGTCGTAGGCACTTTGCGATGCTTGGTAAATGGCCAAGCAGACAGTGGTACCTGAATACCTGCTTATCAGAGCAAGGTTCCTGCAGAACTCCAATGCGTTGGCACTATCAAGACCCCTCGTGCTATTATCCCAGCATTGAATCGGGCTTTGACTCAGGGCCGCCTCTGCGATACTAACGCGTTTTCTCTCGCCGCCACTGATCCCACGAACGAAGTCATTACCTACACGAGTGTTGACGGTGTGATTCAGCCCAAGCATGGCCATAAAAACATCTCGCATGTGTTCTGCGTATGTCCTGGCACTCACACCACCAGGTCGATTTTTAGGGGCTCTTGCGAGGGCGGCAAATGTCAAGGTGTCCCCAACAGAAAGCTGGGGGAAGTGAATCTCCGTCTCGGCAGAATAGATCGCTTCGCCCTTGAAGTGTCTATGCATTTGTTTCGAGGATATGCCTTCCGTGCTCAGTCAGCTAATCCCCAGCAAAACTCAAGGCTGAGAGCAAGAATAGAAAGCTAGAGGATACATGCCTTGATAGTTCAGCACCGATGCATCTGACATCTGAATCCCATTCATTTCTCCGGCTATCATCTTGAGTAAAGTCGAGCAGCCACTGCCGGGTCTCCCCAAGACGACGAGCATTTCACCACTTCTGACTAGCCCTTCGAAATCACGGATAATTTGGATCTTGGGCATCTTGAATCCAGCAAGACGACGGAAAACGGTCCCCAGCTCGAACAAGATGTTTAGAACATTTTTCTGGTAGTCGGTCGGAGAGCCAAACCCATGAACACTGAGGTTTTTGAACGCAACGCCGGCTGTCCGCTCCGGGTATTTCTCTGGGTCACGGTTTGTGACCGCCAATAGCATCCTCAGCCAGTCCCTAGCTCTGAAGTTGGGGCTATGCGGGTTGACAGTGGACTCCGGGTCATCAATCGTAAACGGGTTGTCGACGATGTCCTTTTCCGAAAATTGCGTGGAGTGGCGGGTGAGCTGCCTTGCAAGATGACTGACCGTAGACTCTCTCCTGACCTCCTTCGCATGTATAGTCTCGATTTCACATTTCTCCTGGCTTGCATCCCCTGGCAATCCTTGGATTGAATTGTCATCGTGGGATGGTGACGGGACATTATGGCTGACCACTGACTGCGATCGATGGAGATTTGGGTTGATCGTGCCCAATAGCGACATGATGATCTGCGGGGATTGGATTCTCTAAACCATATGTATTTAGGAAGTTGGCGGGGCTTTGGAGGTGTCGAAGAGTGACTTCACATCGACTCACCTCACATGAGGATCAGAAAGCGGCGTCAATCAAAGATGAGAAGATGCAGCTCGAGGCTTCTCTATCGAGGTCTATGGAGTTCAGAACGACACGTAGTTTAAAATCAACAGGAGAGGCGAGTCCAGAGTTTTTTGGGAAGAGGAAGAAGCAGCGGCTGATTGCCAACAATGAAAAAAGGAAAGATCTGGATTCGGGCCGGGCTGAGACTCCTTCCAGACGTCTGGTTATCTTGAATAACTCTTTTGTCCCGTACACAAAACATGCATAGATCCGGCATCGCGGGCAAAAGAAAAGAGGGTTGGTATTCATTCTCTCCTTCTGCCAGATACTGGTACTTCGGGATCGGCTTGGCTGGTGAAGTGTGAATGACATAGTGGCGTAGTGCACCGTGAGATTGACAAGCCGGGGATGGATCAGCCGAGTCGTGATGGGTCGGGAGATAAGCGACCCGGAGCGTCTTGCCAGGACTCCCCTGACTTGCAACGACTGCCGGGATGGAATCCATGGATGGAAGCGATTGCTTTATACTCCGTGGTTGTGAATGATGCCCGATCGAGTCTAGCGTCATCTTAAGGTTCAACGTGCCCCGTACGGGTAATTTTACCGCTCTGAGAGCGGGGCCCGCCCATTACCGTCCCGATACGCCCGTATGTGACAGGCATCGAGAACATCCGGCATCCGAGACCCGGATTCGGTCTGGTGGTTGGCCTGAATCTGGAGTAAGGCAGAGTCCGGCAGGTACCTGAGGCACGCGTGGAGATCGACCGATCGGCCGTCAAACGTCAAATGTCAAATGAAAGGTCCCTCCCCACTTCCACCTCCATCAACTCCATTCCGCAAGATGAGTCCGGGACCACCAGAGGTGAGCTCCCCTCTTTCCAGGGCAAATGATGCCTGATCCATTACCACTAACTGTAACTCATTCGAGACCTGTGATGGGTGTCGACGCGGGAAATCAAGATGCTCTCGTTGCGCGGGGGTTGGGATCTCTCACGCTAACAGCAAACATACTAGACGTATAAGGAGAACCAAGCATAAGTAGGTATCCCAACATGACCGACAATCCAAATTTTTGCTTCCTGGGGACAAGCTAATGTGGTATGGTCTTGCCATGTAGCCTGTCCATGATCAACCGTCTCGAATCAAACCTCCAACGAATGGAAGCTTGTCTACATGACCTGGGGCTGGATGCTTCGTTTCTGGACGATGACGGAATCTCTTCAAATCACAACACGCCTCCCCCGAGCCTCGAAGGAACCGCTGAAAGAATGCGTCCATCACGAGGCCCTACCGTTCCAGCTGCATGCCGGGAATCAAGCATGACAAGCTCACCCGAGATAGAAAATGCCCTACTCGATTCTCTGGCATCTTATTTCGTCCCGCGATATCTCGCTCGCTCATAAACCGACCATCGTAGGTGAGTGGCTCGCTGATCTCCTCTGGAACTAGTGATTAAACTTCCGGATAGGGCTGTCGACTATACTCTCGAAAGATGAAACCAATCATGTCCAACAAAATCCCGAGATGCTGGCGTCTTTGGAACTACTAGATCGACATTGCCAAACCTCTTCTATCAGTCCGCTCGCTGAGATATGTCCCACGAAAGCGTTCTATCCGCTTCCCCCCAAAGAGGACGTCATGGCGTTGCTTCATGACTATTTGCAAACCGTGAATGTCCTTTGCCCGCTGTTTCAGCCCTCGGTGCTTATGTCGATTTTCGACTGTCATGATCTGGACGCTATGTTTCAATTTCCTAGCCGCTGGGCTTGCATCAACGTTGTACTCGCAATGGGACACATTTTGCGCATCAAGGATCGGAGCGTGGCGCAACCAGAACACCAAAAAAGCTGGCAATTCATCAAAAATGCACTGGGGGCTTTGACCGAAATTTGTCTTGGTCCACCCGATCTGTGGGCTATCCAGGCGCTTATTGGAATGGTATGGTGCGTTCAGCGTTATGTTGCTTCATTGAAATCACATTCTGAGCTATTTTATTGGATTTAGGTATTCTTCCTCCTTGGCACTCCAAATGCCCAGCCATGCAGCTTTTTGATCTCGACTGCTATCAACCTCGCTCACCAAATTGGACTCGAGAGGACGGATGAAGAGCAATCGATATCAGATCCCGAAGAGCGAGAGCAACGACGAAGGATTTTCTGGATTGCTTACTGTATTGATCGAGAGTATGCCGAAATTGAATCACCTGATCCCAACACCCGAATTTCGTATTGACTCGTACAGGATATCTCTTCGATTCGGGTGTGTTCCTGCGCAGAGGGACGAAGACATGGTGGTGAATTTACCGACGGATTCTCCGACTGATGGAGTTGGCGTGGTGCCTACAAGAGATGGACAAGACATCTTTAATATATTCCGATCATGTTGCGAGCTTGCCATGATCAAGGGCCACGTTTACAAGCGCCTCTATTCGGCTGCGGCAACGGACAGACCTCTCGCCCAGACAGTAGCTGCTGTTGCCTCATTAGATGAAGAACTTCAGCGATGGAAAAAGACCATTCCTTCGGAATACCAGCCAGACTCTCCGTTCCCTATACTTTTGCCCCAGTCACCAGAGTGCGGGCTTCTCCTCATATCGCACTACTCCTATTTCAACTGCGTCATCTCAATGCACCGACTCATCGTCACCCGAGAACTCTTCAAGGAGATGGACCTGAGCCAGAACATTGGCCCCTCCACGTCACCAACTCTACCATCCAATGAGAGCGTATTCATGTCAGCGTCACTCTGCGCCCGGGCAGCGCGAGACTCGATCCACCTGATAAAATACATGCCAGAGGACAACATCTCTATCATCGGGTAAGAAACATCAAGACTGTCGAACGGGGCCATGCTAACGAAAACCGCGACCCAAGAATCCTACTTCATTATGCGATGGTCGCGTCGAAAACCCTCTCCTTCGGCATCCTGCGCAACCCCAACGAGGCTTCTCGAGTCTACGACATGAAGCTCATATCCCGAGTGGAAACATTCCTCTCATCGCTGATCTTAAGCACTCCTAATGAAGGAGTAGACCGGCTAGTTCAGTACTGCGCTCAGTACCGCTCCGTCGCGGAGGCCGCAATCAAGCAGGCCGCGAAAGACCCTCAACACTAACCGTGCAATGTTTATGTCTCTCCGTTTGTCATTGAGACATCTGTATAGGCGTGGCATCTAATAACACTGGATGTCAAGTGTCTCATGTTGCCATATTCATTCATGGCATATTGGGCTGGTTGCAATGTATTCATTCTTCACTTCATAAATTCCTGTTCTCTTTCTTCTCTTTTGGCTCCCATACTATTCCTTCCTTTTCTACTTCATCCTTCTTCCCTTTTTTCTCTCCCCTTTCTCATTGTGAAATAACCCCATTCATGTAAAGAAACATCTACTGATCAATACTCGAAATCTCAAAGTTTATAGTCCTAATTACCATCTGCCACGAACATATTACACCCTAACCCTAATCACATAACTGCGCATTTCAACAGACCCAAAATAGAACGTCCTTATTTCTAAATAGAATCCATACCACTCATAGACAACATATATATACATTACATAAAAAGGCGTGGAACACACACCCAAATTTCTCCACAATCCATTATAACACCCATTTCATATAGAATATTGAACCTTTCCAGACGACCTTCTTCTATACCTCGGGGTCAGTTTTCTCATTATATGCCTGAGGCCCGCGGCCCAGGTACGTTGACTCTTCGATCTGGTTGAGCTCGTCTTCCTGCTGATCCAGTTTGTAGTGGGTGAGATAGAAGAGGTTACCGCCGACGAAAGCAAGGACAGCGACGAAGCCGTAGTTCCAGATGAGGAGAGGATCAGTGGAGAGCGCGGTAAGTCCTTGCTGGATAGCGGAAGAGATGGCGTTCATGAAAAGGAAAAGAGATTGGACTGTGCAGAGAGATGTTAGTTTCTTGGCTTCGATATGAGCATGGAAAGATGACGTACCCAAACTCTTCATGTTCTTTGGGGCCTTGGTGTAGGCGTATTCATAACCGGTGATGGAGGTGAAGATTTCGGAAAAGGCGATCAGCACGTAGGGAACGGTTTGGACCCAGACGTTGATGGGAGAAGAGGTGTCACAGTCGCTGGGGTGGTCGCCGCATGGGCTTGTTTTGTAGATGTAGTACTGGATCACGGCAGCAGAAACCATGGACATGGCGGCGACGATGAAACCGACGTAGATTCTCTTCAAGGGGCTGAAATTGAATCCCATTTTCCGGAGACCTGGGTAGACAAAGCTGTCCATGATTGGGATGAAGATGATCAAAGCGAGGGGGTCCAAGTTGTTGATGATATCGTTTGGTGCGCCGTGCAGGGCAAGTGTGGCAGATTGGGAAGTCAGATTGTTTGTCATTTGGCCATAGGCGAGCCCTAGACAGAGTCAGTGATCGCTTTTCCAAGACGCGACGATCTGGACTTACAGTAAACGGGATACCAGAGAAATACGACACAGGCCTTGATAGCTCTGTTCACTTCATCCACCCAATTGTCATCAAAGGTCATCCATGCCGGCCGGTTTTCCACTCTGCTGGGCTTGACTCTTTCCCAGAAATCGTCTGCCCGGCAGTTTTTGTAGCTTTTCCCATGTCAGTTGAGTTCACCTCCAGAGAGCTAGGAACAACAGGGAGAAAAGAGCGAAGTCAAGTGAGCGCAAAACCAAGATCTATCACTCACAATTTCACAGGGTTCCAGGACCAGCGACCTTGGAGAGCAAAACCCCAAAGCTTGAAGGCTTTCGCAGCCACGGACCCAGTCGGGGGAGTGACATCGTAGTATTTTCGACAGACAAAAAGGACAATAGGACAAAGAGCGAACATAATTGTCGGGAGCGTGAAAGCCAGCCAGAATCCGACGTATTTCTCGGCATAGACCATGGCGACCGATCCGATCAAGGATCCAACGTTGATCATGAAGTAGAAGTAGAGGAAAATGCGCGTGATGGTCTGTGACGGATCCACGATGACACGTTCACCAGTCTTTGGTATCGTTTTGATATAGAATTTTGTTTCCTTATGTTGCTCGGCGATGAGAGGTGAGATATTGGATCTGTTGCAGCATTAGTATTTGAAATTGCATCGGACAACCCTAGGAAGGGGGGTAATCACTTGAATCCTCCAACACCAATACCGAAAACCACCAGACCGATTGCAAAACACGCGATAGAGCCATTAGGGTGAACAATTACTTGAGGAATAGCCGAGATGATAATAATGATATGTCCCACCATTGCAAAGGCAATCGATGCTTGAATGGTTGCCAATCGGCCCAAGAACTCGTCGGCAATCCAGGCACCGACAATGGGCGTCACGTAGCACCAGAAAGTATTGACTGCAGGAAGGACGATGGTTAGTCACCGAAGAAACAGCGTGAATCTGGAAGACTAACAAGTACTGAGGCCGGTCGATGCTCTCTGCCCCATGCCCAAAGCACCGGACTGCCCCGAGAAACCGGCACCAGTGGTGGATCCGGCAGGAAGAGGTTGCTGGATGAAATTGACGTCTGAACGAGTTATTATGGTCCTCTCCATCATTTCGCGGGAAATACATACAAACAGCTGTGGTTCCATAATACGAAAACCGCTCGCACAGTTCGACAAATGCAACCGTGTAGGCAGTCCAACGAACTTTGCCGGCAACGCGACGAAGAGTTCGCTCTTCTTCCGGTGTGGGACGTTCCCGTCCATCTTCGTCTAATGTAGGTGCCGCGGCAACCACGGCGGACTCCTTCTCAGGAATCGGGGCTTCGAGTGACTTTTGAGGTGCGTGGGCCTGAGCCACGGTCACCAAGTCGACTGGATCAACGGGGTCGCTCATGGCTGCGACAGGGCGGCACTCCCGCACAAAGAAGAGTAGAAGGCTTCGAAAGGCAAGACGGGGTATGTCCCTGGTTCTGGTAATGATTTAACAAAAACAGAAAAGGCAAAATACGGTGAGAAACAGAAGAAAAACTGGCAAGAGAAAGGGCGATCTCCTCGTGCTCTTATTCCCCTCTTGGGTTCATACGCCAGGAACTCCCCCAGATATTAATTGGTCAACCGTTGTGTCTGATAGGAGAAATTAGTCCGAACGAAAAGCCCTAGACTCGGAGATCATGTACCGACTGGGTTTGGGGGGGAGAATGCCACAAGATCGTTTCTATCTATCTTGCTGGGCGCGTGGCGAGCAGAGTGGGTGCGCATCTTCTAGTGTCTGTCTGGAAGGCTAAGCCAACGCTATCTCTGTCCCACTCTCAGCTCATGGCAAGCCGCTTGCTACTAAATAGGCAGCCCGGTAACCAGGATCTATCGGCGTGGGAAACAAATGCGGACAATTCCATTGGTTCGTCCATTTATGGGAGTAGGAAACCATCGCGTGCTATCGCTCGCTCCGACGTGTCTCGAGGATTTGGGGTCCCTGCAGTGTGGTGTGGACAACATGTGGACGGCCCCATTTCGTTTGCGGAAGACTTGAAGCGTGAAAAATCCGGCTCCGGTGGCATGGATTTTAGCGTTGACTTATCAGCTGCTACGGCGGATGGACCCATTCGAAGGTAATTTCCCGTCCGGTTCCCCAGCGCATGGATGATCCATAACTCATTGGGACAAGTTTCTCTCCGCATCGAGAGACTCGTCCACTGTTTCATCTCCGTTGGGGAGGGGGGGCTCATCATTGGGATGGGCAGCAAGTCCAATATTGCTGCGGAAGGCCACTCTGGGAACACACAGGATGAAGGAGGGCTCCCAAGAATCCATCCAACAGGGAATTCCCCACGACCATGAGACTAGTGATACCAAGGTTACATATTTGTTCGGACCTTCACGGGAGTCCGGCTGCTCACAAAGACGAATGCAGCGTCTGCTGTTGGCGGTGACCACGAGATTAATGTTGATAGCAATGAGACATCAAAATTGCGACAGATTGGACCGAGCTGGGAGCGAGATAGATGACACCACCGGGTCCACAGATAACGCAAACAATCAAGGACCAATGAGAGTGGTGGTGCTCGGGGGGGATTTGGACGGTAGCGGGGGGAAAGCTAATGCGAAGCCTCGGACCAGCGAGAACAAGCTCCACCGCCGAGCCGGTGGCGTCTCTCTGCTCATCTAGTCCGCAGTGTAACTCCGAAGCCTGTCGAGGCTGAGCGAATCAAGGCAGGATGATATGAACCAAGCAATGGCTAGGAAGTACGGAGGATGATGGAGGGGATGGAGGGGATGGAGGGGATGGAGGGGATGGAGGGGATGAACGCCGAAGAAGCGAAATCTTCTTGCCTGCCGGTTTGGGAACACCCGCGATGAGTGCCTGAGGCATTCTGTTCTCGAGCCAGGCCGCATCCGGAAGTGGCCTTAAAAGGAAGGCAGCGGTCCTTTCTGGAGAAAAAAGGGCCCTTGCTCTCAAGCATCCCTGGGATTCCATAAGACCATAAGAACCAGAGAAAAGCCGGGGGCTACGGGGCCATTTAATATGAATTCCGAACTCCGAAGAATAGCCCATAACCTCGACGGAATACGACATTCGGCCCGAGCGTCTTCGAAGCAAATCGGAGTCCTGAATGCTGAGCATCAAATGGTTCCCCCAGTATTTCTTACATCAGATGATGGAAATTTGCTATTCGGTTACTTGAGAAGGCCTGGCTGGCTGGCTTGGCCTAATCTATTTCCTGTATTAGAAAATACTCTTTCTTTCTCTCATTTGGCCTTCTTAGGTCTCGCCCCCTTGGTTCTCAGGGAGTACACGGGGATGAGGTAGAAGGGGAGGAGCGAGAATTAGCTACATTAAATCGAGATCTCAAGTCCCAGGTCAGATTTTGTTGTGGATTAAAATATATTTACCGAAAAAATAGCAATAACAATGGTATTAAAGAAGATAAGAAAGAAGAGAGAAAAGAAGAAAAGAAAGAAAAAGAATAAGAAAGAACATGGTTCTACACGGATACGCGTGGTGCCAAGTCCAAGTACGAGTACGAGCGATCAAAAGTTCGCGCCGAGATCCTCCAAGCCGTACTTTCCCCTCATCAGCCATCGTCAAAAAAATCCTCATCGCCATGGCCGCAGCAACTCGCACTTTCCTCGCCTTCCAGCATAATGCAAAACTCCACCATCTACAGACCGTGGTAGCGAGGGTTCAGTCGTTTGCCTCACTCGAGGAGTCCAACCGTCTGCTCTTCAAACAGGGCGGCGACGAGGATCATGTCGTCGTCACCGAACAGACCATTTTTCATCCGCAAGGGGGCGGCCAGCCTTCGGATGTCGGCGAGATAACCAACTCGTCCGGCGTCTCCTTCGTTGTGGCGTCGGCGCGCATGGATACCGTGCACGATGGTCAGGTGCTGCATTTCGGTCGCTTCAATCAACCCCCGTCGTCTCCGACCCCTCGGTTCTCCGAAGGCGAGACCGTCCAGCAAGCAATTGACGTGGAGAAGCGCATACTCTACTCGCGCTTTCACACCGCGGGGCATGTTCTCGGCTCAGCGGTCCGGCAGCTTCTGGAGAAGGAAGTGGCAGACTTTGACGAGTTGAAGGCGTCGCATTTCCCCGACTCCGCCTCGTGTGAGTTCCAGGGCCTCATCGAGGGCAAATGGAAGGAATCAATTCAGAAGAAGGTGGACGAGTTTGTCGCGGCCAAGATGCCGGTGCAAATTGAGTGGTGGGATGAAGACGATTTCCGGGCGCGGGGCTTGGAAAAGTTGATTCCGGATCGCAGTCTTGTGCCAGCCGGCGAAAAGTCGCGCGTGGTGAACATCGTGGGCGCCGAGGTGTATCCCTGTGGAGGCACGCATGTCGACACCACCGATCTCTGTGACCCTACGACGGTAAAGAAGATCTCGAGGAGTAAGGGGACATCAAGGGTGAGCTACACGGTCACATGAGGAGTCGGCCAGGAATTTGGAAGTACATACCTACATAAAGAACCCAGTACATACATACATACGGAGTACATATCCAATAGAGCACAGGTAGAAAAAATCACTCAATTGATCAGAGAAACACTTACCGAAAGAGGATGATGACCCTTGGCCTCTCTGCCAATAAGCAGCCCGCTTCCACGAGGCTGAACGAAGGCTGACAGGCCAAAGGATTCAACCCCCTTGACCTTCCGGCGCAGGCTTGGCTGCACGTTCAGTCACTGCGAAGCGAATCGAAACATGAAGGAGATCGACTCCGTTTCATTGGCGCTCGAGGCTCCCATCAGTCGGTTAATGCAAGCGGCGCAACGGGGGGACATCCACCAGGCCGAATCGCTCCTCCACGTTGTGTCGGCCGACGTCAGAGACCACACGGGCCGGACCGCGCTTTCGTGGGTTGCGTCGCGCGCTCAAGCCCATTCTCCCACCATTCGGGACCGCGCCGAACAGCTCATGCAGTTTCTCTTGGATAAAGGCGCGGACCCAACCCTCGCCGACCTGCATGGCGAGACGCCCTTGCATTGGGCGGCCAAGGCCGGTGACCACCAGATGGTGGATGCGTTCTTGCAAAAAGACCTCATTCCTCCCGATTTGGTGGATAATCGAGGTCGCACGCCCTTGTCGCACGCCGCTGGAGAAGGCCATCATCGGGTGGTGGAACTGTTGTTGGCAACGGACAGAGTTGATCCCGACCGCAAGGACGCGCGCGGGAGAACGGCACTATCGTGGGCAGCCGAACACTGGCACTTTAAGACGGTGACTGTGCTGATTGAAAACGATTCCAACGTCGACCTTCACGATGATGAGGGTCAGACCCCTCTAGGCTGGTTTATAACCAGCACGTCGAAAAAACATGGCGTGGACCCGAATCCACGCATGGCACAAGTGGATTTCCAACGGTGGTTCAAGGCCTTGGGTCCGACAAATGGCACAGAACCTATGACCAGGACTCGCCGGACTTTTCTTTCCTGGGCCTGCGAGCGAGGCGATAGTCAACTGGTAGAGCGTCTGCTGCAGACTACCTGGGCGGACCCTAACTCCATTGACCGGTACAGAAAGACCCCGTTGATCTATACCATCGAACAGAGTCACTACGAGATTGTCGATTTGTTGATAGCAGGAACGGAGAGGAGCCAGAAACGGGATATTGTGTCGTTGCGAATTATGATCCAGGAAGGCCGTGCTCGCTTGTTGAAGCCATTCCTGGAGCGATATAAGCCCAGCTTGGAGACCGAAGATGACTATAGCTCGGTGCCCTTGATGCGCATTGCACTGCAGCAAAGCGACCGAGTCACAGTCACAGTACTCCTGGAACATAAAGCCAGTATTCAGGATTTGGAAAACGGGGACTGGTTCGGGCCCTGCAGTGCACATAGGCCAAACACCGATCTCTTGAGGTCCCAATTCGATTTCTCGGCCAAATCAAACAACTTGGGCGCCAGAAATGGCGCCACCTCTGTTCCAGTGATGAAAATGGCCATTCCGGACGACGACCGTCCTGTATTAACGGCATTGCTAAACCATCGCGCCCGAATCATGGACCTCCAGGAGGACGAGGATGACTTTGCACAGTATAATAAAGGCACTGAGCCCAGTATAGCTGTGAAGATTGTGGCTCTGCGTGACGGACGCAGAAAGGCACACTGGATCTTGGGTGATGATTTGGATGAGGAGGTCAGGAACATACCGAAAACAACAGAAGAGACGCATCTTATGTGAGTGACTTCTCGTGCAGTTTCCATTCTCGACGACCCTGCATTCTCGTTCTGACTATTCTCTGACAAGCCTCTTCCGAGAAAATTATGTATGGAGAACGCACTATCAAAACGGCCATCAACCCAACGAGTTGCGGTTCTCGTTAGGAAATAGAAGTCCATGTAGGACATTCACTCTTTCCATCCAAATGAATCTCAAGATGGCGAACGAGCATACAAACAAGCACGATGATCAAAATTCCGACGGCAATGAGGAATATAGCACACGACTAATCCAATGGTCAGTTTTGGAAGCACCGACGAAATCAATACACTATTTCAGCAATCTCCCATACGGCTATATCCCGCAAAATGATATGGATCTGGTGCAACTTTTCCTGCATACATGGCGTAAAGATTGGATGACCTATTGCCAGGACGCGCGGCGTCATCTGGCACAGCTTGTCAGTCTACCTAACAAGCCCGAGTCATGTTTCGCGCTAACCACCACTCCAGCGCTCTCATCAATTGACAGCAAGGGGCAAGGACGAGTTGCTAATTGACACCGTAGCTGAAAACATGCTCCGATGGACTCGTATCCAAGGCACATTGGCTGAACAACTCAACCAGGCCCGCGAGTTTGTATCGCAATATCAACGGTTTAGCGAAACCCGCCAGTTTAGCGAGCAAATAAATCGGACAATCGATTCGCTAGAGCGCGAGGTCTCAAATCAGATTGACAAGCTCGAGCAGACCTTTCGTGACCTTCTCCAAATCGTAAGTGATATGTTACGGATGGAGATAAGCAGGGCTAATGGGATAGGAATTTGCCTGGACATCGATCAACGAAGCGCACCGGTCAACGAGCCTCGCAACTAGTATGAAGAGGCTGAGTTGGATAACGGTTCGATTCCCGCCACAGATTTGAGCCTAGGATTGTGACTAATGATTCCTAGTTTATCTTCCTTCCGTTGACTTTCGCCTCGGTAAGCCGTTGAATCCAGTGAATCCAATTGCGACATTTCTAACCTGCATAGAGTCTATTTGGCATGAATGTGGACATTCTAGCCGACAATCCGTCGTGGCGCTGGTATCCTCTTGTCGGGGGGACTCTTTTGCTGCTGACAGTAGCTACCTGGCTTGTCTCTAAGTTCACCCACGTAAGGAATCTCGTCAGAAACTGGGAGTGACACCGACTAACAGTAGGCAGATGGACCGATGGGTGGAATCGAAGGCTCAAAGGCTCAAAGAAAAGTCGGACTTGGTGCCACAACGATAAACGGTCTGTTCTCTGATGTCTGGTACGATAAGATTATCAATGAACTTGGCGTGCTATATGGATGAGATGGATGTGTGTCGAGGAGGCTGCAGCCATTCCCCTCAGGACAGGCACTGACCCACTTCTGCCGAGTACAGGGCAAACGCCAGCCCCGGGCACGTACCTATAAACTGGTCTCTCATTCACCCTTGCGACGCGTCGACGCGCTCTACGGCAATTTTTCCCATTGGTTCTGTTAAGGGTGGTGGATTTTCGCGATTCGCTGCAATCCAGGGTTGGCTAGTGACACTGATTGGTCCGTTCGAGGGCAGTCACTGTCAGGGGACATTTAGAGTTGATCCGGGCTTTTCTAGAAGGACTATATGTAGATTTAGTCCATACTTCTCTTCTGTGGGAGAGTGAATCTCTACATAGCTTTCCACACGCATCCTTAACCTGACCCTATTTGTCCTGGGATCTGAAAGGCCACAATATGCAGACGACCCGACACGTTCCATGCTAGCTACACCTTCAACCACTGCTTCTGGGTGCAGGTGATAGGCAAAATGCTCACAGAATACGGTCAGAAACTTGAAGAAGGAAGGACGTAGATACTGTTGCTTGAATATTGCCACGATGCCAAATGACCGCGGTTGGGGTCTCTACCAATCGGAATCCATGGGGTACAAACAGTGTTTGCGCGCAATTAGAAAGAAAGTCTACAGCATCAGGCTATTCATGGGGGGTCCTTTCGCTAAATCAATCCAGTCCTTTCATTGATCTGCTAAGGTACAGCATTATTCATAATTCAAACCCATTCAGGATGCTTGAGTTGACTTCGCGTCGCCACCAGGATATCCACCATCGCTAACGTTGCGCCTCCCATCACTTCCAGAACGGCCAGCTCAGCCACAAACTCCTTTCTGATCCAGTTGCACAGTTCCACTGCCAGGAGCGAGTCAATTCGGAAGGTATGAAGAGGCGAATGTATGTCCACCTCCGCATCCTCGGGGATGACCTTGTAGGAATGCGTTAATTTATTAATCAAGGCCTTCGCCACGACCTCTCGCCCTTCCTCGAGCGAAGTTGCTTCGGAGAAAAGCTTCTGGAATTGGACTTCTACCTCTTTCGAGGTGTCATCGGTGGTGATGTTATCCATTTTCAGGTGATTGAACAGTGGCTTTTCCAGGAGTACATTGCCCACAAATCCGTCACCCCCAGGGGCAAGGCCAACAACCACCTGCGAAGTCTCTGGGGTTAGAATGGGTCGATCCGGGTTGCAGTAGTGGTCCAAGAGACCCAAAAACTTTGGACGAGAAACAGGTAACAGCGAACCGTTGCCGTAGCCGACGACTTTCTCTAGTAGGCCGGGTGTCTCCGCTAGCAATCCGTCGTCGCTCATGACCCCTAAGTCTAGTGAAACAGCCTTTTGTCCTTTGGAGACGCGGTATCGGGCAAGTCCATCGGAGTAGGAATTTCCGGCGCCATAATTCGACTGACTGGGTATGCCAAGCAGGCCGTTGGCAGAGGAAAGTAGGATGAAGAAATCAAGGTCCTTTGGAAGATTCATTTCGAGGTTCCAAGAACCACGAACTTTGCAGCCAACCGCTGTTTTCCACTCCTCGTAGCTCATCCGCTCGAATGGTTGGTCTCGAAGAACCATCGAGCCTTGAATGCAGCCCTTGATTGGAGGCATTGTCTGCGCCACTTCGTGAATGACACGACTGACAGATGCTGGGTCGGCCACATCACACGGAGGTGTTTTAACTTGTACGCCTTGTGCTTCAAGCTCATCAACTAGGGCGAGCGCTGCTTTTGTTTTAGCTCCTGAACGCCCAAGAAGAACCAAGTGTTTGGCGCCCCGAGCAGCCATCCAACGCGCAGCAACTCGACCAAGGCCTCCCAGACCACCCGCAACAAGATATGTAGCGTTTGCGTTGAGATTGAACGAGGCCCTTGTGTCGAGGATGGTTGGTACACGTGCCTCCGGGGAAATCTCTAATACCAGTTTCCCTATTATGCCGCCACTCTGCATCAAGTGGAAGGCGTCTTCAAGGTTGCTGGCACTTTCGAGTTGAAGTGGTTTGTGCAAATGCAGTTTTCCTTCGGCAAAAAGATCGAATATCGCCTCGACTCCTCGTCTTGCAGCGTCGGGTCTCTCGTGCATCCAATTCAAACTGTCAAAGTATGTGAAAGATGCTTGTCGGCCAGGCTGTGCCATGGGAAGGCTCATCGAAGACAAAGAGTCCCTGCAACCGAGGTCCACTAATCTTCCGTAATTCCCAATGCATTCCCAAGATGCAAGAAGAGCTTCACCAGCCAAGGCATTGAGCACAACATCCACGCCACGCCCTTTTGTCTGTCGTATCACAGCCTCGGCGAAACTTGTATCTCGACTGTAAAAGATATGATTCGCAGGGATTTCGTAAACGTCGGTGAGGATTTGCTTCTTCTCCTGGGTACTTGTGGTGGTGTAGACCTCCGCACCAATATACTGGGCGATCTGAATGGCTGCCTGGCCAGTACCGCCAGCTCCTGCATGGATTAGAATACTCTCACCCCTTTGAAGGCGAGCAATTTCGACGATAGCTTGCCAAGCCGTTCCAAACTGAGCTGGGATGCTAGCTGCCTCAGTCATGGAAAGAAAATCCGGGATCCTGCATGTCGAATTCACTCCACTCTTGACTGTGGTTTTGAACTTTCCTGGACCGAATGCCACGACCCGATCACCCGGCTGATACCCAGAGAACTCACCTGCTCTGGTTACTGTTCCTGCGCACTCCTGCCCAAATGCCGTCTTGGGATCTTTTCCCAGAGCAATCTCACAATCGCGGAAATTCAATCCAACTGCATCCACATTCATCTCCACCTCATGCGACTGAATTGTCTGCTCTAGGTACTCGTTGCTATCGGACCAATGCAATGTTTCCAGGAGACCTGGCATTTTATACGCGAGTTTGACGGATCCGGCATCACCCAGCGACTTGGTTGCAGACTGGCGCGGAAGAGATGCTGCATGAAGGTCATCGGTCAAGGATTTGCTTGACTTGACGCGTGTCACATGAAGAATCCCCTCAATCTCCATAAATTCAGGCTCGTAATTCGTCTGCTCAAGGTCAAGAATTTCGTGTGTGAGAACACGCATAATATGCGATACCGGATCGCTGCTGATTTGGTTGTCCAGATCAAGAGCAAGTGTAGTCATGCGCAGGTTCTCATGCTCAGCTCGCAGAGTTCGAGCCCATCCATCCGCCATGGTGTATTCAGGCTTCTTGGAGAAGCATCCACCACCCGCAGTTACCCAGAGGATAGAAGTGCAGTGGGTTACCGCATATTGAATTTGAGAAAATGCTTCCTGACTCATACCATCCAGCAGCGGGGTCTCCGTCTCATGAATGAAGATCAGTGTCGTGTTGACAAAGGACGGGAGTGCAATACACTTGCTCAGGTCGCCGCCAGCGATGTTTGACTCCGACTGCTGTGCCTTCAGTGACTTCGTAGTCTGTTCGTACAATCTTCTTTGTGCCGTAGAACTCTCATCGAACACGAAAAAGACGTTCAGAGGCGCCCGTAGGGTTTCATTAGAAGCAGTGGTAACCAGGACAGAATTTTCTTGACATTCTGCGTCGAGAAATTCTGGAATCTCCATATCCGCTCCCGAGAACCCTGTGTCCTTAAAGGTTGTATCCCATTGCGTGCCCGTCATCGCCGGGCTCCAAATCCTGTTGTCCTCTTTTCCTGCCCACCAACCTTCCATCAAACCGGCAACAAATCCAGACCGAATAATTTCTGGGCGGGTGATCTCAAACAAGGTCACTTTTCCACGGGGCTTCAGAAGCTTTCTCACGTTCCTCATTGTCGCACAAATATCAGGAGTGGCATGCAAAACATTTGCCGCTACCACCAAGTCGTAAGATTCTAACTCAAACCCTTGGGCAGTCAGATCATCCATTACATCAAGAACCCTGAAATTCATGCGTGGAAAGTCTTTGAAGCGCTTGGCGGCGGTGTCGAAGAAAGCCGGGGAGATATCGGTGTAGTCATAGGATGCGTACAAGGGGCTACCAGGAGAGATCCCACTTCCCTGAGACAAGGCCTTCAGGATATGGGCTGTTGTTCCTCCCGTTCCGGCCCCAATTTCGAGAATTCTCATGCCTGGGTTCAGCTGTGCTTGAGCCCTGAGGTAGAACCCTAGAGTGTCAAAACATCCGTCCCGATCATTGGACTCACGATAGAAGTTGCTCATCATGTCATCCTTCCAGAGAAACTGTATGGGATCCTGCTCCCCGCGCAGAATTGGAAGCAGGTTGGACCCTGTGTGTACAAACGCATAACCCTGGGCGTTTGCGACAGACAGCCGATCACAGGCAGATTTGAAGTACTCGGTATCATGTAAAAGATACTTCCATTCTGGGCGACTAAGTGGAAGCTCACCAGCCTCAAATTTTGACCGCTGAAGTCTCGCCCAGTCGATATATCGTTGTATGTGGGGTAAAACTTTCTCCGGGTTCACATCGCCCAAGTTGTCTAGCGCTTGACTGAGGAATCTGAACAGAACAAAATTCACATCTCTGAAATATTCCAAGGGCGCTGGGCCGTCCGGCCGACTTTGCGCACAATATCTCGCGAGCCGGTCAGGGTCAAGTAAATCCAGTGCTGGGAAATGATGGAGATGGTGAACGGTCAATTTATCATCATTATCACCAAAAGACTCCCATGGGCTATCTGCAACAATTGTGGACTGCAGACCGTGGACCTTTGCAAGCACCCGAGTTCTTTGCTCATCCATAGCACAGATATCAAATTCATGTCCTCGGCTATGGAGAGACTTGACCCAGGTAGAAGCATGAATGACAGCGGCAGAAGGATGACTGAGGCCCTCTTTGGCAACCCATAGATTCTGGATGCCTGTGGGAACAGCAGTAGGAACTCTTGCTTGTCCACCCTCCGAAAGAGCCGCAGCAGTGAGATGGAGGATGCCATCTAGGGTTGTGGGATGAACTATGTGAGGCTGTGGGTGCTGATCGGTAGGCCAAGAAAAGATCTTCAATGAGGATCTCGCCTGGTGTTCCTTGCTGCATTTGCCGTTGAACACGGTCTGGAAAGTCGGTCCAAATTCGAATCCACTTTCCTTAAGGCATTTGTACATTTTCTCCTCGCTGAACTCCATGGCGCAGGCTTTCGAGAGCCGATTATCCTGTTGCATGCAGTCCGCAAATTGTTGGTTTTCTTCTGAAAAGTCATCACTCATCGTTTGATACTTGACTTTGATAAATCCGTGGCAGTTGTCTTGCCAGGTGTCATCGTCGGCCAAGGAACAGAGTCGAAACTCTAGCCACGGAAATGCAGAGCTGGTACCGTCTGTCAATGTACGGAGATGCAGGTTGGTCTCAACCCCGTCAGCTGTTCTAGGAACTGTTAGAGCACATTGGAACTTTACGTTGCGCAACTGAAAAGCTTCAACCTTCTTGCCAGGACTGGACATTTGGTTAGCAGCTTCGATCGCCATGACAAGCATGCCCGCTGCTGGGTAAATCAAAGTTCCATTGATGACATGATCTTCAACCCAGGGCATCTCTGAAATTCGTATATGATGGCGCCATCGAGCTTCCAGTGGATTCCAGTCAGTTACCGGCTTTCCAAGAAGATCTAATTTCCCTTGATCCGCGATTCGAAGTCGTCTACTGACTCGGCTTTCACGCCAGTAAGAGGTTGAGTGGTTGAAAGGGTATTCTGGTAGGTCAGTGAGCACAAGGGCGTGCTTTGACCCAGGGTTGTCCAGTCGGTTAACCCTCCCAAGATCCACTGGAAGGCCAAGGCAATGGAGGCGGCCTAACGCATCCAGAATGTTATGGGCCGCGTTCTGGCCTCGTCGAATAGCGGGACTATAGCTAACTTCCTGGCCCCACGAGAGGGTCTCAAGCAGGTCGCGAATTGGACGTTGCAGAGTCGCTTGGGGTCCAACCTCAAGCAAGACGTTTACTCCGAGCTGTGAGCGATGACTGCCGTCGAGCTTCTTTCTGATCTTCCGACCGGACTCGGTACAGATCTGAAGGAGCGACTGGGCAAACTGCACGGGGGAAGTGAGATTATCAACCCAGTATTGCGGTATGCGCAGCTCTCTAGAGACAACTTTTTCGCCCGTGACTGAAGAAATCATGACACAGCCATTGGAATTCTTTTCCATGGGCTGAAGATCATTCATCTGTTCTTTGTAGACAGAAGCAATTCGATCCATATGGTACGAATGGTAGGCCACTGGAACTTTCAGTTTTCTAGAGAAAACGTTGCATGATTCGAAGAGATCTTTGAGGGTGTCGACCTGGTTTTCATCTCCAGATATTGTCACGCTCTTTTGGCTGTTTATGCAGGCTACTTGAAGACCACATCGGCCATGCACCTTGGATACCTCGTCAATATAGCCATGTGCATCCGCCTCGGATAAACTGGCCGCAATCATCGATCCGGCTAGTTGTTGCGTCTTTGATAGCTCCGTAGCACATACACCTCTAAAGTATGCAATGCGCATAGATTCCATCGTTGAAAGAGCCCCAGCCGCATACGCTGCTGCAATCTCACCAGATGAATGTCCAATCGCTACGGCAGGATTTATTCCCACACTGTGAAGCAGATCGACCAGTGCAATTTGCAGGGCGGTGTTCGCTGGTTGTGCTATCTCAGGATCGTTGATTCTGGATGATGTGTCTTCGCGAAGGAGTTCGTCTGTTGTTGTTCAGTGTCATTTTCAAATGCTTTGGGTGAGGGGGGTAACTGACCTTGCAAGGACCAAGGACATCCAAAACTTTGGAGATCATGGCCACATTGCCAGATGCTATTTCTGAAGACAGGATAGTTGAACAGTTCACGGCCCATCCCAGCCCACTGTGAGCCTTGTCCTGTGAATACAAAACCCAGCACAGGCTTCTCGATGGCTTGGTAAGCCTCACTCGTCTTCCGTCCCACATCCTGGAGGTCCTTCAAGCTAGACGCTGTCCAGAAGCTTCGATAGGGTAAGGCGCTTCGGCGGGTGTTCAGAGTGTGAGCTAAGTTTGCCGTATACTGGCAAAGCTCATCTGGCGAAACTTCAACGGTTTCAAAGTATGATTTGTATGCAGCAGCAACATGCTTGACCCCAGCCTTGCTCGCGGATGACAGCACCAAAAGCTTCGGCAAAGGCAAGGTTGTTGAGGGAGAAGCCACCGAGGGCTTGTCCAGTTCACTCAATGCACCGTTTGAAGATTTAGGTACCGGAGGGTAGTCAACCGTGGTGTGGTTTCCGACAAGGCCATGACTTCGGAGGTAGTTATAAGCATCGTCCAAGACAACGTGGGCATTCGAGCCCCCAAAGCCAAAGGAGTTGACAGACGCACGACGCAGGCCAAGCGTGGGCCATGGCGTTGGGTCATGCGGCAGCTGCAGGGATGCGTGGATGAGTCAGCCGCCTATTTCCACTTCGTCCGCTCTCCTTCAGAAACACCAATCCACCTTACCTTGAGGCCCAGGAACTCCAGATCAATCTTGGGGTTGAGCTTCTCGAAATTGGTATTGGGCGGGATCAAGCCGCTCTCCAGAATGAGTATCGTCTTGATGACGGCCGCAATACCACTCGCACCCTCCAGATGGCCGATATTCGATTTCACCGCGCCCCTAACAATTCGAGGTTAGCAGGAACCCAAGGCAAAGATTCGATGTGGCTTATACGTACAAAAAGAGAGGGTCTTTCACAGTACGAAACCCACGGAATGCATCACCTAGTGCATTGCATTCGATCGGATCTCCGACCTGCGTGCCAGTGCCGTGAGCTTCGAAGAATCGAGTCGGCTCCATGCTCAGACCAGCCCTGGCGTATGTATCACGGATCAAATTGGCCTGCGCGGCGCCGCTGGGCTGCATAATACCAGATGGCGTGAGGCCATCTTGGTTCGATCCGGCCGAGCGGATGACAGCGCGAATGGTGTCGCCGTCTCGAATCGCATCCGCAAGGCGCTTGATCACCAATGTTCCGGTACCTTCACCTCGCCCGTACCCATTGGCACGGTGGTCGAAGCTGTAGCTGCGGGCGTCTGGCGATAGCATGTTGACGTTTGAAAACGCCTGCATCATGTCGGGTGATAATATGAGATTGGTGCCGGCCACAACACCCTGGATTTCGTTAGCGACGGCGTGGAAACGAGCTTGGGCTAATTACCATGTCTGTTTCTCCGCTCCGTAAACCCTGACAAGCCAAGTCCATGGCTATGAGGCTGCTCGAACATGCGGTATCTATATTCATACTTGTTCCTCGGAAATCGAAGAACCAGCTAAGTCGGTTTGCATTCATGCTCATCTGCATGCCGACCACGTCATAATCTGCAGTCATCTCTACATCCTTACATGCCATCAGTCTGTAATCGCCGTTAAAGCAGCCGACATGAACGGATGTCTGAGACCCCACTGCCTTTTCCATTGGAATGCCCGCTATTATACGGTTAGTGCAAATGAACTCGAAGCATGGTGTCTGAAATCTCCCAGGAATTACTGTACCATTTTCCAATGCTCTATATGTGACTTCCATGAGATGCCGATGCTGCGGGTCCAGCGCTGCAGCTTCATCTGCGGAGAGAGAAAAGAAGGGGGCATCAAAGAGGGACACATCTTCTTTCAGATAATGACCTCCTTGAGCGGAATACTGTGGTCTGGTCAGCAGCTGAAAATCAATGATCTGATTGCACACCAATCCATACCTGTCCTCGTCTCCTGCCGTCAGGATGCTGCCATTGGGAAATACTAATCCGGTCTTCTGGTGTATCTGACACGGCGCATCTTTTCTCCATCATCATATTCCAGAATGCTTTGGAGTCTGTTGCGTCTCCGGGAAATCGAAAGGAGTACCCGACAATGGCGATGGGGTCCAGCCTATCTGTATCCCCGGGGTTTACTTTGCCATTAAGGTCACCTAGACCATTGTGCAATGCATCTGACAGGTCACCATAATCTAACATGATAGGAGCCATATTGAAGTTATGAGGAAGTGCAAGGAAACGTTCATGTGCAATGGTTACAAACAAAAGACCCCCGAGGTGGCCAGGGAAGAACAGGCTTTAAGAAGGAAAGAAAGATACCAAAAGACGTCCTTGCGCCTTCACTCCATCGTGAAAGGACCAGCGCGTACTCAGTGCGGCTCATTCAACAATTCAGCCGAATCAGTCGCCTCCACTCTATACTACGTATGTACCTACTAGGCAATAGTCCTGTGGCTCTTGCGGGGACTACCATCGGGTCTCTCGCCCGTCACCCGTTGCGTTTTCCGTCCGCAGAACGAGATTCGATGTCCAATCCGATCTTCATGAACCTTGGTGAATTGTTGTTAACATCTACTCCGGAGTAGAACCATTCCCCTAAATCCCACCACTAACTTCTCCACCGCGGCATATGCTGGCTCGACCGTTAGACGCTAAACCCTAGCGTTGCGCGCTAATTCATTAACTATCGGTTAGTGACATGAGTGGACCGACATTTCACCTGCCATCGGCATAACTTCTTCGCTGATCCCTGGAACCAGTGCAGTACCGAGACCCACTTCCATCCACTACAGGTTGAAAGGGCTTATCAATGGGGCTATTTTACACTGACAGACTCTACTCCGTTATGCCGCCATCACCGCCCTTCCAATGGTTCTGCGAATTACCCTGACGCTTGCCAACAGTTCGTCCTTAGCCCTTGCGGCTGGAACGGCATGGCCTTCCTCATGGAGAAACACCGTGCGTTCTTTCGGATCACACAGCGCAAATAGCGCCTCGCTCCCTCGGCAGTATGCCATATCAGCACGGCCCCAAATATGTGCCGTAGGAAATCCCGCCAAGAGTTGATCACCGTCTCCCTCCGCGTTCAGTAATCTAACCTGGTCGTGCTCCAGCCCGACGGGGTCAATCGGGTTTGCACCGGACAGGAATACGGCGCATTTGAATGGCAGGTGCTTTTCTGGGTGGCGTATGGCTTGCTGGATCAAGTAGGTGGCCGCCAAACTAGCACCCATCGAAAAGGCCATGATACCGTCGTAGGGACCCTCTGCCTCTACAAAGCTCGACAAATCTTCCAAGGCCTTGCGAACGCTTTCCGCTGATTCAACGGAGAAATAGTCGAAGTAGGTTTGCCTGGCGGGGAAGAAGGCCCGAAGCTCTTGCTTGCAGATCAGTTTTCCGAAAGTAAACCAATGTGGAGAATGGCCGACAAACATACCAGGGGCCAAAGGAGCGGGGATGGTTCCCTCGACAAAGTCGTAGGTGTGGACACTGTTGTCGAGCTCATGCCTAAGAGCCGCTGCGAAAAATTTCAGTCACTGACCTTGGTGTGCAGAACAATAGATGACAGGGCAAACTCACCGATCTGGGACTCCAGAATCTGGGCAATTCACCTTCGCTTAGCTACTGGTCTTGTACAACTTTTCATAAAGGGGGGGCCCAAGGGTTAGCTGCCTACCTGGCTGGTGGTGCCTCTACCGTGGAAACAAAGGAATCGCATCGTGGTTGAAGGATGAGTATTGGGGAGATGAATGTTCAGGCTCAATTTCTCAACATCTGATGTCTGAAATAGGCGCCCACAATAGCATCTATTAAGTTTGATTTACGATGAGTTCAACTGAAGAACAGCCTCAACCACGAGTTCCACTGGTGATTCCTCCTTGCTCCATACGGACCAAATCCACCCGCGGGTGGAGCCGGAATTGTTACCCAGTAACCCAACGGGCTAGTCACTGCGGTGATTCCGAAATTTGAAGCTGCAGAACCCCGGCCCATCGACTATACTTGCTAGTACTACGCCATACAAGGTAATGATCTTTTGGCCCCTGCCTCGCCGTCTCCGTGCGCCTCCATGGTGTACGGAGCAAAGACCAAGGGGTATGGAGTATACTATTCCCAGGCGCTTATCTACATTTGATAATGATTATCTCTTGCCTTTCTCTGAAATTTTGAACCACCCACCACCAATGTTGATCGGTCGGTTTGGCCCCTTGCCCTGTGCTGAACGCGCTGAAGAATTTATAATAATGACTAACAAACCACGCACAGCCTGCTCTGGCTATGTCGATTGGGCTCTGGCTATTGCGAACATCTTGCCAAGAGGCAAGAAAAAGGAAAGAAACAAAGCAAGTGCGAGAAGCCTCCTCATTATTGACTCGACTGGCCCCCAAACTCGCAATGCCTTAGCGTAGGTGCGAGTGAGGGCAGGGGATACCATTGATCCCATACATTTTCGCCCCATTATCTGCTGCTGACCTGCGGAAAGCCTGACAGAAGTCATGTCGATCAAAGACGCGATTCAATCTTATTCCTAATCAATGGGATATGTATCTTTTCTCCCCTCCTCCTTGTACGCACCCATCTTTTCTCTCTTCCTTCTCCCCCGCCTGATCGATCTGGGATTATCCCTGGCCGATGATTTGAACCTATCACTATGGCTAGTGCCACGAAATTCTCGCCGGGGTATCTGCAGGAGTCTCAACAGGGAACCATCCTCGGTGTCACCGTACTTTTCATCATTCTTGAGACACTGGCGGTCACATTCCGAGGCGTCTCCAAACTGATCGGCCGCCTGAACTGGGGTTGGGATGACGCGTTAATTGTTCTTGGGTTCATCCTCTGTACTGTGATCAATGGTTGTTCCATAGGTATGTTCGACTCTTCGGCTAGCAGAATCAAGGCGTGCGCGGGCTAATTTCTATCCAGCGGATGTGCACCATGGCGGCGTCGGCCTTCACATCCAGCGCGTTGCCAAGGAGAGCCCCGAGAAAATCCCCATCCAGGGCAAATTCATGTTCGCCTTCCCACTCATCTACTTCGCTGCCGTTGTCCCTCCGAAAATGGCGATCATATACCTTTACCTCAGTGTATTCACACAAAAGCCCTTTCGCGTCATCTGCTACGTGGTGACCGGCATTATGATTGGAAACTGGATCGGAACTACCGTTGCCTCCTTTTTGTCTTGTCAGCCGCTGAGCTACTACTGGACGCAGGAAGGAACTTGCTTCGATATCAACAGCTTCTTTCGCTGGGGCGGGTTTTCCAACATTGTCACGGATGTTATTATGATGGTCCTGCCGATGCCGGTGGTCTGGGAACTTCATGCATCTACTCGCCTGAAGCTGGGTATTCTGATCACCTTCTTGCTTGGTAGCTTGTACGATATCCCCCCCCCCCTTCTCCTCTACTCTCTGCTGCGATTGCGGTGCTGACATGTATTTACTCCAGGGGTCTCATCGCCTCGGTCATCCGGTTTGTCAAATTCTACGTGACCGACGCACAAAAGGACTTGACCTGGGCCGGGGGTGATCTTGTTCTCTGGACGGTGGTCGAATGCGGTGGCTACTTGATCGCCGGATGTCTGCCCACATACCGGCCATTGGCGCGGTTTGTCGGACGTAAGCTGCATCTTACGAGCGACGGGAGCAGCGGAGGAGATACCACCGCCCAGCACAACACGAGTGGCAGCAGCCGACGACAGACTAGCAAATTCCAGCGCATGGTCAACACCACTGACGATGAAGAAGATGCAATTGGGCTGGTCAGCGTGTCTCAAGGGAACGTGCTGGCGGGGAAGCACGATGCCACAGGTGGTCCGGGACAGATCGTGGTCAATCACCATATCGACGTTCGATAAGGTCGAGGAGATGAAGGATATTTCTCTTTCTTTTTCTCTCTCTCTGTCTCTTATTTCTCTTCTTTCTGTCAATTATTTTCTTTTGTCTGGGTTGGATTCGAATAAGTATCGTAAATCCCAATACAAAAAGTCTATGTATACCGACTGGACCAAACTCAAGAGACTGTCTTCCCCTTTTTCTTTCTCTATCTTCGTATCTCTCCCCTGATCCCTCTCCATCAGGATTCACTACTCCGTACGCGAGAGAGGTCAGTGTCGATCGACAGGGCCTCAGGTGTCAGTCACCTGCAGGGGCCACAACCCTAATTGGAGCCGAGGATGTCAATCTTTCCCTTTCTTTCTCTTCCACTCTCCCTCGCCCTTTATTCATCCTTTCGATTCTCTTCTTCTCGTCCGACAGACTAAGGTTGTCAATAATTCGGACACTTTCCTTCCGTTGACCCGCCCCTTAATCTTGAATGGGGTTTGTCCGCCCGAGCCCCAGAAAAGGTCAAGCAATGGCCCCCAAACCTCTAACGCAGGCGCGTTTTCTCTAGCCCAACTGTCTAAGGATAGCCGAATGGTGCCGTTTCTTAGCGGTACTTGATATCATTGGGGTACTTTACGGACTACTATGAGGGTCGTCCGGGATTAGAGTCCTTTTAGGATTAATTATAGCTGGGGGGAGCTGAAAACGAACGCCAAAAATCCTGGCGATGGCGGTGGATCTCAAAAACATCCTTGTGAGCTGCAACCTCACAACCAACAAGTGGGTCCGAGATCCACTACTAACGGCGCTAAAACAAAGCCTTGCTATCCTACTCCAGATCCCGTTACGGAGTGGTCCCGCGAACTGGTCGTGCTGGCAGGCTGGCAGGCTAGCACGCTGCCTGTGCAATCTCAATTCTCGCCCCCAAAATTAGCGATGCCTTCTCAGTGGGCCGATCGTCACTCCACGGACGGTGCGGATAGCAGAGGGCTGAGCCATGTCCTTTGTATGAGTTCCGATTCCGCGCCAAATTCATGCTGGCGGAGCTGAGAAACGTTGGCCCCTAGTTACCGATGCAGCAAATAATCCATAATTCCAGTCGCATCATAGAGGGGCTATGCTGACGGACGGAGGACACGGCCGGCTTTGACGGTCGATGAACACCTGTTATTGTGCACGGTCATTATAAATATCCTCTCTTCGCAGCCAAGTTTCTTGGTTGGGAGATTAAGCATCTGCTCCTCACGCCTTCCCCCACTTTTCATTCCTTCGCTGTATATCCGCCTTTCATTTTCCTTGGTCAGGTACAATGACCGCCCAAGATATCACCTTCAATCCCCGAACGGAGCTCCTCCCCAATATTGTCGACCACTATGCCAAAGTGAAACCAGACGCGTTATATGCAGAATATCCCAAGTCTCCCTTGACCTATGAGCATGGATATCGCCAGGTCACCTTCCGAGACTTGGCCAATGCGGTCAATGGCGTGGCCGCCTGGTTGACCGAGAAATTGGGACCTGGGAATGGCGAAATCCTGCCATATGTCGGTGCTAACGACGTGAGATACCCGGCCCTCGTGCTGGGTGCTGCCAAGGCCGGATATGTCGTATGTGAATCTATCCCCCCCTCCTCTCTCTCTGTCTGTGAGTCCCGACAGATAGTTGACTTCCTTAGATGTTTTATACGTCTCCTCGAAACAGTGTCGTAGCCCATGAGAGCCTATTCAAGGAATTAAATTGCACTAAATTCCTATCACCTACCCCGCGTCCTCCTCCAGTAACTGCCATCCTGGATGCTTTCAAGATGGACGTTCTCGAGGTGCCGAGTGTAGATGAGCTGTTGAACACCCCCTACCCCCATTTCGAATTCTCGAAGACGTATCCAGAGGCGGCCGGGGAAAGACTTGTGGTGGTGTAAGTTGCTCCTTTGTTAACATGGACAATCTCTTGAAACCTGGCTGGATTCTTAACTGCTCCTCTAGGCACACATCAGGCTCGACCGGCATTCCCAAGCCGATCTTTTGGACCCATGACGCTGGCAACAAGAACATGGAGATGGGCATTTTAGACGCACCGGAGGGATTTGAGGCCCAGGATCGTTGGATGATGACCAAGAGGATCTTCTCGGCACTACCACCGTTCCATGTAAGTGAAACTTCTTTTACTCTCCCAGCACACAGATGAGTCCATGTCTGCAGGTCTGACGAACTTTCAGGCGGCAGGCTTGGCCATGCTATTGTTTCTTGTTATGCCTGTAGGCGGCACGGTCATCTGTCCGACATCCGCTGGTCTCCCATCCGCGGCAGGTCTGGTGGAGGTCATGAAACACACACCCGTTGAGGCGGCCTTGGTCGCTCCGTTTATGGTCCTGGAGCTGGCACAGAGCCCAGAGCTTCTCGAATATTGCAGTCAGCATCTAGAGCTCCTTGCGTATGCCGGCGGAGATCTACCCCAGGCGATCGGCGACGCGGTGGCATCCAGGGTCCGCCTCATCAACCGATATGGAGCCTCGGAGATGGGCCTGCTGAACCTGGTTCATTCCGACACCTACCGAGACCGGCTCAAGGACTGGAGATACATGCACTTTCACCCTGCCCTAGGAGCCGAGTTTCGCCATGTGACTGGAGACGAGTACGAGCTGGTCTTCGTGCGCTCTCCTGAGCGGGAGCCCCATCAAATGATGTTCACCCTGTTCCCAGAGCTACAAGAGTATCACACACGGGACCTCTTCATCCGGCATCCGGATGAAAGCAAGGCTGACCTCTGGCGCTATAGCGCCCGAGCAGATGACGTGGTAGTCTTCCTCAACGGGGAGAAGACGAATCCCGTCTCAATGGAGCAACACATTACTGCTTCCAATTCGGAAGTGACTGGGGTTCTCGTTGCTGGTGCCCAGCGGTTCCAGGCCTCTCTCATGATCGAATTTGGTGGTAAGGATCTAAACCCCAGCGAACGAGCCGCTGCTATTGAAAAGCTCTGGCCGAGTATTGAGGAGGCCAATGCCGTCTGCCCGGCACACGCTCGCGTCGCGAAAACGCATATCTTGTTCACCACGTCTGAAAAGCCGATGCTGCGCGCCGGCAAGGGTACAATTCAACGAGCTGGAACTTTGGATCTGTACGCGCAGGAGCTTGAATCCTTGTATGCGGACGCAGATCGATTGGCGTCCCACACAGATGGCGAATTGGCCGGTCCGGGTCGAGTCAACGATGCGCAAGTGGTGTCGGACTTCATTCGACAGTCCCTAGTTTCCATCGCAAAATGGGATAATCTCAGCGACGAGGACAACTTCTTCAACCTGGGATTGGACTCGCTGCAGGCCATCACAGCAGCTCGATGGCTCAAGCGCGGCTTAGACTTCCCCAGCTTTACCACGAATCTGATCTATCTCCATCCGTCAGTTTCGGAACTAACGCAGGCTGTTCTTCAGCTCCAGCAACATCACGAGGCTTCCGAGGAAACCAAGAAAGATGCACAGCTTCAGGCTAGAAGCAGCGTACTGCAAGAATTTCAAGACATGCTCAAAACCTCCGAGGCCCAGACGGTGGTCCTGACGGGCTCCACCGGCACTCTGGGTACATACCTATTAGACTCACTGCTGAACAATCCCTCAGTGGCCCACGTCCACTGCCTGAACCGAAGGTCTGACAGCCGTGCCATCCAGCACGAGAAGAGCAGTTTCTATGGCTTGGGCTCTTCCCTCGATTCTTCCCGCGTCAGCTTCTGGACTGCGGATCTCTCGCAACCAGACCTCGGTCTCAACGCCGACGTCTTCAAGACCCTCCAGAAGACCACAACTCTCGTGCTCCACAACGCCTGGGCCGTCAACTTCAATCTTTCCCTCTCATCCTTCAAGCCCCACTTGGCAGGGGTCGTGAATCTCGCCAACTTCAGCTCGTCCGGCACCCAATCGCCCCGTCTCTTCTTCATCTCCTCCATCAGTTCCGTAATGGGCCATCGCACCGCATCTGCTGTGACGCCAGAGGAAGTGATCCAAACGCAGGGGCCGGGCCCTAACAGCTACGCCGACAGTAAATATCTCGCAGAGCAGCTGCTGGACAGCGCCGCCCGGGAGCGTGGTCTCCCGGCCTCAATTGCTCGAGTCGGCCAGATCGCCGGCGCAGCGCGGTCCCCCGGCCTCTGGAACAAGTCCGAATGGTTCCCCAGCTTGGTCCTCAGCTCCCTCCACGTAGGCGCCATCCCCGACTCCCTCGGACCCGCCCTGGACCGAATCGACTGGGTGCCCATCGACCTCCTCGCCGAAATCCTGGTGGACCTGGCGCTCCAGAAACCCTCCTCCCGGGGTCTCGTCGATGTCGCCCACCCACTCAACCTCTCGCCCACAACCTGGGAGGAAATCCGCCCCGTGGTCTCCGACGCTCTCTCCACCTTCGCCGGAAAACCCCTTGACGTGGTCCCCTTTTCGGAGTGGATTTCGCGCGTCCGCCATAGCATCGAAAGCACCGGCGGAAGCCACAAGTCGCTCGATGCCGACGAACTTCAGACTCTGCTGGCACAGAACCCGGCGGCCAAGTTGCTGGATTTCTTCGAGACGTCGGCGTCCACCTCCGAGCCGGGCAATGTGCTGGACACGCAGAAGACAGCGCAGCGGAGTGAAAAGCTACGGGCTGTGGACGCGATCAAGCCTGAATGGATCCGCAAGTGGGTTCAAGAGTGGTTGTAAAATGCCTTTCTCTTTATCTCATGTGATATTGGCCACAGGGACATGGTTTACAGACCCAAATGGTGAGAATAGGGTTATGTTTGATAAATAGGTCGATGGATAATTTAATAAGTCTAGCGGACTCAGCTTGGTCATTTGGATTTGCGCACCAGTTTCGTTTCATTCTTCAACACTGTAATCAAAGAACGACACATGCAGTGACATCAGTCGTATCATGGATGAAACCATCTTCTTGAAGTGCCCTATCAATCCATGTTCAATCTGGTATTTGTCCTGGTTTTATTGGCAATCGAGGTTTATCGGGAAGGGACCTAGTGCCATGTCAATATCGTCTCTTGATCGAGCAAGACAATTATATATTCACTTTCGATGCCAAGAAGAAAAGGAAGAAAATAAAAAGATGGTAAAAATCAAAAGTAATCTCATTATATACATGAAAAAGAAACTCTCTCCCCAAGGAAATCATTCTATCGTTCATACTCCTCATGAAGCAGGGCATCCGTGTTGGCAAACCCCTCGACCAGCTTCAGTCCGCGCAATCTCTCCTGCTCGATGCGCTCCCACGGCCACTCGTCCGCATCCCACGACTCGACATTCGCCTTGCGTTCCGCCTGCAGCGTCTCGCGCGCCGTCGGCGCCCCGTCCTCCAAATTCAGCACCTCGCGCACCAACGACCCGTCCACACCCGACGCCGAGGCCGCAAGACCGTCGCCCGCCGGCGTCCCTACCCCCGACGTCCCCGGCGTCTCCGACACAGCAGACAACTCGGTGCCCTCCGGACGTGGCGGCAGGAAGCCACTAGCGCGCATCACCCGCTCAGGGGGAACCGTCAGCCGACCCTTCTTAATGACATATTTACTCAGCGCAGACGCAAAGAGCGTACGCTTGCCACCCTTCCGCGGGGCCGGACGCAGGAAGAACGTGAGGATATACATCCACTTCTGGTCCCAGGCGACGAGCTTGGACTCGATGTCGTAGCGCTCGAAGGGCTTAATTTCGCGCTTAAAGCTGCAGTACACGGAGCCGAGGGCGATGTAGATAGCCTTGCGGGTGGGCGCGGGCTTACCCTCGATGCGACTGGCGGCGAGGAGCTCCTCGTCGAGCTCCTTGCTGACGATGGTGGAGCCCGGGGTGTAGAGGCGGGTGGCGAGCGCGGTCCGCGCGATGTCGAGGTCGGAGAAGTAGGTGCTGTTGGACTTGTGGAAGTTGTAGTCGGTCTCGAGGATGGGGGCGCGCGAGCTGATGCCGTAGGTCGCGAAGGCCGGGTGCGTGGGCTTGCCGCTGTGGCTGGCGATGGGGTTGCCTTTGGGGAAATGGGGGTAGCCGGCCTTCCAGCGGATGTTGGAGACTAGGTGGTGCAAGATACGGATCTATGATTGAATTAGCATTTATCCCGGAAGAGAGGTGTCATGGGTTAGACTTACATGCCATACAAAAGGAAGGTTCTTCAAATTGATGATGGCGAGCACCAGGGCCAGCGTCTTCCAGGACAGGATAGGCGGCAAATTTGATAGGAGCTCCTGCGGGCTCAATGACTCTAGAAGACCCATTTTTGAAATAGCAAAAGCGCCAACTTGTATAGATTCAATGAATTATGAGAAAAATCGGGATATGCGCCGAATCCGAGCCCCTGACCGCCCTGCTTGCGACAATAATGTTTATTTGTCCCCGCGGGGATCCGTTCGGGGTGGACAAAGACAGCGACGCGAACAGGCAAAAGAGCGACACGACTACGGCAGACCGCAGAATGGCGAGCCAACAAAAAAGGAGCGACGAGAGCAAGAACGAGGCCAGAATGCGGAGGGAAAAGAAGAGAAAGTGTTGGGAAAGTCAAATCCCCATCCAGGCCGAGGTCCGTCTCACGTGCCGATAGCTTATCGGTGACGCAACCAATGCAGAGTGACTAACTATACAGACAGTCTCGGTTGCAAAATAAACACATATCGCTATACAATCTCGCTGGAAAACATCCCCTCTCGGCCCTTAGAATAACGCCATGCAGTTCGGAGGGCTAGAAACCCCCTGCGCATGATTCAATGGGCTGCTCGACACGAAAAACGTCCACCGCCCCAATTGCTTGCACGTTTCCGCCAACCCGTCGAGATCGAACATCTCTCCGATCGCAAGACCCCAGCCCGTCAGCAGGTGGTGATGCAGGTCAAACTCCGGGTTCAATGGCGGGAATACCTCGAAGCTCACCGCATCCGAGGCCACCGCCGCGAAGTGATTGTCCCACATGAAGCGCAGCACCTGTTCACTCTGCTCGATCCCGGCATGCTTGGGCATCGACTGCTGGCTGTATGCGAGCTTCTGGCCGTCGTCCATCGAGTTCCAGGTCTTGGGGAGGCCGACTCGGAGGAAGAAGATGTCGCCGCGCTGAAACTCGATCTTGCACTCGCGCGCGATCTCCAGGACGTCGTCCAGCGACACCGCATGCTGGCTGAGCGCATTGACGGAGATGCCTTTCTTTTCGGCCCACGAGAGGTAATCAATCAGCACGCCTCGACCGGCAATGCCCTTCTTGGCCCAGTGTCCGATGCCGATGCGCGACGAGTTGGGGTCCTGGATCTCCTCTGCCGTAGTCCCGCCGTAGAACACCCGCCGGCTCGGGTCCTGGTCCGTCGGCGCGGGTGCATTATGGTGGCGCAACCCATCCCACTGGGATGACTGCTGGGGATTAAAGTGGTATTCATCGTCGAAAGCGACGCCCGGCATAACCCATTTAATGCGGTGCTCAAAGGGTTTGCGGCCGAAACCTAGAAAACCGGTGAACAGACAACATCCAGCGCATCATCCGTCCAAACAAAGCAACCTACCTGGTGGGTTCAGGTTCTGAAGATCCCAGTTCAAGCACACCCGTTCCCCCGTCAGGATCTGGGTCTGCGCTGCTTTGGCTACGATCTCGGGCGTGAGAATGCGCAACATGCCGAGTCCCTCCTCCGGCGACCCGGCCGGAGCGGGCCAGTATCGCCGTTTGTCAGGCAGGTCATCGTATGTTGCCGGCAGGTCGTTGATTCCGGACATGGTAGTGGGCTGTCTAGAGATGGTGGGGAGGGGCAAGAGTAGAAGAAGATGACGATGAAGAAGAGAAAGGAGGAGAAGCGAAAGGCGTGAAGTGGGGAACAGCGGAGTAAGTCCGACGCCAACGCCTCACATCTTCTACACATGACGTCGATTCCATTAATCTCTCTCTATCTGCGCAGACAATGAATGCACCGCTTCTACTCGGTCAAATGCTAAAATTCCAGCAGGTAAACAATACACAGAAAAGACACGATCCCGACCCTTATACAGTTCTATTCATCGCAACTTACAAGTCATCCTCCTCCGCCACCTTCCCCTGCTTGTTGAGGTTCGACATCTCGTGCTGCTCCCCTGCGCGTCCTGAGCTGCCTCCCGGGGTCGACATGGCAATGGCCTGTCGCCCCGTGTCTGACGACTCGAGGAACTCTCGCAGGCGCTTCTTGCCCTCGGTCAAGGCCTGGTTCGACGCAGCTTCGGTCATCTTCATGATGGGGCCCCACAGGTTCAGTTGGTAGGTCACGTAGGCTCCGATCGCGCAGACAAAGAGCAGGAAGAAGTAAGCCGGGTTACGGAGAACTGGTCGATGTCAGTAAGTTTCCTGGATAGGGAATCCAGAGGGAGAAAAGGCTTACCAGTCAGGATCTCGTTCCAGCCGAGGGCAAGGAGAATACCGTAAAAGTACAGGGGAACTTGCGTCATGCCGCCGATGGCGCTGCGTTTCGCCTCGACGTACACGCCGTCTGCGGCCTTCTTGAACCGGACGGTGAGCTCCTGTCGCTTCGCATCGCTAAGGATGGTCATCTCTTCCTCCAGACTCTTGCCCTCTTCTTCATCAACTCCGCCAATGGGCGGCAAGTCTTCCTCGTCGGCCGCGGTGGCAGAGCTGGGCGTATGTCCAACCCAGCGGTCCAGCGGAGGTGCAGCAGACGTCTCGGCCAGACGGAATTTGGAAAGGAGCGGGATCAGGGTGAGGGTCGATTCACGAGCGCGAGTGTAGATGCCTTCGATGTCGTCGGTGGGACGCCAGATTCTGGGGACTCCGGCCTCGTCGTAGCGGAACTTGTCCTCGAAGTTCTCGCGAAGCTTCAGTAACAAGTTACCCTCGATCATCTCCTCGTCGATCTTCGCACGCAGTACGCCCCACGACTTCCTTCGGAGCCTCCAGAGACCAACATCGACCTCCTCCAAGCTGGCATCGAAGCTGCTAGCGCGGTCGGTGAATCTGCGCTCGGCGTCAAGAACCGTTTCGACAAACACGTTCCACACCCGATCCCAGAACTGCTTCTCGATCGGCTTGTCGCCGGCTTCCGGAGCACCGCCACCAGCCCGACCCGAGCCCAGCGCGTTGAACTCGAGGCCTACAGACTCGCCCAGGCGGGAATGAACCCACCGCTCAACCCGGGTCGCCAGGCGTCGCATCTCATCCCGTCGCAGCCGAGCACTAACTTCGGCGAGCTCTTTTTCATACAGGGCCAATTCCTGCTTGTAGTCACTCCAGGAGGTACCCTCCATCACGGTGGCACGTGCAACTTCTTCAAATTTCTCCATTGCCTTCTGCGTCTCCTCGTTGACAATCTCGGCAAAGTCGTAGCCAGTGCCCTTCTTCTGTCCTGACTTGACTGCCGAAGACACTGCCTCGCTGAACTCGCTGATGCCGGACTTGTGGGTTGCGTTGAGCTGGCCTTGGAACAGTGCCTTCAGACGAGTATCGACCTTGCCTTCCAGTTCGGCCCGTTTGCGCTGATAGACGCCCTTGTGGTACCGACTGGCGGCAGTCTCGAAGTTCTTCAGGGCCTTGGATCGCGACGATCGCATCGCAGCTCCTAAACCTCCAAGGATCTCGGGCTCACCGAGACGAGAGGCTTGAGACTGCTTGTCTTCGAACGGAATGATGGCTTCATCGAACGCAACCATAACGTCCCTCAGGATCTCGTCGCAACGGAATTGCGCCAGTAATTCTTGCTGTGTGGGAAGATCTAGATCCTTATTGTGGACGATTTGTTCCCAAATCCCCTCTGCGTATCTTGAGAATCCATCCGCCGGGATGCGTCTGTGATACTCCGGGAGGAACACGCCTCCTTCGGAGAACTCGCCCTTCTGGGCATCCAAGCTGGGGTCCTTCTGGCCGTCCCGGAAGCGCAAACTTAGCTTCTTCGTCTCGGTCACAAACTGCTCCGGCTGGTAGCTTTTATGCGGAAGGCCATAGAACTGGAAGTCGAAGTATTCATGTACGTTCGCATTCTCCAGGCCGGGGGGCTTGGATATCGAATCCCACAAGCGGGACATATCTTCCATCAGGGTCTTTTCCAGGTTCTTGAGTGGTGTGGTGCCGACGAAGTCACGAATGACGAAAAACAGGAGGGATCGGTGGGTGGTACTAGAAACCGAGTGTTAGTACAAGTAGCATACGAAGCGCCGCGTTTGCACATTCAGGGGTCCACATACTTCTTGTCCTTCAAAAACAGCTGCAGGTTGACCTCAAACACAGTTTTGAGTAGTCCCATGTTTGCGCCTTGGTACAGACCGACCTGGTGCTCCCAGATGTTGACAATAAGGACTTCACTTGTCGCCAGCGCAAAGAGGGCGGACTTGCGCTCAAAGTCCTGGTCCTCGCCTCTCTCGCGGCCATCAGTACCCTCGACATCCATAACTAGGATGTTGTCTGCCATCGTGGATTCATCATTCTTGTTCTTGGACATCCAGATACCCTTGGTGGTCTGTCGTCTCTCCAGCTCGGACATGACCGAGAAATGGGTGCCGAAGAGATGGTTGAGCAGGGTGGATTTACCGGTCGACTGCGAGCCGAAGACCGAGATAAGGTGGTAGTTGAAGCCGGCGGGGGTGACATTCTCGATTCCCAAGTACTGGGACAAATTCGGACTGGACGTAAGCTCATATTAGCTCTGGGTAAGAAAACCCCTGGAAATTGACAAACCCCCAGTCGCATCATTGCGCTGCGGAAGCAAGCCCCAAGCAAGGCCAGTGGATCAAAAATAAAAAGGGGACAATAGTAAGAGTGAGGCATACTTGAATTCCTTGTCCCCGTCGATCACTTGCACGCCATGCTCGTAGGCCGTCTCATCGCTACCTTCGACCCCTATGGCGGCAAAGTGGCCATTGGTTGCCATGTTGGCAGGGTGGCCGTCGGGCTCCTACCTAGTCGTAAGGATTTCAGTGTTGAGAATAACCTCCGTTCCGAACACTCGAGGTGCGAAATTCGTGGGTCGCGAGGAAAGAAGCACTGTCCGCGGCGGATTTGAGGGGGTTGATTAGGAATAACGTCAGGGTGCGGAAGTGGCGAAGTAGAGATGGGGCGAGGCCGAATGAATGTAAGGGGAATCAAACGAAGCGACGGTAAGCTGTAGGCCGAAAAATGGGGAGTAGAAGCGAGAATCACAAGACAGCTGTCGGCAATAATGATCTGATCTGGTGGCCGGCGTCGTGTGGCCAGACAGGAGATCGTTGTCCGGGGCACGCCTCGTCGCCTGAGCGTCCAGGCCCCGACTCCCGACGCTCCTTCCGCTTCAGGACTAGTGCGCCCCGTGATCGTATCAGGTAAGGCGTGTTGTCGCCAGATTAATCAGGCACTCCGTGTTTCATCCATACAGTGACGGTGGATGCACTTCTTTCTCCTGAGATCTTCTATTTGAATCCTACCGTGCTTGCCTTTATCGCTTTATACTCATACATGATAAATTTCTATCTACAACAAATATGACTGGGAACCTTCCAGAACCATCCCCTCCAATTCACTGTCCATGCACAGCTGTTTGTCGGGACTATCCATTATCTCAGCCATCCACATTTGCACGGCTGAAGAATGGACTGGAAATATAAAACGGGCGCTCGGATGTTTCCTGAGAGCTGGACTGCTGGCCCTGTCGATTACCCAGTAGCGACTGCATTCGGGCCTGAAACATCGGGTTCTGCGCCAGCTTTCCGACCTGAACTGTAGTCTTGTCGTTGAATCGTGCATCGGGCTCGCCTTCGAATGTCGACTCAGGGCCAGCTACCCAGGTTCGCCCGGTCCGAAGACAACTATCTCGCATCTCGTCGGCACTTGAGTTGACCATGCCTCTCCAGAAAGCCCCTTCACCCTGCTTCAGGAGGCCGGCCTGTTCCAACATCAAAGCCGCCGCAGCCACCCAGTCCTGACAGTTGCCAATCCCGAATTCAGGAATGTTGGATTCGTCGTTTCCAAAGTCTGTAAGGAGACGGATCACACGCTCTTTTGAGTCGTTGGAGAAAGTGGCAATCTCACAGCGGCCTCTTAATACCGGATCTTCGAGTGGTTGGGTGCGTGGGTCGTAGATGAAGTCCGTGTCGTTTGGGTTACGAATGTGATGCATTTTGCAGGTTGGGGAGCCAAACTCATATACTGCAATCCCCATGTGAGATGGACCGTCACCGAGAGTGGCGTCTCCACGTCCGTAGACATTGATGGACATGCCATGTGTGGCTGTGGGGGTTGAGGTGTCCATGAGCGATATCGTAAAACAAGAATGCTACCAGGGTTTGTTATAGCTCACTGCGTGAATTACTCGAATTGAAAAGAGTGTGTTTATGCGTACGCAGTGGAGGTTGGCACTGGGTTAAATGCAGAGGGTTGCCTAGTAATATTACCTACCCCTCACTTATTATAGTGCGGCGTAGGCAATTGGCAACTTACTTCCCTCGTGTTTCTTTCAACGAATCCTCGAATGTCAAAATCTTGGATGGGAAGCATAGATTCAATTGTCACCAAAGCTGGACATGGCGAACTTTGGGGCTTCGACTTGCGGAAATGTGATCGCAAGGTGCTGGAGGCCATTATCCAGAAGGTAAGTGGGATGGACCACCAAAACAATCATAAGGACTGACTGGTGTAGTATCGAGACTGCAGTTCCACCATTCCTTCATTGCGGGATTCCGGGGCAAAGATCCAGCTTGCAGAGAGCCTAGAATGGCGACGCTACTCATATCCACGACGTGTCCTTGCTAAGACAAGATCTTTTCTACTAGAACTGGGACTGTTCCGTATCACTCTCCATCAAGGTAGCTATGTGATGTGGGTCACAATTGATGAGGACACCCTGAATTCATCTGCGCTCTTGAATTCAAATCTAGCGTCATCTGAAGGATTTGTGAACTTGGGCATTACCGCCATGGAACTGCTGGCCGACATCCTCTTAGGCCACCCACCTAGTGAATCCTCTGCAGATGATCATCGTGCTTCCTGTGTGGTTGAATTTAACCTACGTGATATTCCCAAAAGCCGTGACATGAAGTACAGCCTTCGAAATAGGATACGCACAGCTATAGCAAAGATGGTGTCTCTAATTCGTTCTTACTACCCATCCTTCATTAGCAAGGCATACATCATCAACCCTTCCGAAGAGTATCTTGCGTATCTGGATGTTCCAGAGCGTCTTTTAAGGGAGACTGTACTGTTACAAAGCCCCAAAGATCTTGGACTCCATCTTGGATCGCAGGTACCACCTGAATATGGCGGTTTCGGGAAGTCATTATCGGAGTCTGATTGCCTCAGGACCTTTTCTCTTGACTCCAAGATGCACGACAGTACAAAGGAAAGTGCAGAGTCTCGGGAGAGGCGAGCCTCTCAACGATTGCCACCGAAAATGAAAAGGATGGAACGGAACCACTGGTCTCCAGTGGTAGCATCGCCCAAACCACAGATGATCCAGAGCCGGAGGAGCCACAACTACGCTTGATCTACTCAGAAACCATCGGCCCACCCACCATTGTTCTCGATCCGGAGGACTTGGAGGCGAGTGAGGACCTCTGTCCCAACAAGATGGGTGCTCGTCTTGTACTCGCAGATTCTGACATGCTGGTGAAATTCGGGCATGGCGTCCGGTTAGCAGAAGCCGAAGCTTTACACCTGGTATCTGTCCGCACGGCAATACCAGCACCGAAACTTTTGAGCGCGTATATCCTAGACGGCACTGGTTATATCGTCATGTCTTATGAAGCCGGTGAATCTCTGGAAAGTTACTGGGACCACTCCTCGAGCACGGAGCAAGAGGATATCATACAGCAGCTACATAGCTACGTCAAACAGTTGCGCGAGATTAAAGGTGACTTCATTGGGGGAATCGATGAATCTCCTTGCCGTGATGGGATCTTTGAAGCAGGTTACGGAGACTACAGACAATACAGCTATGGTCCATACTCCTCGGAGCAAAGCTTCAATGAGGGAATGGTCCAAGCTCTGCGAGATCGCCTGCATCCCAAAACGCTTGAGCGTAACGATGATCCCGAATCTGTGTTTTTCACCGGTGAATATACCCTCTACCAGACTGTTAGGGCACTAAAGGATCATGAAATTGTTTTCACTCATGCTGATCTACACCCGGGCAATATCATTGTTCGGTCTGATGGTACACCGGTTATCTTGGACTGGGGCCTAGCCGGCTTTTGGCCTGCGTACTGGGAATTTTATCGTGCCATGCACAATCCTACCTGGAGGAGATCGTGGGATCGAATGGTGGAAAAGTTCATTCCACCATACTATATTGAATATGGCGTCATGGGTAGGGTGTTCTCTGTCGTATGGAATTGAGAACTATTTCTACTAGCTCTTGAAATTCTAAATCTTCCTTCAAAACTTTTCTTACTCGGGATATCTAAGAATAACAATCTTTGGTTTCAATGTTGGTAATGAAAAGAAACAAACCAAAATAAAACAAAATCCTAGTACCATTTGTAGTAGAACTAAGGCGGCATCGACCTGAAACATAATCGAGGCCGCAAAAGCCACTCAAGCAGGATGATGACCCTCATCCATCGACTCCAGGTATTGCGAGATGACCGGTGGCAGGGTCTCGTCGAGGAGCGGGTCTTCAGGCATCTGGGGGGGACGAAATGGCTTATAGCGACCCTCTAGGGTACCATCTCTGACCTCTCGATAGTGCAATAGACAATCCCATCGCACCATATCCCGCAAAAGAACCACGTTCGCCAGGATGTCGAACAGAAGCTGTCTGTATTCTTTGGGGATCTGGTGTTTGAAATACCAGGTCCCCGCCTCCTCCGTTCTATGGAACTGGGTGGATAGAAGGATGGGGATGCCCAGTCGCAACGTATGTTGATCTTGTTCGAGATCCAGCCACTTCTCGACAGTGCAGATGAAATACTCATGCAGACGCGGGATCAGATGTCTCAGGCCAGTCCCTTCATCCTGGAGGGAGTACTTGTATTCTGCGGCGGAGAAAATCAACACGTTGAAAGAAACCAACTTGTCGAGGTATTTGGCCTTCCACTGGCTGGAGCAGCAGAGCGCCTTTGTCAGCACTGGTACTTGGGCTGGGATGGGAGTACGTAGCTTCGCTTTGATGCTTCCGCCGGGTCTTGTCTCGAGAGGGATGTAGCCATTATTCTTCAGGACCTCGGTGGCGCGCTCTGGATCGGACACCAAAACAGGGAGCTCGGATTTATCTGACGGGAGGCCGGGGAAGTCCTGGAGGTCATGGCCCCAAATCTTGCAGGGTATGCCGGCCTGACGGAGCAGAATACATGCCCTGTAGGGGTGTTGTGGCGACGATTCATCCAGTTTGCTATACTTTTGGTCAGCGTGGGCAAGATCTCGCAAGGACTTCCAGGCTGGGTGGAGTTCTCGACGCCACCTTGGCGAGTCATCTTCTGAGAGGATAGCAGGAGGCATGGCGCTTCTTGGAGAGGGCGACAAACAATGGTTACACTGAAGTTATGCTCGAACGCCTTGGTATGGTGGTTTGACCGATATGGAATTGCCGGGGAGGGTGTATACTTATATTGTTCTAAGAGAAATAGGATTTCTGGTACTGACGGGGATTTCCATCTAGGATTCTTTGATCTTACCGAAAGATCCCTGGCGTTATTGCCGGATTCCACTCTGCCATGGGAAGCCTTTGTTGCTTTTGGACATAGTTAACTCAACTTACCGGTACGAAATAACGATGCACGCACGGGCTCCCTCGGAGCCAGGAGCTGCTTGTCTGAATGAGGGGTATTTGCATGATGTGCATAGATTAGCTATTAGACCTGGCCGAGTTCTAAACCGGCCGTATGAGCTGGGATATATACTCCCGAAGGAATATAAAAAGTTAGCATAGAAAGCCCTAAGCCAAAGTTTGCATTCCCAAACCGCAAGAACAAGCGCACATAACCGTAACCCATGCGCAGAAAGATAACAAAATGAACCGAAGGTAACTTTCCTTGCATCCTCTTTCAACCAAAACTATATAGACCACCGAGAAAGCTATCGAGCACACTGGTCTTCCCAGACAACATACGCCAACATTAAGTGTTGCCTCATGTATCCCTTACTAGAGAGGTCTTTCAAGCAATTGGGGATGTGGTTTAGTGGTATAACGTTCGCTTAGCATGCGAAAGGTCCGGGGTTCGATTCCCCGCCTCTCCATCCCAATTGATTTTTTGTTTTTGTCTTTCCGCTTGCCGGTGTAATTCATAGTGGATCGACATCTTTTTTTGCGGTTCGTGCCACGGGACCGAAAGTTGTGCATATCGTCATTCCTGTCTATCGTCTTGACCTACACCTCCTAATACTAAAACCAAAACAAGACTATTCAAGATCATTTGATTCGTATTCAATGATAGAGCTGAAATAGAGGGGAGATATAACAAGGAAAAAAAGAAAATTCTACATGTTTTTAATACAATACATAGATCGACATCACTCAAAGAACTCCGGTGTAGTCCACGGTCGTGGTGTATCAACATTCCCCGGATGCCTTCGCTCATTCCCGCGCTGCAAAATTAGAGAGACCCAGAAAGAAAAAGCCGGTTTTGGTTCCATATTACATAGCAGCCAATTAGTCGGTGCAGTCTAACGCAGACTGGTAATTTAAATCACACGGGTGACCAGACCAGTGGCAACGGTGCGACCACCCTCACGGATGTTGAAGCGCTGGCCAGCCTCGGCAGCGACGGGCCGGAGGGTGCTGAGGATCATCTCAACGTTGTCACCGGGCATCACACGGCGGGACTGATCCTCGCCGACGAAGGTGAGATCGGCAGCCTCGTCTGGAATGCAGAGTTAGCCAAGCTTCACTACACTGACAACGCAGCGGGGAGCAAGCAAAGAAGTAGGGACTTACCAGCAGTGCGGATGAAGACCTGGGGACGGTAGTTGGAGCCGAATCCGGTACGGCGGCCACCCTCGGCCTCGGTCAGGACATACATGGACACAAGGAACTTGTCGTGAGCCTTGGTGCTGTTGGGGGCAGCAACGACCATTCCACGGCGGACATCCTCACGGCGGACACCACGGAGCAGAAGACCGGAGTTGTCACCGGCGCGGGACTCGTCGCAGGACTTCTTGAAGGTCTCAATGTCGGTGACCTTGGTCTTCTTGGCATCCTTGCTGTTTCCGACAATCTCGACCTCGGTATCCTTTCTCAGGACACCACGCTCGACACGGCCCGAGACGACGGTACCACGGCCGGGGATGGAGAAGACCTCCTCAACGGACATGAGGAAGGGCTTGTCAAGGTCACGCTGGGGGGTAGGGATCCAGGTGTCGACGGCCTCGAGCAGGGAGTCGATACGCTCGGTACCGATCTCGGGGCGACGGTTCTCCAGAGCACACAGGGCGGAACCGAAGATGATGGGGGTCTCCTCACCCTCGAAACCGTAGCTGGTGAGGAGCTCGCGCATTTCCAGCTCGACGAGCTCCAACATCTCGGGGTCCTCGACAGCATCGACCTTGTTGACGAAGACGACGATCTTCTGGACACCGACCTGACGGGCAAGCAGCAAGTGCTCACGGGTCTGGGGCCTGTTTGTGGATGATTGTAAGCATGAGTTCTGCGCCCGCAGTTTGTGCGGAGTTTCGGGGATCTCAAAACGTACATCTGACCGTCGGAGGCGGCAACGACGACGATGGCACCATCCATGTTGGCAGCACCAGTGATCATGTTCTTGATGTAATCAGCGTGACCGGGACAGTCGACGTGAGCGTAGTGGCGGTCCTGGGTCGAGAACTCGATGTGGGCGGTCGAGATGGTGATACCACGCTTACGCTCCTCAGGAGCCTTGTCAATGGCACCATACTCGAGGAAAGTAGCAAGGCCCTTGGAGGCCTGGTACTTGGTGATGGCGGCGGTCAAGGTGGTCTGAATTGGAACGTGTTAGGGATGGGAATCCGGATCATTTCGGGGAATTCGAGCGAGACGTCGTGGTCCTTACCTTGCCGTGATCGACGTGACCAATGGTACCTGTAAAGTTTCCGTTTAGCAGGTCGGATCGAGATATCGAAGGGGAGAAGGGGATGCCTACCGATGTTGACGTGAGGCTTGGAACGCTCGAAAGCAGAAGCCATGCCACGGGCAGCCAGCCTGTCTTTCATGAAAACATGCTGAACAGGGTTAACAGCACGAGGGCGCAGCAGGGAGGCCCTGCTGGAGCGCAGGAGGAGGTTGGCGGAACGGGAGATGTTCGACATATTGACTGCCCTGCGATGAAAAGACAGACGACGGAACAACCAAAGGAAACGCGATGGAGTGGAAGAGACGGAGCTGGACTGATCGAAGTCGAAGAAGTCGAGACGCCGAAAAATTTAGGGGCGGACGCTTAGTCATCACCACCGCCAATCAGGTCCGCGGAATTGCGGAGCCAGGTACCTGAGGTATCTACCTTCTCCAGGTGGCCTGCTCAAGGTACAATGTTTGGGGTTCAGATTGGCTCTAGTTCGCAGTGAATTTTTGATATTCATTATCATATCAACAAATTCGGAGTGGTGGTGAGCTTGAGACTACAGTAGTATGCATTGTCTGTCCGTCTGGCCCGGGCCGCCGCGACCATAACAATGAGACCGACCTCTATAGAGTTTCGCGTCGCTATGATATAGTTCTTTTGCTTTGTGTGGAATTGTTGCAAACATGTACAGTACATCGATTCACCCAAGAAGACACCCTTAACCTCAAGTATCCTTTTTCTTCACCACGAGAAGAACATGCTTGCCGGGGTCTCCCTCCATCGGCCGAACCTGCATGGCATTCGCTTCCTTGACGGTCGTAATCACACTGTCCATCAGATGCTTGATCTCCTCCACGTTGGGAGACCTTTTGCCTCTCTTCCGGGTCAAGATGATCTCCACTTTCCGGCCCTTGTCCAAAAAGGTCGTCAACTGCTTCAGCCGATGCGCGAGATCATGCGCATTAATGGCCCAGTTCAACTCAAGCTGCTTGGTCGACACCTTGGCAGCATGCGCGGCTTTCGCCTTTGCTCGTTCATGGTCGCGCAGTGCGATCCGGTTCACGATCTTGCAGACGGTGGGCCGGTCAGGCAGCGTAGGAGACACCTGCAGGAGGAAATTCTCTTTGCGGTTGAATGACCTGAGCACATCGCGGAGTCTGGCGGGAGGGTTCAGACCGCCCGCGTCATTCACCACTTGGATGATGTCGGCCTCGATGGCTTCATCCCTCAATTGATCTCCTGGGTCTTGATTGGGAGGAGGAGAAGTTGGCGACGACCGTGCAATAAATGGCGACCGAGGGCTGGCGTGGTAGAGGCGGGATTGGTTGAGAGTAGGGGCCGCGAAGTGACGGAGAAATTGGGATCGAGGCACTTGCAGCGGAGTAATAAAAACGCGGCGAAGAGCCTGCGTCGTCGAAATGAGGTTGCGCATGTGCTTCATGATGGATTCGAGGGGACCTGCCCGGTCGGGGATATCAGAGGGAGGGACGGGGGGTGCAGCGAATCCTCCGTCGAGAGGGCGAGACGATCAGGGCGAGACGGACTGGAGCAAGGGCTGGAGTGGAATTGACAGTTGTGGAGGAGAGCGTTAAGCGTGCGATCGTTGGAATGTTCGGAGGAAGCTCAGGAAGAGGAGCAAGACGCAAGCGGGTCAGCCACCGACGGGGCCTGCGCCACGGCGGATCCAGACTTCCAGACTTCCAGACGGACGCTCTTCTCTCCTGACACTCCACCAACTTTCTTCCCCTTCGCTGTCCTTGCCGCTTCTCTCTTCCGCTCCTTTGTTGGCCTGGTCCGGAGGCTTTTGAAGGATCCATGACTCCGTTGCTTTTCGGTCGTTAATTGATTTTTCTCTCGCTGCGTTCTTTCGGTCGATTTCGCCCCCCAAAGAATAAAAAAGTTTAACACTTTCCCCCACAAGGCGCTTCTCCGGTCGAAACGCCACATTGCCCTGTACTTCGTCTGGCTCGTATGTCGACTGGCGTTGACGGTCGACATCTTCAAGACACTCATTCTTTTCCGAACCCGCCTTCTAGCGCAAGTAGGCGCCCTGCGTCGCGGGCTCTCGATCCTGCAAACTCGCCGGCCAACGGTTTACCCAACAAACCGCCACAAAGTCCGACCCAGGTGACCATGGCTCAAAGTCAGAGATCTCGGTACCTGAAGACAGGAGCCATTATTGGCGCCCTGCTGTTGATGATCCTATGGCTCTCGCCCTCGAGGCCAGTAACGACCAGTCTTCCCCAGGGTGAGTAGCCGATTCTTGCCGGGTGAAACTTGTACTATGCTAACGAACGAGGGATGGCAGAAAAACCATCGAGCGGCGTCGCGGGAGCGACGGAAAAATGCTCGAAGCCTTACGACTCATCGAAGCCTTTGATCCAATATGCGCTCATGATCGATGCTGGCAGTCAAGGCTCTCGTATCCACGTCTACCGATTTAACAACTGCGGCCCTACCCCCGAACTTGAGCACGAAGAATTCGAGCAGACTGAAAAGAAGGCGGGTGGCTCTGGCCTGAGCTCGTACAAGGAAGATGCCGAAGGAGCGGCCAAGAGTCTTGACCCTCTCATGCAGGTGGCCATGAGAACTGTCCCTGATGAATACAAGTCTTGCTCCCCGGTCGCCGTGAAGGCCACTGCCGGACTGCGGATGCTTGGACCAGAGATGAGCCAGAACATCCTGGAAGCGGTCCGGACCCGTTTGGAGACTGCCTACCCCTTCCCCGTTGTCTCCCGTGAGAAGGGAGGTGTTGAGATCATGGATGGCTCCGACGAAGGTGTCTACGCCTGGATCACCACCAACTACCTTCTTGGCAAGATTGGCGGCCCCGATGAGACCCCCACCGCTGCCATCTTCGATCTGGGTGGTGGATCTACTCAGATCGTCTTCCAACCCACCTTCGAGAAGAGCCAGTCTGGTGGTATGCCAGAGCACCTGGCCGAGGGTGATCACAAGTATGACCTTCAGTTCGGCGGACGACACTTCGAACTTTACCAACACTCCCATCTCGGATATGGTCTCATGGCCGCCCGCGATTCGATTCATAAGTCCATCGTCGAGTCGATGCTGGCCGCTAGCCCCGATGATTTGAGGTGGATCAAGCAGCCCATCCCTAACCCCTGTATCGGCCCTGGCATGGAGCGTGAGATCAAGTTGACCTTCTCCAGCGAGCACCGCCTCGGAAAGGAGGTTACTGTCAAGATGATGGGTCCGAAGGAAGGAGTGTCCTCGGCTGCGCAGTGTCGCGGGTTGGCCGAGAAGCTGCTGAAGAAGGATGCCGAGTGCAAGCTGGCCCCCTGCTCCTTCAACGGCGTTCATCAGCCGTCGCTCGAGAAGACCTTCGCCAGAGAGGATGTGTACATCTTCTCCTACTTCTTTGACCGCACCAAGCCTCTGGGTATGCCCGACTCGTTCACTCTGGAAGAGCTGCACCAGCTCACCTCCACCGTCTGTGGCGGCGAGGCGCAATGGGGCATCTTCGAAGGCATCGCCGATGCGCTGCCCCAGCTGCGCGACCGGCCGGAGTGGTGTTTGGACCTGAACTTCATGCTGGGCCTGCTCCATACGGGTTACGAAATGCCTCTGTCGCGTGAGGTCAAGATCGCCAAGAAGATCAAGGACAACGAACTGGGATGGTGTTTGGGTGCCAGGTAAGATTTCTAATTCTGATTTCTCCCATTCTTTTTCTCTCATACTGACAAATTGCCAGTCTGCCCTTGCTGAGCCAGGAATCTGGCTGGACCTGCCGCGTGAAGGAGATTTCCTAAGGTCGAACGAGACCCGGCGGCCCGGTGATGTATAGCTATTTAATTACCCTTGGATGGTCTCTACCATCTGACTTTCCCCTTTCCATGCGAATATAGGCTAGACCATGCGCATGTTTGCATTTTTCTCTCTCTTTATTTCTGCTGTGCAATAGACTTCTTTATCCGGTCTGTTTTGTGTGTATGGTACGGATTCAATGTGATCAATGTCTTGGAGATTGCTGCAGGGCGAAACGATGCAGACGAGGATATAATCGAAAGAAAAACTTTTATATGGTACACAGTCGACCTGAAACCAAGGGATACTCGTACAGATAGACTCTGTACCCCGTGTAGATAAACCCAACCGATGAGCGCCGTTCCATGCAATTTATGTAGTCTACCACCCCGATCGATAAAATTCTATAGTTCTTGGATCGTCGGCTTCTTCGACGAGGGCTCCTCGTCGTTGCCCATTAATGTATCCATGACGTTCGAGTCCGATTCTTTCGAGCGCGACTCCGAGTCTTTCTTGGGCCCTTCAGACTTTTCGCGCTTGTCCTCATCGTCGGAGTGCTGCTCTTCCAAGACGCCGAGACCTAGATTCTACCCCAGACCGAACCAGATTAGCATTACCATCCATAAGAGACCGACAGACAGAAAAAAAAAGACACACCATCTCAATATACCGGCCCTCACTCTGGTCGTCGACCTCATCGAGCCTCAAATCCATGCCCCGGCCGGCGTCAATCTCGCGCTGCAAATCCTCGTTGGCGGACTTCATCTGCGGCAAAAAAGCCGACAAGCGCGACATCAGGCCCTGGTCGTCCTGGACGCGATGAATCCGCGGCTTCGCGCGCCCCGAGACATGCGGCATGCGCTGATCAGCGTCAGCACCAGCACCAGCACCAGCACTCGCATCCCCGTCGTGGCTTTTGACGTCACTGTCTAGCCGCCGGGCGTGCTGGTCGTCACTGCGCTCGGCATCGTCGCTGTCGTCGCCGTCACTATCACTATCACTTCCCGAAGAGGAGGTGTAATCGTCCTCGTCGTCGTCGTCAGCAGCGCCGGGGTTAGCGCCGTGTGTGACGGGGTTGGCGCTGACGGCGGCGTCGCGGGGGCCAGAGGAGGGCGAAATTTGGCGCCGGGTGTGCTGGGCTGTTGGCGGCGCGCGAGTGCGGTGGGCAAGCGAGGTGGAGGAGGGTGATTGGCGCTCCGTCTCGGACTGCGGGCGCTTGCGAGCGTCGGCCATGATGAGCGTGCGCCAATGACGAGAGCCGGACAGGGAGGGAAGAGAGGGGAGGAGGGGGAAAACGGGGGACGAGGATGTCGCGCAGAAGGATTTCTTTGGCTTTTCGGAGGGATCGGGCGAAACGCGGCGGAGGTGGGTTTTGGGTGGGGATGGCAGGTGGATTCGATGCAGGAAGACGGAGGGAGGATGAATTCTGGCGAGTGGAATAGAAATGAAATGAAAGAAAAAGGAAATGGAAAAGGAAAGGAAGGGAAAGGGATGAAACGAATCACGCAGATCGAATCGCCGTCTGTGCTGTGATTCTGTGACGGCGGGAGGTTTGTTCAGCCCCGCCAGCAGGGAAGAGCGCAGTCACTCTGACGGAGGACTATATTATATCGACGCTGTCTCTGTTCCGGACTCCCTGTGCTCTTCCCTGTCAAAGAGGTTGGGTTCATTCACAGTGTCATTGTCTGGTCCTCCATTGAAGGTATGGCCTGATTGTTCGTCCCGTCCTATACTTCCTTCATACTTGGCTCCAGCTCGCTCCACCACTCTTTCACTCGTTGTTGTCCTCGTTGCTTTGTGTTTCTTTATGTCGACTATACTATATAACACCATGACTCAAGACTGACCTCTAATCGCAGATTTGCTTCTCGTTCCGTGATACGCCTCCATCCCACCTCCTGAGCTGCACCTCCATCGAAGGGCCAACTGGCATGAGCATCGAGAACCACATCACCAGCTCTAGACTCTATACAACACCCTGATCACAAGTATACTCTCTTTTTTCGAATATCTAGAACCAAATCCCCCGCCAACCACAAAAAAAAAGGACAATGCCCCTCCCCAAGCTCCACATCAACGACGCCAGCCCCGTCACCGACGAGCTCGCCAGCCCCGAAGAGCCCACGATCACGCCCATCTCACGCAAGTCCCTGCACCAGAACATCTTCGGCAAGCTGCGCCCGCTGCCCTTCCAGTACCACTGGACGGTCTGGTACGACAAGCACTCGGACCCGCCCGGCGACTACGAGAACCGGTTGTACGTGCTGCACGAGGACGTCGCCGACATCGCCACCTTCTACCGCGTCTACAACAACTACCCCTGGAACAAGGTGCGGCTGCGCGACACCGTGCACATCTTTCGCAAAGGCGTGCGTCCCGTCTGGGAGGACCCCGAGAACCTGAAGGGCGGGTGTTGGCGGTTCCGCGTGCCCAAGAGCAAGGCGCAGGCGTTCTTCCATGAGATTGCCATCCTGTGCATGGCGAATGAGTTCCAGGCAGTGTTGGAGAAAGGTATGTATTTGTCTCTTCTCCCCTTTTTCCTTTTCCTTTTCGCTTCCTCGATCAGCGATTGTTGCAGGTTGGGGGCCGGCAGAGTGACGATTGGCTAATGATGGATATCCAGAACATGACCACGTCCTGGGCGTCTCGACCTCCGTGCGCTTCAATTCGCATCTGATCTCGGTCTGGAATAAGCTTGGGTCTAATGAGAAGTCGATCAAGGTCCTGGAGCGCACCATTCTCGATCGGCTATCGCCTGACCTGCGGCCCACGGGGTCCGGGTCCAACTCTTACTTCTATAAGCGGCATGATGAGAATGAAGGATATCAGGAAGCCGTGGAGCAGCTGGCCTTGAAGAATTGATAGTATATGGTTGTCTGTCGAGGTTGCTGAAGCTGATTGACGGATGGCTGTTTGTGTTTGTCTTTGTTCCCTTCTCTTCATCATGCATCTTTATCTTTGCATTTCTCATCCGAGATTCTTGCGCGTTACTGTATTAGTAAGGGCCTTATAAATTTCACAATGAATATATATATTTAGATAATTCTTATTCATAATCAGAAAAGTAATCTCCATGACACCTGGTGATACATTCAAGACCATGAAGAGAAGACACAGGCAGATTAATTCGGCCCATTTCAAGACCCTGGACTGGGTGTGGGATAAACCAAAGACAAGCTTCTGCCAGTGGCTCGAAGAGTGGGGCGAGATATACTAGATAAATGGCCGAGTTGGACTGCCTATCTCTTCTATCCTGCACTGCTAATTATGTTTTAGGCCGGGAGTGGAAAATCTACTGGAGTCTGTCAAGCCTCTTCCTTTAGTGAACCTGAGCTTTCTTGGGAAGGAGCCGATGGTTAGAGACTATGCTTTCGACCAACACGTCCAAGCAATCACACCAGATAGTCTATTGGATATTTGCCAGACTTGGAGGCCACGGCTGCAAAATAGATGCGGTGACCTTTTAATTATTCACGCCTGCGCGGGAGCTTCTTGCCAGCAAACTCACCCCAAACCAGATGAGATATCTAGATAAGGTAATGGGAGAAGCTCAGTTGCGAGCTTAGAGCACGAGCCAGGGCTGGATCAAATGGGTTGGCTAGATGACCGCCGGTAATCCTAGCTGAAGGTATTTCCTCCCAAGGTTGGTATAAGAAAGTGAGGCATACAAGTGCATGTTGCTTGCATAAATTGAAGCTCCCCAATGGGAAATCTATACCTGATTCTATCGTCCCGGAACTGAACATAAGCCAGACGGGTTTGAGACTTCTTTGGAATCCTTTCAAGATCATCATCCCTTCGGAAACGCATCTGGAAAACGATACCAGCCTCATAGATAGGCCCACTCCTTGTCCTAATCGATGTGCCGTTGAATCTCAACATTGAGAGTAAGTGCCTGATATGACAGATTGTTATTACCCTCAGGCGATATGCAAACGACGGACGGCTTAATTTCAGAAGTTGAGAGGGCTCCACAGGTCTGCTGTCGTTTCCTCCAGATGTCTCTTATCTTCTTCTCATTTTTCTTGTAGGTAATCCTTTGCTCGTTCTTACTATGCATAGGGCATGTGGATAGTCATGAGCTTCAGAAAGCGAGGATGAACGTAATCCATCATTAGAATTATAATTCGGTACTTCCATATGATACAGATCCCAATCCCAATCGCTAAATAGTGTACATCCAATAAGAAAAAGTACAAGACATGTGTGCCGACTAAGCGGTTTCATCGAATGGCCCTTTTTTTTTGGTGCTGTCTATCGGCTGCGACTCCTGCGCCGACTGGGACTTCTCCTGCGCGGTCGTCGGTCGTCTGCGTCGCGATTGCGCTCCGGTTCCTTGTTGTCCGGTTTTCGATCTCGTTCTCCTCGTTCTCCTTGCTCTCGCTCCCCGCCGGGGATGTATCGATCGGCTTCCCCGTAGCGCGGCCGCTCTTCGCGCTCTCGTTCCATGCGTTCGGGAGATCGTACGCGACGACGGGGAGATCGGCTGCGGTTGCTAGTCGGGGGCACGTAGCGGTCGATGTCGAGGGTGCTGGGCGATCGTCTGGGCGATCGTCTGGGCGATCGTCTGCGTGATCGTGATCGACGGCGCGAGCGTGATCTCTTTCGGGGTGAAGGGGATGGCCGTGAGGTCTCAGGTTCACGATCACGATCACGATCACGGGTGCGTTCCCGAGGGTCTCGATCCCTATCTCTGTCCCTATCCCGGTCCCTATCCCGGCTGTCTCGATTGTCCCGGTTGTCTCTGCTGTCCCGGCCGTCTCGATTGTCCCGGCTGTCTCGATTGTCCCGGCTGTCTCGATTATCCCGGCTGTCTCGATTATCCCGGCTGTCTCGAGCGTCTCGGTTGTCTCTGCTGTCTCTGCCGTCTCGATCCCTCTCGCGATCCCTATCTCTAGGTCGGTCCCGCTCGCGCTCGCGGTCACGGTCACGGTGATTGGAGCGAGAGCGAGTGCGTGAGCGATATCGAGGACGAGATCGGGAGCGAGCGTAGTCGCTGCGACGGCGACGGTAATCATCGCGATATCGGTCCCTATCCCTATCCCTATCCCTATCTCGGTCTCTGTCTCTATCCCTTCGATCCCTGTCCCTATCGCGGTCTCGACTGCGATCCCGGCGAGTGTCGAACCTTTGATCCCGATCATCGCGATTGCGATCTAGATCCCGCTTTTTATCCTGATCATGGCCGCGCGTAGTGGATCGGCTCCGACTGCGCCGAGCCGGTCGGTAGCTGCGATCGCCATATCCCCCTCGGAAATCACGGATTGCAAGTCTATCGTCGGTGTCGCGGTCCCGGGGTCGATCGGACGCGTCCCGCGAGTCTCGACGACCCTCCTCGAACCGAGATGTATGCCTCCGCCTCGAGCGGCTCCGACTCTCGTCCCGTTTGCGAGTAGTTTGCGGGCGCTCGTCTGCCACCGAGCTGCGTTTGTGATGCGTGACAGACTCGCCCGAAATGCCTTCGTCCTTCGCCGAGGGCATGGTGTGTTTGGTTTCGGAGGAACTCTTTGGTCGTGCCGAGGCCGTCTTGAGTCCGTTTTCGATCGCTTCGGCTTCCTCGAAGTCAAACTCTGGTTTCTGTCGGGCTTTGGCTGCCAGCTCTTCGCCTTCTTTTAGAAGGAGCTCCAGAGCTGCTTCCTCCAAAGACTTCTCATCCACCGGCGGGGCAGGCGCGGCAGTAGGGAGTGGGGCTGGCGTGGGCTCCTTGGGGGTTGCGGAGGTGTCTTTTCGGGAGTCGCGATGGCGAGGGGAGAGTCCGCGGTCAGAACGGTATCCGGAGGAACGATCGCGACGGTATCGGTCTCGGTCTGAGTCTCGGTCTCGAGTGCGACTGCGGTCACTATCGCGATACCGATCATAGTCGCGGTATCTGTCGCGATCCTCTCGTCGCCGCCGCTCATATCGTTCCTGACGTTCTTTCTCTCGCTGCTCGTCCAGCAGCCGTTGTTCGGCGCGGCGTTTTTCTTCGCGCTCTCTTCGGCGGGCGCGGTCCTCTTCTTCCTTTTGGCGCTTGATCTCGCGCTTCTTGCGGTCTTCCTCCTCCTTGCGCTGCGCCTCCTCTTCCTCGATTTCCTTCTGTTTGCGCAAATACTCCTGCCACTCCTTTTCGCGCTCGTCTCGTTTCGCTTTGACCTGAACGGCGTAATCCTCGTCGGTCTTGTTCCCGGCGCGTTCCTCTTGGGCAGCAGGTTCCTCGCCAATTTCCTGACGTCGGATGTCGCGCACAGAATCTAGAATCGTGGGAAGGTGATTGGAGGCCAGCGCATCAAGGGAACGCTCGACGGATTTGTAGACATCGCTGCGGTCCACGGCACCTTCGATCAGGGTCGCGGCTTTCCCGCGTTCACGAGATAGAAGCTCGGGTTCGCGATCGATCTCCGATTCTGCTAGTTCGACCAGTGATTTAGTAAAATCCGCTTTACCCTCCTAGAAGCGAAGGGCATTAGCGCCGAGACCGTAGATCGCGATATGTAAAAAGAAAAGAAAGACATATCAATCCAGATTGATAAAAGAAAAGCGAACATACCCCTTCTTCGAATTCCGCCCACACTTTTTTTCGAATCGCATCAAAACCACCTTTCTTCTTGAACGCGTGCAAAAGGTGATCAATGGCGGCGTGTTGCGCCGCGGACAACGGCAGCTCCTCCGTCTTGAACTTCTTCCGCTGCAAACCATCCAGATCCACGGACGGGCGCTTCAAACCGGCAAGCTGCACATCCGGGATTTCCTCGGGCTCCGCCATGACGAGGAAACAGCCCGACTCGAAAATAGTGGAAGCTGGCAGGAACCCGAGGGAAAGCGAAGACAATCAACGGCAGAAACCCTGCGGTCGGGCGAACGATGATCCGGCGGCGATTGGGAACTGCCGCCCCGTGATTCGAGGCTGAGCGAGACCTCATTTCGACAGGTTCCGCCGACCGATCAGTCCCTCTGCTCCCTCCAATTGTTCTACGTCGTTGGCTTGAGCTGCGATCCGGTTTCTCCCTGCGGTGCCCTCGAGAATACCTTTCCCCCGCACGTTCCCCGTCTGCCATCATGGTCCACAAAGTCCTCTTCTGGGGCGGCTTCGGTATGTCGATGCAAGTTCCTGCTCCGTCACGCCTCTCCAGTCCACCAGGATTCTAGACACCAATCGAACTCCAGACTAATCTCCCTTCTCTCCCCACAGGCATCGCCGTCCGTCTCTGGCAACTCGGCATTGAAATGCGTCCCATCCTCGCCAAGGAGTCCCTCTGGGTGTACCCCCTGTTCGCCGGAGTCGGCGGCAGCTTCGGATACTGGCTGCAGGGCGTTGAGAGCCGACAGCTGAAGATCCTCGCACAGCGCCGGGAGGCCATCCTCGAGAAGCGCCGGAGAAGAGACGAGAAGGTGGAAGAGACGGGTTCTCTGGCCGCGACGTCGTGAAAAAGGTGTGCGCGTGTGTGTTGAGTTTACGAGTGTTGAACCGGGGTAGAAAGAGACGAGCGAATCGATTCGAGATTTTGTTTCTATATTGCGTACCTGCTGGGTGTGTGGAATTGAGACAGGGAGCCCAGTATACCAATTACTTGTACTAAAATTCCACGGGTTCTTTTTTTATGCTCGACTTGATGAGAGGAAAGGAAGCACGAGACTTGGCTTTGAGCTTCTGTCTGAGAGTATGGAGCTTAGATTATTCTTATTTTTGTTTTGCGTTTCAATGGCAACTTGATTGATCTTCATCCCCGTTCAATCCGACCCAAGTATACCTGGATATCTACAAGATGAACCAGCCCTCGCAAACTACACTTTCACCTTCTCATAAAACCCCCTCATCACACTCGCATACCCATCCAAATCCCTCGCGTCCAGAACCCTCCCTTCATCATAAACCTCCTCCCGCCGCAACCCCCCATGAAACCTCTGCCCGTCGAGGATCCTCGCAATAACTTCCTTCTCGTCCCTAGATACCCCTCTCACCTGCACCTGCGCCGGCATGCCATTCACCCAGCGCCGAAACCAGCCCCAGCCCAGCACCTCGCCCGCCAACCGACAACACCCCTCGACACACGTACAATGCCTCAGATCGACCATCAGCGAAGCCAGCCGAAACATCTGCCGCACAAAGGTCAGCGTCCGTCCCCACAGATATTCCTTCATACTCTCGACGTGGCGGTCATGCGACATCGAGGGGGCGGATTCCATAGACACGGTGCTGGATGATCGCGAACGCCGGAGCCCCGACGACGGGAAGTCGGCGTGCATGACGCCCAGGGCGCGCAGGGCCGCGACTTTCAAGTAGCTCGAGGACTGGGCGTCGATAGCCTATGAGATGGAGGGGAGCTGCTCGGCCACGAACTGCGAGAAGTAGATGTAATCGCGGCAGTCGAAGACGAGCTCGAGGTGGCGGATGGAGGCCAGGTTGTGGGCAATGCGAGGTAATTCGCGGCAGGCGGCGGCGAGGAGGTCGATGTGGACGATGGAGAAGGTGTTCTCGCGTAGGTAGATGGGGGTGGCTTCGTGGTGGATTTGCTTGCAGACGGAGAGGAGAGAGAGCGTGGGGGAGCCGTAGGTTTCGACGCGGTTGGGGTCGAAGAGATAGTCCATGGAGATGAAGGGGCGCACGAAGATGCGGGCCATCACTAGGACGTAGCGGTAGATTTGCTCCCTGATGGGACGGGGGAGGTTGAGGAAAGTGATCATTTTGTTAGGTTGATTGTCTGCTGTGATGATGGGTTTTAATGCATGGAGTAAAGGAAGAGGATGGGAGGTTTGAGTTAGAGTGATGGAGATGAGCAGTCAAATGGTGAATGTGAGAAGGATATCAGGACAAGACACTGCTAGAGAATGGAATTTCAGATAGATGATGGATGTTTCAAGGTCCGTGTCAATGATATGTATTGATGCAATGTTAAGTAGATGCATAGCCTATTCATGTACAGATGTTGGTCGCGTCATGCCAGCAAACCAAGCTGGTCGTCGTGTCAATCATGCCCTCTCTATCGTAAACTGCAGGGACACTTCCCATCGTTGGCCACCAGACCCGTATCCTCCGCCCAGCCGGTTTCTAATCAGGCTGGAGATGCGCTCGCGGAGTCTCGTCAGATTTTCTTCAGTGCCGGACACCCGGAGCTTCAGATTCGCCATGCAGAGGCCATAATGAACCTGCCAAAACCGAGCGTCGTCGATCCCGAATACGCAGGGATCCGCCTCGATGTCCCGGATGACATCGTTTACTCCTTGACCGGAGTAGGACATCAGCAGCATCGACCCCAGCGTCTTGACCAACCGCACGCCAATAACGCACATGGAAATGGAGATCGTCACCGACAGCAGCACGTCGAGCCAGTTGTACAAGCGAATGGACACCAAAGGAAGGAGCAACAAAAGCGTGGAGCATGACAGTGTCAGGAAATGGGACGGGTTGCTGAGCACCGAGGGGAGGGACTCGATGTATCCAAACCGCATCGCCTTCCCTATCCGTCCATGGTTCTTTAAGCCGATAGCGGAGACCAAGGTAGACGAGACGGCAAGCACGGCAGTGACGTCCACACTGCCCACTGTCACACGATCGTGGGGATGCGAATGGTGAGGTTGGTGGCCGGATGATTCGAGAAAGTGTTGCAGGTTGTGGGAAATGAGGTCCATCCCCATGAAGAGCAGGAGGACGCACATGGCAAACCCTGCCAGCACTTCCGCCCGTTCCAATCCAAAGGGATGCCGGATGCTAGATCGCTTCCAGACTTCGAAGTTGCTCAGGACATCCACGGCCACGCAAAGCATTGCACCCAATGAGTCGAAGAGGATCAGATGGGACAGGGCAGTCATGGCCAATGATCCGTGCGCACTCCAGAGTGTATACGCCGCAACAAACATATGGCATACACTCCACCAAAATCGCGTTTTCTGATCCTTGGACATGCTGGCACGGCACTCCTTCAGGGTTGGGATGGGTAGCGAGTTTGGCAGCGCCAGGGGTGCTCTTGGGGGCGGTTCTAAGAAGATCTGGTGCGAGATACTACTGTGTTTGTACTTGTGTCCGCGACGCTGGCCAATGTTCTATGTTCGCAGGTGGTTAGCATTGTTTCCTGCCAATGATTTCACACCGCTGCGAATGAGGTGTAACAAGACGCTTAGCATCCAAACACATACGGATTTGATCACCGGGCTCTTTGCCATCGTTGCAGTCTGGAAATTGAATGGCCCGGGTGGATCAGGGTCGCTCTGGCCATTCTGCACCGAGGAGTCGGACGGGCTGAGATTGAAAGTCGGTCGCGTAGGACTCAAATGCTTGAGACCTCCCGTCTCCGGGCCACTGCGCGACTGAGCAAACGTGTCTACCAGCGGCGACAGCGAGTCCTGGTCGAGAGCCCCTGGATTGGAGCCATGGTTGGGGGCGCTCGGAGGGTCATCGACAGGCGGAGTGGGAGTGCGCGGAGGGAGAGGAATGGGGAGATTTGACGCCATTGGAGGCGCCTGACGAGACAATAACGGGCGCCTGCGCCGCTTGGGAGATTCAGGAACTCGGTATGTGACAGGGCAGAGTCAGGAATGGAGGAAAGAAGGAGGAAAGGCAAGCTGACCTTCGCCCGATCGACAAAAGGAGAGGCGGCGAAAGGGCCAAGGCGGGGGCTGGCCTGAGGCCTCGACTCACTCGTCGCATCATCGACTCCGCCTTTCGCTCTGTCTTCCTCGGTCTTCCGATCATCTATCAACTCCCTCACTCCTTCTGCGCGGGATTTAAACTTCTCCCACTCCCCTCCCCTCCCTTCCTGATCGCTTGTGTATTTCCGCTGTCGAGTTGCGCCCGTCCACGGCCATGCGACTTTCAACTTAGGCGCTATCATTCTTGAGGAGGCCCCCAAATTCCGATGCCTACATCGGCTTGGCATTATTGATGGATCACCGCGGTTCCTTCTTCTTCCTCCTGGTCGTATTCTATCTTCTCCTCAGCTCCCAGTCGCATCCCCCGTTGATTGTTCAGGATCGAGAGCATCAACGGGAAGTCGCCAGGGAACGCCACGCGCTGCGCTTGCTGAACGAGTCCAACTATGGGGACTTCAACCCGCAAGAGGACCGATGGCTTCCCTTTCCCGGGGTGAGGAAGAACGATAGTTACGCTTGGGAGCTGCTCGGGGATGTGCAGGATAGAGCTCGTTACCAGCTGCAGAATGCCATTTCCAACGCCGGATTAGAGCCTCCTAAGGGGCTCCTGGACCCCAACGCTTCGCCCGCTCTCAACCTCTCCCAATTGCTTCTTCCGGTTTATCGCAACTGCACGGGCAAACTGCGTGGGGAATGGGTACGTCGTAAGCAGGATAAGCCGCATCCTCCACTAAATACGACTGCAATCGCTCTGGAGAACGAATACTTTACGCATGAATTTAGCCAGAATGTCACCGGGGAAAGCGGGACCTTCTATCTAGATCTACGGGAGGGAGGTGGTGAAGAGCTCCGCCTTCGCTCCGGCCATATTCGAGAAATCCGAGCGAGTCTAGCGGTCGAAAGTGGCGACTTCTGGGGGAATACCTGGTATTTGTCTTTATTCGGGGTGCATTTCCCGGAGACAGGAGGCATCCTTTTGAGCACCACCAGCGAGAAGTTTGGGGGCGTGTTCTCTCTTCCGCATTTGACGCTCTCGTCCGACTCCTACGACCTCGCCCACCAGTTACTTCTCAAGTCACTTTCCGACACCCTATCCGAAAAGCAGAATCGCCCGCGGACGCTCTTCCCCTGGTCGTCGCTAGTAGGTACCGAACAGGTGGAATTCCCTGCACCGAAATGCGAACACATCGTGTATTTGCAGCAGCATCCCGTCGCAATTAACGACTATCTTGCCGACCGATTGCTCATTGAGCAGATAGAGCAGGAACTAAGGTTCCCCATGGGGGCCCCGATACCGTCTCCGCCGCTCATGACCATGTCGGCTTTGGTGTTCTCGCCTGACTGCGGTTACATCCTTGAGACCAAGGGGGCTCCTGACTTCCCTCCCACCGACGCGCTGTATCTTTCGGGGCCCAAGCTGGAGGAGTTCGGCAAATATTCTGCCCGCATAATCTTCGTGATGGCTGGTGTTTCCGTCGCGCAGATTACGCTGCTCCTGCGCCAGGTGAAGGAGGCTTCCACGCCTTCTACTCGGAGTCGAATCAGCTTCTACACCATCGCCCTGATGGCATTTGGCGACGCCTTTGTGCTCGTCTTCATCCTCCTGGAACTGTATCCCGCGGTTTCATTCTTAATAATGACCACGGCATCGTTCCTCACTTTCCTTTCAGTCAGCTACATCGGAATGAAGTTCATGATGGAAATCTGGGCTGTCCAAGCTCCGGAACGCAGGGAGCAAGAACGCCGCTCCAGACCTCCGCCGAATCCTCGGCCTGGCAATCTACCGCTCCCCGCGACGGCAGCACGCATAAGAGATACCGGCGCAACGCCGGTTATTCTGACGCCCGATCAAGACCCTCCCGACGAGGAAGAAGAGCCGACCCCGACCCGTGGTGCAACTCCCACCGCCCGGGAAACTCGCAGCGATGTCGGGGCCATGTACGCCCGGTTCTACTTCGTGTTGTTCGTCATGCTCATTATCTCCATCTGGTCGTTCCTGTGGCCGAACCGACTCGGAAAGCTATACGCGCGGACTCTCGGGTTCATCTATGTGTCGTTCTGGGTCCCGCAGATCTATCGCAATGTCATGCGCAACTGCCGCAAGGCTCTGCGATGGGACTTCGTGGTGGGCCAGAGTTTTCTTCGACTGTTCCCGTTCCTGTATTTCTTGACCGTACCCGGGAACGTGCTGTTTGTGCGCTCCGACACAACCTCCGCCCTTGGACTGGCCGGCTGGGTATGGATCCAGGTCTGGGTCTTGGCCAGCCAGGACATCCTGGGCCCGCGCTTCTTTGTTCCTCGGGGCTGGGCGCCCCCGGCCTATGACTATCACCCCATCGTGCGGGACGCGGTTGATCCTACGGGTGATCTGGAGTCTGGCGGAGTCTTATCGATCGGGGCTCTGCGGGCCGACGAAAGGGACATCAGCGAGAGCAAGGATGATGACAAGCATCGACATAAGGACAAGAAAAAGGCCATCTTTGACTGCGCGATTTGCATGCAGGACATCGAGGTCCCCGTGCTGGCCGGGACCTCGGGCGGCAGCAGTGTGACGGATGGGGCGACGAGCATTCTCAGTCGTCGCGCATACATGGTGACACCCTGCCGACATATCTTCCACAGCACGTGTCTGGAGAGCTGGATGCGACTCCGTCTGCAGTGTCCGATCTGTCGAGAGTCAATTCCTCCTGTATAGAATGTTGCTAGTACATTTGGGCGCAAAGGGTAGACCGTTCGGGATTGAACTTCTTACCACGTATGATTATAGCACGATGTACATGTCACATTCCACGGTAAATGGATATGAACGGATATATGAGACAATTCATCTGTATTCAAATTTCAAAATGCTTGTAGTAAACCCATCGGACGGGCTCCGGAGCCGCACGGTAAACCATCCCCACATTACATCATCGACCACCCTCACAGACCACAGTAGATAATCATCGTATCATTGTATATTGGTAAAGGCCTTCGCTGTTGAACAGAAAGCCCGAGGCCAGTGACGGCCCAGCACAAGTCTAACATTTTCCTCAGACAGATATAAATATAAACCGGACAAATGAAATAAGAACCCAATTCTCATAGAACGAACCGCGCAAAGTTGAAACAGCTCCAACAGTCCAAACCCGAATAAAAAACAAAAGAACCAAACCCTCACACACGCACCGCTATATCAATCAACTCGAGCCGGGTCCGAACATCTACTCCTCATCCAGCGACTCCTTGTAGGCCGCAGCGTCCAGCAGGCCATCCAGCTCAGCCGCGTCGCTGACCTCGATCTCGGCGATCCAGGCCTCGTTCTCAGGGCTCTCGTTGATGAACTTGGCCTTGTCCTCGAGGATAGCGTTACCCTGCACGACCTTCCCGGAGACAGGGGACAGGACGTCGGAGGCAGACTTGACGGACTCGACGGCACCGACGGGCTCTCCGGCGCTGACCTCGAGGTCCTCCTGGGGCAGCTCGACGAAGACAACGTCGCCGAGGGACTTGGCGGCGTATTCCGTGATACCGATCTTAGCTATTGAGCGAAGCAATTGCGTTAGTCCAGATGGTAATGAATACAGCTCCATCCATGGGAAGGGCAGGGAAAAGAGGAGGACGGAGAGGGCGAGATAGGGAAAGGAAACTCACCGGTCTTGCCGTTGTCGGCCAGCTCGATCCACTCGTGGGACTCGGTGTACTTCTTCACCTCCACTGCAGCAAGAGAAGAAACAATTAGCTTTCCAGCACATCGAGAAAGGCCTCAATGGCCTTCCGGAGGGCGAATTGGGAGGGAATCGCACTGAAGGGGCTCTGCGAGAAGCTCCTGATACTTCCCCGCGGGAAACCCATGACGGGCGAAACCCTGCGGGCGGCGGCCAGCGGGAGCTTCTGGGAGAGGGCGCGCGAGGCGAAGGGGCGGATGGAGCGGGCGACGGCAGACATTGTGGCGGGTAGAGAGATCGGGGAGGTGGTGAGAGACGAGGAATTGGAAAAGGAACGAGGAGGGGAGAGAGCAGTTGGAGACGATTAAGTAGTCGAAGGGGAGACGAGGGAAGGGAAAGACGAATGACGGAAGACGGAAGACGCTAAAACTGATAGCGACGCCAAGACCGCGCGATAAGAGCCGTCGAGGTCGGGAAAATCTCGTCGGTTCCCCATCCTCCGTTCTTCTTCTCCGACGCCTTGTGCCCATCCCCACTTTCGCGAGCCCCCGATGCTGTACGAATTGATTGCTGTTGTAGGTGCTTCTGCTTTCGGTGTCTTGCCGCGTCGTCTGCTGTGCTAATTATCCTGACCAGGTCCGTCCGGGCAGTCTCAATGAGGTCCGAGAGTACGTGTTATCACCGTCCCCCGTCGATCGAGCGCTTCCTCTCCTTGCACGCCCACCATAATCGCCATCGACAAATGCATGTTGGAAGAATGATGGAAAAACTGACGATGTCTACAGCATTGCCCGGAATGCCGGTGTCCAGGTCCTCCGGTCAGGCGGCGTGATCCGCGGCTACAACAACTGGGGCACCTTCCGACTGCCCCGGCCTACCACGAAACATCAGGCCCGATACAGCGAGGGCCACCACTTCGTGATGCGCTTCGACGCCGCGGGCCCCGTCCAGACCGCTGTCCGACGAACCCTCGGCCTCGATCCCCGGATGATTCGATTCTCGGTGGTGAAGCTGGGCGACAAGCTCGAGGAGATCAAGGACAAAGAAGGCCATATCAGGTGGAACCACAACCGCAACATCTCCGAGTCGATCTAAAACAGCAAGGATGATGGGAGAGACTTGGAGGCGCTCCCCAGGGGTCCGGGTTTGGTCTTTTTGGTTGGGACATGGATGATGTATTATTCATTGTATTCTTTGGGCACGGGAGCCGTTATTTTGTACTATCATACCAGCATCGCAGGCGCACATATACTGTTCTTTTTTTCGGATCTGTCTTGACTTTCAGATTTTGCAGCTCGAAAGCGCTTCGGAATCGACTCCGACACGTGACCGCGGTCATCCTAACACCTGTGGAGGCTGGGATTCTCGTGGAGGATAGAATTCGAGTCATTGCTCGACGGTGTAGAACACGAATAGCCCGTTATTTCAGTGTAGTTGAAACGAGACTGGACCGGTACCGGTGACAGCGTCTGAACATGACAGATGCAGGACCGGTGGACCGAGGATGTCGGCTACGATCACCACCACCCGAACTGGACTTCGCGACTTCAGCTCCCTGCATTGCATCTTCCCTATTCCCTATCTACCCCGTACTGTTCGTACCCTGTAATATTAGGATATCCCTTTGAAACACATCTGATCAGATCCACTCCCAATATCCCCGCATCTCCGCTCCTCGGCAGAAGACCCCAAAACACTATACAGCGAATTGACAACACCAACATCAACAGTAGCAGACAACCATGGCGCCTAAAAACGAGGAGCCCAAACTACGCACCTCGCTCGATTTCGCCGGGTTAATGGCGCTACGACAACTCGACAGTCCCGAACAGACCGCCTCCCACCCTGAAAAGACCGAGCGATTCCAATCGCTATCAGTGCCCTTTCCCCCTGGCGAGCGCGATTCAGCATTCGGCGGCCACGTTTTCGCACAGTCCGCCTTTGCCGCCTCCAAGACCGTCGACAAGGGCTTTCTAATCCACGTAAGTTCCATCCCTCCTCCCCGACCACGGAACCATACTAACCACTCCCCCCCGCAGGATATAACGGGGACCTTCATCCTCCCCGGCCGTCTGGACGTCCCGTACATCTACACCGTGCGCCACCTCCGCGACGGCAAAATGTACTGCACGCGGGCGATCGACGCGCGACAAGACGGCGCCATCTGCTTCTCGAGTCTCTGCTCCTTCAAGCGAGACGAGAGAGGCGCAACGGTCAGCCACCAGCCATCGCCAGCGCAGGAGCGATACGCGCGCATCCTCGCTGCAAAGCGACCAGAAGAGCAACCCGTCAGCGCGGGCGTCGACGTGGACTGGTGGATCGAGCTGGTGAAGAACGGCGACGTCGTGGAGACGGAGTTCCCGGGGCTAGACGTCCGCAAGGCCGATATGCAGGGGTACAATGAGTCCGCGGAGGTGAAGCAGCGGCCGGAGAAGTATCGCCAGCTGAACCTGTACGCGCTGAAGGGTCTACCCGAGGAATCTGGGGCGGGGGTCTGCAGGGCGGAAATGCGGAGACGAGAGCAGTCGGCGGAGTATGATAACCTGTATGCCTGTGCGCATATGTATGCGAGTGATCGCAACTCTCTGCTGCTGATTCCGCGGGCCCTGGGGCATGGGAGTTTTGTGGCGATGGCGAGCTTGACGCTCATGGTTGTGTTTCATGAGCATGGGGATGCGCTGCGGATGGTGGATTGGGAGGCGGCGGAGGGCCAGGGGGAGGGGGAGGTGTCGAAGAAGTGGTTTGTACAGGAGGGCTGGACGCCGCGGTCTGGTGAGAATCGCGCAATCCATGAGAGTTGGCTGTGGAGTCCGGATGGGACGTTGCTGGCGACGAGCTATCAGGACAGTTTGCTGAGGCTGGCGAGGCCGGAGCCTCAGGGGAAACTATAATACCTGTAGATATGCATCAGGATTTCAAGAGTTTATAGAAGACGAGCATATAATGTCAATAGCATCCTAGTCTTGTACTCAATTCCAGTTCACTATATAATTATTTCGTCCATAGTGAAACACTCCTAACCGATCCTCAGTCTCAAAACCCCTGGCTCGCAAAAACATAGATCAAAAACACCACATCTACAACTTCGCCCGTCCCTCGAATCCACCCAGCAGTCTGGCAGTCTTAATCTCCGGCTTCTGCGCCAAAGCAGGTCCAATTGCCTTAGAGAACTGCTGGAACGCGGGAGACGTAACATGCGCCTTCACGCTCGCTTCATCCTTATACCTGAATTCATGTGATCAGCCAGACTCGACATATACATTTATCACATCAAAGCACAGAATAGGAGAAAAAGAACTAGACTCACTTCTCCACAAAAATCAACTCCTTCGAATCGCTGGGCTGCACGGCAAAGTAGGCCTGGGTGCCCGTCTCGTGGGCCTCGATGTACTGGACCAGGGTTTTGAAGGCTTCGACGACCTGCGTTTGATATAAGTTTCCAATCGCGAGCGTGAGAATCCGGAAACTAGACGGCATGATAAAGTACGCACCTGGTCGAATTTATCCGGCTGAGGAACCAGCTTCACGACGCTGTAGATCTCGCCGGGCATTTTCAATGAGTCGGATGGTCTGATGTTCAGCGAGTGTGGCTTCAAAAAAGAATTGGAGGTTTGAGGAGCAGTAAATTGGCTAAGATGTATGGTGAATATGCCTTTGACTGAGGGATGGATGGATGCGACGAGGGCAGCTTCTCGGGAAGGTTGGAAGTCACTGCGGTGGAGCCGAAGATGCCGAGGATATTCGATTATCGATCACCTCATCAGTTCGAGAGTTTTCCTTTCACGTCTGTTCCACCATTTTTGTTTGATGTTCGATCGGTAGTTGGGAAATGCCCACGGCTATTAATGTGTACAGGGCTAACTAGAAATAAGAAATATATTTTGTCGTAGATGTTCTTTCAGGTATAGGACTGAAGGTTAAGCCGTCTAGCAATTAAGCCACATGTATGTATTGGTTTCAGTATAAGATTAGAGGTAGGATAAAATCGTCTAAGAAATGTGAAAGAAATGTGAAAGAAATGTGGAAGCTATGTATATATGTAGTCGAGCTATACTCTGATGGAATGAGGAATCATGCGACTGAACTGTGCCATCAGTTCGAATATGCAGTTTCCCAGTCTAGTTAGCAGAGCAAGTCTCCTTGGCGTCGCTTAGAGCTGCGAGGAACGCATCAAAATCCAAGAAAACCTGTGGGAAGGCCTCGAGGGCAGTTTTGACGTCGTCGGTATTGGGATCGCAGTCTGTCCGGAGAGTTTCCTCCACGACCTGAAAGCGATGACGGATTAGTCCCGACTAGTCACGCCATCAAACAACGTAGAATTGAAGTGACCACTTACCTCAAGAATATGAGGCTGGGGTGTGATCCGACTTCCGAACTCAGGGATCTTGCTTTGAAAGCTGGCATCACACAGGACCTTGTCTTCCTGGACGATTTGGAACAAGTCCGAGAGGCTGCTAGCAAACTACAATGACCATCACCCTTGTAAGCTTTTTTGTCACTTTCTTGACATTGAGCTCAAATCACTTACTCCTCTGGACACCCCAGCAAGTGCGGAACATTGCTCTGCCTACCGTTCAACATTGCCATTAGTTTAATCCAATTCATTGGGCCTTTAGACCCCATGGAATTGAAATCATACGCTATTCTGGGAACTCTTCTGGAGGGCTTTCTCAATAGCCACGGAATCTTCCAACTTCTTCACCTCTGCAATCATGGCGTCGCCCAAGTTGGACGTGGCGAAGGTTCCTGATCTTAAGCCATAGCTCCACTCTCCGAGGACCGCATATTCCTTGTCGATCTGTTCGATCGCCGAGGTGTCAAAGGCCAGGCAGGTGGTTGCGAAGGCAGAGACAGAGAGGATTTGGATGAGCTTCATGATGACAGGTGTGACGGAGATCAATGCAATGAGTTGAGAGGAATGTGAGTGGGTGTCTTTGAAGGCCGACGAGAGACCATATATATAGAGGCCTCAACGATCTGCAGACTTTTATTCTCTACTCCACAGTAAATAAGGCATGCAAGGAGGCAAGACTATTGAAATTCTCGCCTCGTTTTGGGTGATCCAGCTTCTCTACCTTCAGACTCTTTCATTTGTTTAACTAATGTCCCACAACACAGAATCAATAGCTCCGGGAATACGACATGCACTAAGATACGTGCGGTGGCTGAGAGATCAGGCACATACTCCGCATTTCTAACGCAGATGCCGATCAATCTGCTATGTGACGTACCTAAGAATACTGTGATTGATATCAAAATTCAACTCGTGGAAACGTAAAACCCCATTAGCTTCTATTATTTCCTTTGCGCCCAAAACTCTCGATGGCCATGTCCCAATCTTTTCTCTAAGTACCATCTTTGGAGAATACTTGCCCACCTTGAGTAGCATTGCTTACTCCATAGTAATGCCGCAGAGCTAAATTTCAAAGGACAATCGAATCGCCAGCCAGCCACTTTCACAGTGAAGACTCGGAAATTAAGTGACAGTCAATCTGATTGGACGACCAGGCCATACTGATCTACATCCCGCAGAATCCGCAGTTCAGCTGGAGTCGATAGTCAATTTAGTGACTTCTTGTTTTGATTTTGTGTGAGAGTTGGATTTCTTTGTCTAGGAGTTATATTTCTTCTCAATTTTCATCATCCGAATTGGAATATGCTCATGGCTCTCGATATGTGCCGTGTGATCGAAAAGAAACTATATACAGAAAGCAAAACGATTGGACCAGCCGGCCAATGCTCCATACTTGGATTGATCTATATTTAGACCGTCAATTTATCATCGAATCTAAGTCTATTGTCATTCCTCGGAGTGCCTGAGCTTGTTTCAATCTTGTGTTCGAGATTAGGTGATGGGATTCATGATTAGAATGCACCCGAAGCTTGAAGAGACTTCTAGTTTGATGCTTTAGAATAAATGAATCAGTTCAGAAATGGCAATCTCCATAATGAAATACAACCTATTCATAAAGGTTCAGAGCTAGTAAGCCGTATAAGCCAGCTAGAGCAAACCTCTCGAATTCGAGCTGATTGCATCTAAACTTTGGGAGGACCGAACAACCGAAAGTTTGATCTCCATTCCTGACGATTTATGCCAACTCAGTCAGGGCGGATTGCCTCAGTGACTCGTCAGATGCCGAGATGACATGGTTGCAGCACCAGCGGTCAGCTCAAACTGGACAAAAGCATCGTCTTTCCTGCTGCCTGAGACATGGATCACGTGGCAGTCACGGGTCGGCCGGGTTAAAGCGGCCGCATCCCCAGAAAACAATAAGAGATTCTCTCATACCAACATCATCGTGTATGCGAGGAGCTCTTGTCTTTCCATCGCCAACCCACCAACCACTTAGTTTCCAACTGCTTGAATGAAACCACACTGTTTAATCATTCTTCCTGCAACCTGCGACCGAAATCCAACATGACCATCGAAGTGGTTCCCCTCACGGAGGCAGACATTCCTGGAGCGATCGAGGTCATCCAGCAAGCATTTGCCGAAGACCCATATTTCGAGTGGGTTTTTGATTCCCCCAACGTGAGTCATGTCCCTTACCATCCGGCCCGGTCGACTGGCCCGGCTCGATCGTGCGCTTTGATACGAAATGCTTTCACGTGGGCGGGCTCTAGCCTCGAAGCGAGATCACGAAACTATAAGCGATCGCTTAGAAGCATGATGCTAACATGATCAGCCCCCATGGCGCCGATCGAGATCTTACTCGATCGGCGCTTGTGAATGCCGCGTGGCTGAGACGAATCTAGTTCAATAAACAAAGAAACCATGACTCTCTAGCTGTTCGCTGCCTGTGGGGCATCAACAATGCCCTGTTTTATGTCGCGAAGGAGACAAATGACGGCGCGAAGGGAGAGGCAGTGGATCGCACGGATCAGAATAGTGCGAACACAGGTTCCTCGCGTATTGTGGGTGTCTCGTGCTGGCTGCCGCCCCGTGCATCTACCGAGCCGGAAAGCTGGTACAGCTGGTACCAAGGGTGGGTGCTCTCGTTCCGCCAGCTCATGAATAATTTGTCCCACTGGGGCCGGGGTGGTCTAATCTCGCGGCGATATTGGATCTGGAAGGAAAGGCAGGCGGAGGCCCAGGGCGCGATCTGGGACGATCCCAAGGGATATTATTTCTGCAACATCGTGGCCGTCAAGCCCGATGCCCAGGGCGGCGGAATCGGAAGGAAGTTGTTTGAGATAGTCACCGACCAGGCTGATCGCGAGGGCGTGAAATCGTACTTGGAAAGTTCGCGGAACGAGCCTAACGTGCAGATTTATGAGAAGATGGGATTCGAAATGAAGCGGGAGATGGAATGCCGAGATGGGGACGATGCTTGCATGGTAGGCGGAGAACGATACCTGAGCTCACATACTTTGGCTAATCAATCGCAGCTGTATTGTATGGTCCGCGAGCCCCGGCCGCAGAAGCAATAACGGTTGTGAGTGGACGTAGATTTCTTTGACTGCTCTTACGAGGTATTTAATAGCGAATTGGCTTTTTGGATTTTGTTCATTTCTCGTTCAATCGATGCTTGATCACAAATTATGACTAGCCAGGATCTAGGCGAGCTATGTTAGATAGCACTGGATGAGCTTCCCGAGAGAATCAAAATATTCAACAACAAACGTCTGAAGACTAGACAGGAAGTCAAGGGATACCACCGCCAAGATGATATAGCATATGCCGAATGATCACTGGACACCGAACTCGGACCAGAGTCCCCGAAAGTCGTCGGTTCCAAACTCCTTATTTGAACTTTCGGCCCCAACGGCGTTTCAGAATGCGTTCTTAGCAAGGAGGACGAACTGCAGCCAGCCAGTCACTGAATGTGTCTACGAAGTAGTCTACCACTGACGAGTCGTATCCCAGGCCGGAAATATCTAAATGAAACCCGGGGTAAGGGATTGGATCCACCAGGGCTGCCATGCTAACCAGAATTTTACAGTTCCACTCTCAGACTTCACCCTACGCCGTAACTTCAGAGAAATCCGCATGCGCATTCTATATTACGTCTCATTATTATAACTCTTCTCTTCTTATAAGGGATGGTCGATCATCACGAAAGTTTCACCTAACCGGACACAATCCCTCCCACGGATCGCGTGAGCATGTACGCGAGCAATAGCGCAACTCTAACACGTAATGGAATACAGGTTGAGGACTCAACCAAAAGGTGTCCCAGCGACCAAGGCGAAAATTCTTCCTAGCGCGAACGGGGCCTAACGGTGGGCAGTTCGGCGTCGCTGTTTCATCGAGTCAACATCCAGCACTAGTCGGGTAATGCGTGGGCCTTAGCAATGCGATGAAACAAAAAAGCGGCCGGGCCGGCGTTTATGGTAGATTGTCGCGGATAAGGTTAAACGGGAGGCACGGAGCTTTCCCATGCTTTTCGACGTTTCAGGGGACCTCCTGACAAGCTGAATTTAGAAGTTTCTGACATGACAGGTGGAATTGGCAGGCCTCGCATTGGCTCTCGCGTCGTTCCTTTCTACCGGTTGCCTCAGTAAGAACTCCGCTGTCTGTGGTGCCTTGGTGCAATGATAATATAATAACAGGGAATGTGCCTGGGAGAACTGGGCGGCGGGTCTTCTCTCAAAAAATTCCTTCTTTTATTATTATCATATCCGAACTTTATACACGCTCCTTGGAAATACCCTCACCTAATTAACCAGACCCCCGATTCCCCTCATTATATTGCCTTAATTCTAGTGTTTACTGTTTAATTCCCGACGCTCATTTAATATTCCCACCCTATTCTATTCGGATTAATTTAAACAAAGAGGAAGATCGTGACGAAACCATGCCTTAGCCTAGAACGATCATGACCCAACCGATCCAACAACCCTCCAACCTTCATTTCCGCTCCGAATCCAACACTCTCTCTCCGGCGGGTAAAGTCGGCCTCATCCTTGGTTTAATTGGTAAGTTTCCCCTCCTCTCGTTCCTCCAGATACCGGGCAAGAGAAGGGGGTTGGTCTCCACCGAGATCACCCATCCTTCCATCCCTCCATCCATCCCTCCATCAATCAAAACCGACAAACCCAAGTCCCGTCCGGTTTTCAAGCCCGCAATCCTTGCTCACGTCCAACCCCAATTCCAACCAAACAGCAGGGGTCACGTTGATCGTCCTCCTTGTCATATTCACCGTGCTGCGCCTGAAACGCGGGCCCGTCATCACGCTCAGCTCCTTCCTCCCACACCCCAGCAGGAAGTCCGCCTCTCTCCGGAATCTCCCGTCCGGCGATATCGAGCGCGGGCTGCGCTCGCGCTCCAGAGCGACGACAGATCGAAGCGGGTCCCGAGCCACGACTACTCGAACGACTCGGACGACCGAGAAAGACAGCCTCGTCGGTGGCCGCAACAGCCGACACCAGACGAGTTCGCCTGCGAATTCTCACCGCAAGGCCACCGCCGCCGCAGCAGCAGCAGCAGCAGGCCACCCCTCCTCGCTGGACAAGGAGATAGGGCTCGGTCGGAGCGCGGGCGGAGACGGCAGCAGCCGCGGCAGGGTGAAGGTGACGACGCGGGACTTCCACGCCGATCCGCAGGGGCCAACGAGGCCGGTGAACACGAGCCGCGGCGTGAATCACACGGTGGCGGTGACGATGCCGGTGTCTGCGTATGCGCGGCCGCACGAGCGCATGAGAGACCCCCCGGTGCGCGTGCCGCCGAATCCGGTCCTGAGCCCGCGCATGCCGCCCAGCCCGGCGTTTAGTCGCTTGACGACGAGCACGCGGTCGTCGGCGGCGCTGCCGTCCGTTCGGTTCATGCCTGGGATGCGCAAGAGCGAGGAGGCTTGATTTTGGGGGGCTTGGGTTGGAGTTTGCGGATGGGAGTTAAGAGTGCATTGGTCAGGGTATGGTCGGGTAGGGTATACAGAACTACCTGGTAGATAGTTAATAGGTTAGTTAATGGGGGGTTGAAAAAGTTGAACATGGATTAGAATCTATACCGGAGAAATTCCAAATCCCGACAGAGAAAGACTGCCTCAGGCACACACACACTAGACATGAAACGGGCAAACAAAGAAACGAGAACAAAGAAGCCTCGACCTTAGAACGGAAAAGTATCCGCCAAAGACCTTGTACATACCTAGTAACTACCAGGTAGTATATCCGACGTCACCCCGAGACAAGAATTCCAAATCGCTGCCCAAACAGGCAAAACATACGAAGACATAAAAAAGAAAACCAAAACCATGAGCAAACAACCGATCATTAAACCCATATCACCCTATCACATAATCACACTGGCTCTAATCCACGGCGCAATGTGATCCTCGGTGCCGTCAGACGCCAATCTAGGGATCCTTGCTAGGCCGTCACCACGGTTCCCCTGCCGGGACTCGACGCACTCCACCATATCTGTCCTGTGGTGTCTGTGCCTCTCGCGAAAGGGGCAGGAGGGGAGAGAAGAGTGCAGAATGCAGAGTCCAGATCGCGGCCGCAGCAGCCTACCCGCGTACAGCGTACAGAATACACCCGTGGCTCTCGGTTAGATGGTCCCCGTGCACGGGGCATAGGGTGGTAGGTAGGCCACTAGGCCTAGAATACCCAGGTGCAGGCCATGCAGGCCGGGCTCAAGGGAGTAAGTCGGGACTTGCACCACTGCAGGCTAGGACGGCGGATGTAGGTTAGCAGCATTAGCGACGGAGGAGTGCACGGCGTGCTGCACGTGCCGGATGACAGGAGAGTCAGTACTAAGTGATGTAGCTAACTCCTAGGGTAGGTAGGTAGTTATCTAGTGGCGGTTCATTTCCGTCATGCAGATATCCGTCATGCCTGGGGCAGGGCGAGGCAATCCAGCGGGACAGGAGGAAAAACGCGAATCCGTTGATGGTCCATTGGCCCTAGTCCTACGCGTAGACTACTGGGACCAACTACGAGGGGACCACTACCTACTGCGGAGGTAATCAAAATAAATAAAATAAATGAATGAATAAAAACCGCTGGATCCGTGCTAGCGCCTGAGGGGGTGCAGGGGTCCTGATTGGCCGGAGGAAAAATGCGGGTGGCCCCGGTTAATCAATCCTGCATTTTGACTGGAGGTGCCTTGTGCTGTTCATTTGCAGCCGGACAATGACATGTCCGCTTGGTTCATTTATTCTTTGTTGGTCGATTTCGATGAATGGTCCCTAGGGGCCTGCCTGCGAAGTACCGTACATGTATTCGGTGACGCCGTGCGATCCTGGTTCGACATCCTCGTCGTTGGTGTGATTCGGTGGGATTTCGATTAATTAACTGTACGTCGTTATCGTCCTTACTACCCGCTTACATAGCTTGATTTTCCTGATCGTCAGCCAATATGCTGTCGCTTGGAATGCTTGCATTATGAACTGTCTGCTTATGTGAGATGCAGCAGAGCCTTGAATTAGGGCTACAGCATCTGGAACAGGTAAGCGGACAGGTCGACAGCGGAAGACAATTTCGAACCAAAAATGCAGTCAAAACGAGTACCCACGCGATAACAAAAACCAACAACCCAAAGACCGAAATAGCACACTCGGCATAATCCGACCGAAGGAGTAACCTGTTTAGCGCCCCTGCAAGCCCCCCCGGGTTTCGCTACATGCCTCTTGTTTCCCTTCCAATGAGACACACCCAGCTCCTCCCCTGGTCGGACCCGACGGTTTCAGGACTATCAGCGTCGACCTACCGTGGCAAGCTGTGCAGATTGAACCATCTCGCAAGACCCACTACTGCCGAGATATCTGCATGACCAAAAATGGAACTGGTCGCCCCCCGGTCGAGAACCACGTACGCACCGTCCGGGATGCGATCCCATCACGACGGTTTCATCTGGCCGAGGATGAGCGCGTAGGTTATGACGATAGCTCCGGCCGAGTGTTATACGCCTTCTTTCAGCCGAGACGGATAATTAATCTCTCCATACGAAGTCTGGACCTGAACTAACCTCCCTCTTTTACCTAGGCAATACGTATACTTCCCTATCTCTCCAGACGACCCGGGATGGCAAAGAGCCAGTATCGCCATCAATCCCGCGTCGCAAGAGCAGCAAGCACATAGATCAGATGAGCCAATCAGCCATACCCCATTGCATCATTCTTGCATCATACCCCCATGATCGGGGCTGATTGATTCTAGGATCCTGACCCGGATCGGCACCCTTCATGTCATGCAATAAAGGCAGAAGGGCGGGAATCTCCACCTGATGGGTTCCGAGGGCCGAAGGGAAAGCGTCCAATTATCGGCAGGCGGAGAGGGAGTGTGGACAACTAGATAACGGATGCGGATGCTCCACACGGAGTAAGTAGGTCTATATGCGTAGATACAGCGTACGTAGGGTAGGGTAGGTAGGCACTGCGTAGAACTAAACAGCCTGGCATCAGGTCTGACCTCTGATCATTTCTTCGGTTATTACGGTTGTTTCAATCTGCGACAGGTCAAGCTAGCTTGGCCCGCGGAAGGATCACACATCGTAGATGACTTTCCATGCCACTGACTCAGGACCATTCACCATCCTCCGCGGACCCCTGTTCTGGTCGTCGGCTGGGTCGTGTGGCCGTCGACTGGGGGGGAGTAAGGGAGATGGTAATTTAATTTTGGGTTTACGTGACGTTGAACCAGGACGACTAACAGCAACCCACTGGTCCTTGATTGACTGATTGATAAATTGCAGTGGCGAGGTCTCGAGACGGGTCCCGAGGCAAACTGCGCTGGGGGGAATTGCCGATGCAGGAGGCATGGCAAGGCATGGCAAGGCATGGCACGGGCGTTAATTTCAATCAGGCGCCTGCCTACCCACTCCGTCATAGTATTCAGCGTCCAGATATTCACACAATGACATACATCGGCATACGCATACGTAGTGCTCCGGACTCCGTCCAGGGAAATCTACCGGGCTGACGATCGTCCAGGATGTGAATCCTATTCTGCCAGAATGACGGGACGCGCGCGAGGGAGGAGGAGACCAAGACTCAGACCAACCGCAACGAAGGACGATGTGATGATCGGAGGCCAAAACAAGGTCCGATGCATGTTAGCCGTTGCCCTCTACCTACCTATCCTTCGTGGGCCCTGTACCATGTGACTGTGACTGACCGTCAGTCGGGTCCATTGTGTCATGGCCACAAACGCAACAGGGATGACGAGGAAAGGGATCGACAACTAACCAACCCAACCGCTCGATCAGTCTTGTCTTCCAGTCTATAGTGGCGTGTGGATATGACATTATCCCCCAGGGTCCTTCCGCTCTGGTAGATGATAATCGTTTCGTTTCACAGACGATGGACGAGGTGTTAATACCGATCCAGCACGGATTCGGCGCCCACCTAGTAAGTAACCCAGGAGAGTAAGCATGCATAATATACAACATAAGACCAAGTAGCGGTAATAGAGATCATCATGAAACACACGAGGATCCGGAACGGGCAACAGAGACAGCAGAAAAAGCAAAAAGCACCAGGGAAAAAAAAAAGAACGCCATTCCCGTCCCCTGACGTGTCCATCGCAACCAAGGGTTCAAGCCATTCGGTTCCCATCTCCAGACTTGATCCATGGTACACACAGCGGGTAGAGGGAGTAATTCGCAGGTCAAGTTCGTAAGAAAAGGTTTAATTAAACCCCCCCCCCCTCCCCGCGCCCACCGAGCTATAAAAGAAAAGAAAAAGAAAAAGCCATTACAAAGGCACAGGTCATTCAGCATTCAGCATGAGCCAACAAGAACCAGGGAAGGGGTGGAAATACCCCCCGCTGCAAGCGACTCCGATCGAACCACATGTTCCTCATGATGGGCTTGTGTCAGCGTCTGCAAGCCCGTTGAGTGGTCTCGAGTCTACGCGAGGGCGGAATTAATCTATTTCCCCGATGGTCGCAGTGACTACTGTAGGTCGATGGGGAACGCAGAGGGTGGGTCAGGCATTATTGAATGATGGAATGCGCCGTACGCTGTAGTGTTCACTCACACTGACAACTCCGACCGGACTGTGGTAAGACGAAGCGTCGGAGGGAAAAGAGACCCACTCCCTCCCCTTTACCCACCTTGGGAAGCGAGCGTAGTGGACCGACAGACGGTATTCGTAGTTAAACTCCTGCCCTGCAGCCCAGATATGCAGATTCGGCCCGAGAGTGGGTGGGACCAGATTAAAAGAGAGGAAATAAATAAAGATAAAATTAAAAAAAGAAAGGACGAGGGGATCGGGGGGGGAATTAAAGGCTGCATTATCAGGGAACCGGATGACCTCTGATTTGTTGCACAAGGGTGTCAAAAATAGCACGCTGCGTGCAATGAGGATTGGCACGGTATTTGGTATTCATCTGAGGATACCTATGTAGAGTCGAATGTAAAAGGAAAATCAAATAAAATAAAACAAGTAAACCTAAAATCATCTATCCGAACATACCTGATCGTTTACTACTACTCCGTACGCATACAAAAAGAAAAAAGAAGAAAAAAAACATCCGAAAAATACTCGATCTCCACCCGGAAACGGAGCGGGGCCGCCCCTCCTCCTTTCATCATAGTCCAACCTCCCTCTCTCCGACGGGCTTTCTAGTCGAGGGTGTCCAGAGTCCACTATACCACCCTCTCCGACGATTTAGCTCTGGTCCTTGACTCGCTAGCGCCCAATTGACTGCAGTCCAGGATTCCGTACGGAGCCTGTCCTACGTAGGACGCACAGTCGAGAGTACGGAATCTGTACGCAGTATGCATCCCCGCGGCGGGCGACAAGCCACATGGGTCTTTTGGTCAAAGAGGGGGTTAGATAGGTAGATAGGGAGTAGGTCCGTGGATCTAGGCTGTGGGTTCGTTTAATTCCGGGGAAGAAACGAGAAAGACGAGGAGGGGCCCCGGCTACAGGTCTGGTACTTGTGGACGTGATGCCGCAGAGGTACATCCAGCGCATAAGTCGTTTATGTCAGGCTAGATAGCCAGATAGAGCGACGGGTAAGGCAATAAATTGAACCCTAGCGACCAATTGATCAAGCACCTAGGAAAGTCTAAAAGAAAAATCTGACACGATCAACGCGAATACGGCCCGTCGGCCAATGAAGAAAATACGATTAAGAGAATTTCACACGGGCAGGAGAATTAAAAGTCAAAAAAAGAGGTCTGGGCAGGAAAAAAAGAACGCACTAAGGGAATTGAATAAAGAGGAAAGAATAAATGAAAAGCCAAGGAAGCAATAATTAAATCATAAAGAATGAATAATAAAACATGAGTAACCACAGGACTAAAAACGACCACGGTTCGCCGGTGCTAAACCACGCTCCGGCTTTTTTCAAGAGCCAGACTAAGGCCACTAATCCAGCGCAGACAAACAATCATTCCTGATTCCACATTTCGGCCGGGCGCTCTAGAGCGGAGGAGCACAGACTTCATCTGGGCCTCCATCGATGCAGCACGAGAGGTGCTTGGCAGGCAACGGGCCATTGCGTCAACGGCCTTCAAACCACTCCTTAGTGCTCTCTTGATAACAACCTCACCTTGTTCCACATACTTTAGTATTCACTAACCCTCCGGGCCCTCCCAGCATCAGTGCATGGTTCCCCGAATCAACGGTCAAGGCGTGCTTTGTGGTTGAGAAAAAAAAATCCGTCGGTATTGCGACTACTGTCCCTTCCCCTGTCCCCTGTAGCCTGTCCCTCCCCCCCTTTTTCCCCACCCATTCCGCCCGGATGTCCTCTATCTGTCTGTCTATCTCTCTTTTCTTCAGGGCCAGCTGGGCCCATTTATTTCCGGAAGAAGCGTCCGACATGTGATGCTGCTGTTTGCAAGTTGCAAGCCCAAAGGTTGTCTTCGGGGGTTTCGGATACAAACGGGACTGGTGGTTCCCCTCTTCGTTCTCAAACGCAGTTTCATATCGAGACATACTCCGTAAGGTACTTGCAGGCTCTAGAAAACGAGAATCTCCGATCTTTTTTTGAGTGAACGCCCGGGCCAACGCCGTCTGTACAAAGGTAATTCCCGACTTTGCAGGGGGAGAAGGATGCATGCTTATGTCCAGTTTTGCTTAGAATGCAGTAGTATGGAATAAACAAATAAACGCAAATGCCGAATAAAATAGAAAGTACAGAGAGCTTAAAAAGAAGAAAAAAATAAATCAATAAATCAATAAACAAAAGAAAGAATAAAATAAAATAAGACAGCCAAGAAGAGAAAAAGAAATTGTCAAGAATTAAGAGGGGCCGCTTGTGCTCGGGAAGAAACAAAAAAAAAAAAGAAAACAGGAAAAGTCAGCCGTCCGATAGCCATCTTCCGAAGTATAAAAGATCAACACAAGGAGACGGAAATAAAATCAAATAAAGTGAAATAGAGTGGAAACAAGGAAAGAAAGGTAGAATCGCAAGGTGACTTTTGTTGGGAGTATCACCCAGGTAATCGTTCCGGATTCGTTAATAAGGCCGTCAAGGTGATGATATCCCCATACACCTGCTGGATTGGGAAAGGGATTGGGTGACAGTCGTAGCGGCAGTCGGTCCATGACGCGGAAGGGGGGTTTGCTCTCCACTGGACAAAGGAATTCGAGATCGCTAGCGACATAGGCGACATTTCCCAACGACCACGATGAATCGGTCGTGCGGGCTTTCGCCGCATCGCCCATCCTTGGAGCCGTCTATCGAGGTGCGGATGAAATGCACGCTGGGCTCGCGACAGGTGCTGTAGATGTAGTAGTTTTTGAAGTAGTTGCACATTGTCACAGCAATCGAGACCCGTGAGCGCTTTTGGACGGATCGGACGGTTCCACGGGGCGAATGAAGTAAAATAGAATAAAAAACATCAAAAAAGCTCGAGGGAAGCGAGGGAGAAGCGCCGTGGGTGGGAATAGAATTAGGGTCCGACCAGATGAAGATTCAAAATCGGTCGAAGACTAAAGTTTAAAGACGCCAGGAGTATGGAGAGGAGTCTCGGAGAATATATGCACAGACGGAGGGCCAATATACGAGCCAGATGAGGCAGAGGGAAAGCTCATGATAATATATATAGGTCGGTACCTGCTCATGGCGGGCAGTTACAGAAGGGTGTTTGTCAGTTGGGGGAGCACCAGGGTTTGGGGCCCATCACAAGCCTAGCCAGGGGAGGTAAGGGTGTGGGCAAATTCAGACGATTTTTTTTTTCTTGCATGAAATTTAATAAATAAATAAATAAGTAGATAACAAAAAAAAGAGGAATATTTTAATTTGACAAATTGGTCAAAAGAAAAAGAAAATTAAAAACAAATCACCGCAACGGTCCACGAACCCTTTTCTTCATCTCTGTCAACGACCCCTGTAGATATTGCGGGTCCGGCGTCATCGAGCGTCACTGGAGCCACAACGGTCGAGACATGGCAAGGGGATTAAAAAAAAAAAAAAAAACCAGTAAATGCCGCGGGTGCTAAAGTTGAAGGAACGTCGGTGGGAAGGAGTGTCCCACCGTGGGCAACTCAGGTCTGATCGGGTCAATGGGAGATCGACGCGGTCCCTCGCAGCCGTTGATGCTTTTTACCTACACGTGGCGCTAACTAGGATCTTCATGCAGGAGACAAATGGGTGATGCCATGGACGTTTAATCCTGGGGTCGGATGGGTATACGTGATCGAGCAGAACGAGTCTAAAAAGCAAACATCTCGGGGTGGAGGCTAGGAGGAGCCACTGCCGACGTAATCGGCATGGAGCCGGGTCGAAACGGTCGTGCCTTTGCGCGCATCGTGGGGGAACAGCACCCCGAGGTTGTCCGGTCATTGGCCAGGATCACTAATCTTGATCGATGAGAATGCGATTCAGCCAGTTGATCTCAGGGCATTGGCGGGATTTGTCCGGAGGCCTTGATTTAGCTCCGTTGGTTGGAGTACAAATGTCCGTTTGGACAGAGACTTGGACCAACAGAAGGGGACGAGCCTTGCGCGCCAACAAGTAGCCAACATGTAACGTCACTTTTTTTTTTTTTTTTTTTTTTTCTCCCGGTCCGGGTTTGACTTTTATTTTTATCCCCCCTCTTCCTGTCGGAATTTATTCAATCGTATCGGGACCGAGATAGTGGAGTGAATTCTCGAGAGAGCTAATGGAAGGTCCTGAACTGCTCCTGCAGGTGATTGGCTTTGACCCTGGATGTATGGAACCCTGCAACAAGTGATGGAAAGGATTGAAAGGGGAAAAAAGAAAAAGAGATAACAAGACGGGTACAAACCCTGCCATTTTTAGGCTTCGTCTTAATTAATAACATTGCATTCTATTGCAGCCTTTCATATGAAATGGCCTCAAACCCTAGGGATTCGCGTAATACAAAGCAGGTGCCTCGGAGGACGGGCACGGAGTAGATTCGGTAGGGCGCACCAGATACCATGCCATCCCTAATGCGACGTGTCCACTCCAATGGTGCCATATCAAGGAAGGTTTCGGCTCATTACCGTTTCGACTCGAACTCAGAATCGCGGTTACTGAAAATTCGGAAAGTTTATCAGGGACAGACGGAGCAGGACATGAATCGCCGTGTTTCGTAACCGGATCAGTCCCCGTTCGTCAGCCGTCCCAGGGCGAACAATTATATTCAATTCTAATAAATTTATGGCTTGAATGTGCGTACAAAAACCGAAGCTTTTTATCGAAAGAAAAGATCAACCTGGGAAATAATAATCGTGGTAGGAATATTAAACGACATCGGAAGTATGTCTGAAACAGCGCTGCCTCTTTTTTTTTTTTTTTTTTTTTTTTTTTTTTTTTTTTCCCTCTTCGCTTGCTGATTATGACGGACGGTCATCTTCAGGAGACGGACGATCCCCTTTCTTCCCCCTCCCCCCTTAACCATGGTCAATAATGAACACCCAAGAGTGATAGTACCAAAAAGACCGGGTTGCCTGCTACTAGTTCGATCCTGGCGGGCCAGCGTTGTCAGGCTCGGTTTTGCCCGAGTTGGTTGGAGCCCGAGACGTTTGACTTTAGGCCTGCCGTCAATCATGTGGCGCCGGACTCAATCGGAAGATGTGGGCCATGAAGACAAGTTCCCGTACTGCATCCAGTCTAGCGCCGCGTTCCTCGCTAAACGGCGTGGAATCTGAATACGGAGGACGATGGCAGCCTCCGAGAAACGGTCTCTGGAATGTGGGCTGCGGGATCCATTGGTATGATGGGAGCATGCACGTACTATATTCAACGAGCCAAAAGGTGGTACTTTCGGCTGGCGTGCTGCCATACTTGCATGACAATGCTTGTCTGTACGAAGCCTTCTTCACCCCAAGGGCCTAGGGACCGGACGAAACAGCGGATATCCATGAAGCCGTGCATCAATACCGAGTGACATTATAGTTACTGAGACTATACCTCATAATATTATTATTATTAAGTGATTCCATTCCTGCTGATCTCAGGACTAGTGTACAATGGAACGTCACCCGCTTCCCCCTTCCGGGCCTAGTGTTCCTGATAAACATTCTTCCCAAAGAGGCTTAGCCTGGTCCGGTTTCCGGGGGAGATGCGCTAGTCCCAGAATAGCAACGGCGCCTTCCAGGAACAGGCCTTCCCCGATTCGGACCTAGCGCTTCCCGTGATCGCAAGTCTAGAAGCCTCAGGCCAGAGAAACGTGCGAAAACCCCTCGTCCGACGTTCGTCGCCACGCGCTGTCAGTCGTCCGCTTGCTGTCGCGCCTGTCGCAAACCACTACACTCGCTTTTCTTTGAACGCTGTTCGACTGTACACATCAGACTCGTGTCGCTCGTTGAATTCTCGGAGACTTGAACAGCACGGGGCTCTGTTTGGCTCGTTCGACCCAATCTCCATCCGTCGTTGTGGAGACGGTGTTGGCTCCGCTCGCTCTGATATAACTGAACGACCCAAACAGTCGCCAACTCCCCGACTCGTCGTCCACCATACGTCGACACGATGGGTTTCGGTGATTTTGACTCGATTTGCGCCAAAGCAGCGCTGCCGCTGTGCTCCTTGGTGGGCCCGGCGTCCTCCATATCAGGCGATACTGGCATCATCCCCAACTGTTATGCCCGTAATATCGAACTGGCCAATACCATCATTTTCGAAGGCGCAGCGTCCTTTCTCCATATCATCGCGCTTGCGATGACAGTGATCATGATTTTACATATCAGGTCTAAATTCACTGCTGTCGGTAAGTCATTCGTGAGACAATGAAATTGACTTGGATGTCAAATGAGAGGAAAGAAAAAGAGAAACAGAGAGAGGAGTAGTATTGACCAACCCAACCTTTTTAATAGGCCGCAAGGAAATCATCACGTTCTTTTACATCTACATGCTTTTGACCGTGTGCTCCCTGGTTATCGATGCCGGTGTTGTGCCGCCGAGAAGCGGTCCGTTCCCATATTTCGTCGCCGTTCAAAACGGATTGGCCTCGGCCCTATGCACATCTCTATTAGTCAACGGCTTTGTGGGGTTCCAGCTATACGAGGATGGAACTTTTTTGTCTGTTTGGCTTATTCGACTGACATCTGTGATCATGTTCGCGGTGTCCTTCCTGGTATCCCTTTTGACCTTCAAGTCCTGGGGAGGCCTTAGTCCCACCAATACCGTCGGTATGTTTGTGGTACTTTACATCGTGAACGCAATCTGCATTGCCGTGTACCTCGTTATGCAGCTCCTACTGGTGATGAACACTCTCGAGGACCGTTGGCCGCTGGGTCATATCTGTTTTGGTCTGCTTGTCTTCATCTGCGGCCAGGTGCTCCTCTACGGATTTAGCGACACCATTTGCGAAAATGTCCAGCATTACTTGGATGGTCTTTTCTTTGCCACCTTCTGCAATCTCTTGGCTGTCATGATGGTCTACAAGGTATGCTTTCCATCTCCCTTTTCTCCAAATTGCTGGACTAACGCGCTGCTTAGTTCTGGGATTACATCACGAAAGAGGACCTCGAGTTTTCTGTTGGCATCAAACCTAATACCTGGGAAGTCAAGGAGCGTCTGCCCGAAGAGGATCGTCGTGCAGCAGGCTACCAGGATACCAACTCGGAGTATGCCGGCAGCATGTACCACCACCGTGCATCGACCTATAATGCCCACAACTATTAATGCGGGTCTTTGACTTTGCCTTAGAAATGACGCCTTCACGACTTTTTTCCCCGTTTAGTTTCCGGTTTCTGGTTAGCAGCGGAATTATTATCGGCATTGTCTATTAATCGCTTGTTATGATCTCTTGGCTTTTTCTTGGTATAATTGATTGTCATCTTTTTGGCCCTTTTGTGTTTTTCAACGTTACATTGTATATTGGCGCTGAGGTCATCCTCTAGCTTAGTCCTGTATTTAGATTATAAAGAATGGTAGTTCAATGAAATACATACGTCAGACCAAGCACTGTTTGAATTTTAGTTCATGGTGTTCATGATGACAATGGAGCGCAGTTATAAATGGTGGACCAGAAGCCACGGAGAAACAATTTTATCGAATTGTCATTGAGAAGAAGTCAATTGGAATAGACCTGCATCAGTGCATGTTCACTGATTAGTGATAGGAGAATTCCCAACAAAGACAATGAAATTAAAATTAAACATAATAATAAAACGTTAGGTAGATATTTCATTAATCAAACAAATAAATGATAAAAAAGAAGAGACATCCACAGTACCAATCCCAGAGGGAAACCAGGAAGCGAGTCTGTAGCTAGGGCGTAGCCTGGGTGCTAGTAGGCAGTAGTCTAGTTGTTCATAAGGAAAGGAACGTGCCCGATAGATATCCAGAGGATATGGTTTCCGCAGGACCTGATTCGCCGACGATGTGATGTTACTTCCACTCCTCCACCCCGGCGGAAGGAAGGAATCCAGTGACTTAGTCCGGAGTGCTAGCTAGCTAGGTAGGTAGGTACCTTATGGAGCATGCATGCGAATGCCCAGGGAGTTTATTAATATAAATGACTGGCGCGGTCTCCTTCTTTTAATTGACCTTGCTAGTTTCTTATTATTCCCTGAAGACGCGCGAGGCATGCTGTGTGTGATCGGGAACGGACTTGGGACTACAGCGTAGACGGCACAATGACGGTCTCCACATCCATTCAGAGTGACGAATTGTCGCGGGTTCTCAGGTCGAAGGAGCCATGCATGCGGGCGATCGGGCCCTTCTTGACCTGATCACATCGGCATCGAGCCACTTGGATTGTGAGGAGGGGCGTACTACCGGCCGACGATGATTCGAGTAATGTAACCTCGGAACGTGAGGAACAATTTGACAGGCGTCCTGGGAGTGCAGGTGCATGGCTCGCGCACCAACGGCCGCCCGTTAGTCTAAGTCTAAAGAAAGGGGTGGCCGAAGGCTGTTGTTGGTTTTGGTTTTGTCTTTTTGTTTTTTTGTTTTTTTTTTTTTTTTTTTTTTTTTCTCCCTCTTCCCCATTTTTTCCTCACCTCTGTGGACGCCCCCCCTCCACACTTGCGTCGTCCTCGAGCCGGTCACGGTCCAATGGAACTTGGAACGACGGAGATTAGCTTTTTATGGTTGAGACATGACATTGATACCCGATCGTGGAGTTTAACCGTTTATCTCATTCCACGACCACGACGTCGTCTCCGTCCATGAATCCGCTATCGGTGCTCGCCTGGGCCTTGCCGTTCTCGGTCTGTGGGATTTCTTCGACTGGGATTGTAGTGGCGCCGGCGTACCAACCCTTGTCGACCGATTTGACTAGCACCCTGCATGCATCGTTGACAAGGTCGTAGAAAGCCGGGTTGTCCGTCGGTAGAAACATGGTGACGTGCGCCTTAACCTCGTCTCCCGCCTTGTCATTCGTGGCCCGCGCCCATCCCAGTCCGGGTGCCGGGAGGAACCGCATGTCCTGACCCTCGAGCTCGGTCGGGAGGGTGCAGAAGGTGCGATGTTTGGATCGGATAATCTTCTGGCTGAAAGAGGTCTTGGCTTGGTCGCCTTTCTCGACCAGCGAGCCGGCGCCTTGACCCAGGCATGTAAAGAAGTTCGTGCAGCCAATCCCGCGCTCCTCGTGCACCTGGGACAGAAGGACCAGGCGCTGGCGCAACTCAGCCGGCCGTGCCAGACACCCGACGAATGCGAGATGGGAGGACACCCATCCAAATCCATCGGTCAGGCGGTCGCGTTGAGAGTACATCGCAGCGGCCCCGCCTGCCGCCACGGCGCCCGCAGCCCCTGCAAACATCGCATATCGACCCCATCGCTGCCATGACGGCGTTGCGGCCGCATCGGCAGAGGGTGCATTGCTGCCGGACTGAGAGGGCAAAGCTTCTCTGCCGCGCTTAGCCTGGCTTGCACCTGCACCCTTCGATGAAGTATTGGCCCCTCCCAAGCCGAATATGCCCGCTACCTCGGAGATGGTATTGTATGCTGATGCTGCGTTCCTGTAGTGTCCTTCAGCACCGTACGACACCACTCCGGGCGCAATCCCTAGGAAGGGGGTATCGAAAGCAAGCACCCCCTGGATGTGTGGAAACATGAACGAGCCCGGCTCTATCGCAGGCGCATTTTCCGCCGTTCCCGAATCCACTAGAGGATCGGCGTGCTTGGGAGGGATCGGCTGTTCTGAGGCGACTAGAAGGAGCGTTTCGGCGGCGACGATGCCACCCATCGAGTGGCCAACGAGGAAGACATGGACGGACGGATCAACGGTAGGGGAGGCAGTTCGGTTCTCGACTTCCAGATCGATGACCTGGTTTTGAAGCCTACACGAGACCGAGTCAGTACCGACCTTGATAAGCCTGTGAATCGAAAACAAAGGAATGCCAATTCATGGAATTTTCAAAAGGAGCATACCATTCGCGGAATACGCTCACGCATTCTTTGAGATCCCCTCGGGTCTCGTATTTGGGGTATACCGCCGTGGCGACCTTCACGGAGGGGAGCGAGCGGCTGACCTGCGCGCGGAAATGCTCTGGGAAATCTCCGAATGTATCATCATCTCCCTATGAGTGATTGGTGCATGTTAGCCTGACTGATCGTGCCCATCGCACAGCTCCACGAGCTTCCTGGAATCAACCAACGTGAGGGGATTGCCATGAACCTGAACTAGTATCATACTAGCATGAACATGGGGAGAGCCTACCTTGAAGCCGTGGATGTAAACAATCAGAAGCGTTTTTCTCATTTTCAGACACCGACTGGATCTCGAAGTTCCATTTCGCGATGGACAGACAGTCTGGACGGTCTGGACAGTCGGTCTTGGGGAGACGAAAGGAACCGATGGCGCTGCGGCCCGATTCGGAACGCCTTACGTCACTGACACGTGACCCTTCTCGGCATGTGACCGTGGCCTCAGAAATGAGGAATCCAGAATCAAGATCGTGGCAAACACATTACTCCGATTACTCTGTGGGTCAGAGCACTCCAGCTCCAGAGCAAAAGAGGCTCGGAATCAAGGCTAGCATTCTGGTATCTTCGTTTATGTAGGAAAGTAGATCATATCCAAAAGAACAGCCTAGAACGATGTATCCAAAAACAAGATAGACATGAACAGGCCATATCTATAGTGGTATGTATGTGTATAGATGGGGAATACAAGATAAAAACATGATCGCTCGTGATAAACAATGCCATCCAGATAGCGCCTGACAGGGGGAAACAAAAGAAAAAACAAGAAATCCTCAATCCCTTTTCGCGCCCTTCTCCATGAAACAGAACCGAAAGGGCATAATGAACCAGGACATAGACACATAGACGGTATCCCCTCCCTCCAGGCCTCCTGAAAATCTAACATACAGCGCTATTGTAAGAAATCCATCCAAAATGTACCGAGTGTATCCCCGAGTTTATATTCAACTCCCAGTGCCACACCATGTTTTGAAAAACAACAAACAGATCCGAAGCAGTAACCGATAGTATCATTAATCGTGAATCCTTGAGTCGACCCGTTCAACCAAGTAAGCTGATTAAGTGGCTGACTGGTCCAGACGGACCCATTCTCGGGGAACGTCCATGCTGCGATTTACTCGCCCGCCGGGAGTCAAAGGCACATCGACCCGTCCGCGACCTCGTTCGTCGTCGGCGGTGTCTTCGTAGGTTGACAGCCGCGAGAAATAATCCTCGAGGATCGTCTCGCGGTCGTTGTCCCCGACGATGGTGGTGTACTCCGGAGGCGGCGTCACCAGCGGCGGCGGCGGAGGAATGTCTTCGAAAGCGGGAGGTGCAAAAGAAGGAGCTCGCAGGAGATGCATGGGCCGTGGTGCCGGTTCGGGTTCAGGCCTCCGTTCGTCCGGTTCGTGGGCAAGATGCGCCTGGGGAGGTCGAGCCAAGCCACCCGAGCCACTTGTGAAACTCCGCGAGACAGCCCGGCCGGTTGGCGGCTCCTCTCGGTCCTCCTGCGAGCGCGCAAGGCTGCTAGAGCTGTCTCTAGATACGATGGGCGCGCCGGGGCACCCGCACTCGTATTCCATTGCTTGGGGCACCGGGTCCGAGTTGGGTGACGTGTACGCCGGCAGGTAGATGTTAGCCTGGGTGGCCTTGCAGGAGAGAAGATGGAACGGAGAGTCGATGGAAATCTCGAAATGCCGACGCTTGTTAGGGTCTCTTTCATCCGGCTTGGAGAGACGCAAAACGATCTGAAAACAAAGACCAGGTCAGTTTCAGATCTCACAAAACTAGGGTTCTGGGATAGAAAGAAATCATCATACCTTGATCCAGTGGTTGATCTGGATATTTTCATAGGTGGTGTCAAAATGCAACCGCTGGGACTCTTCCCGGTTCCTCATCTCATGGCAGCTGGGCAGCTGGACATTGAACTCCATCTCGGTCGGCCCAACGCCGGCATCGGTCGAGAGATCTCCGAGAAGGTTGGTTCGATTTCGATCCACGACTTCCTCCCCTCTAGCGGCAGCCGCACGATGGTCGTAGGCAATGCCACCGCCCGACATGACTCGCATCGAACTTCCGGGATACGTGCTGGAACTGATGGAATCGGCTCGCTTCTCAAACAAAAGCACCTTCTTAGCCGGCGCGAACCGGTGAACAGACTTGTCTGAAGTCCAGTGCTGAGTGTTTTCGGTCACGTAAACTTTGATCCGGTGACATTCCACTTTGGCCAAGGGAGTCAGTTTGAACGCAATGGGAACCTGGGTGCCTAGAGGGAAAGATTTTCCGGAGATCACAATATCATAGTGCAGCTGGTCTTCCCAATTGCGAGAAATAGCGATCGGCTCAACCTGCTCCAGCGAGCCTTCCGCCGGGGTGCGAATCACAGGCACCTCCAAGTTGCCCAGCAGGTTAGGGCGGAATGCACCGGAGCGTTCGACAATGGCCTCGAGATCATACCGAACAAACCCCAGATCCGTTTTTATGGTCTCCGGAAGGGACCCGTCGATCGGGAATTCGAAACTGTACAAGTAATCCCCCACCGGGAACAAGCGATAGTTGCGCTGCGGAGCGGGCGGAACGATGGGAGGGTCGTTTTTGCCGAAACTGCGCGACTGGTTGGATTGCAGCGAGAGTCGCTTGAGCTCTCGGCTTGTCGCCTGTCCGGTCTGCAGCGAGACCGACGATCCACTCTTGGAGAAGATCTCGCGAGTGACCGCGGTTGGGCCATCCTTGCCCGCGACGGAGGTGATCGGCTTCGCATGTTGGTAAAAGTGAGCACCGTAGTCATTCTGCATCAAGGCAGTATCGCCATGGTTGAAGTACATGACTCCGTGAGTGACCAGATCTTTCTTGTCATGGAAGTGGATTTTCCGGGGTGGAATGCCTATGGAGACGACAAATTAGCATGCACAGTATAACATATACGATAATCATGTATGAACGTACCATCGGGCCAGTCGGTCTGCGCCTGACCACGGAAGCAAATCGAGATCTTCTTGATCTTCACACTCTTGGTGACCTTGAGATGCAATTGCCCGCGCAGGATGGCAGACTTTTTGGTGCTGGGATCATTCTGATCGTAGCCCTGGAGGTATAGGACGGGCTCTGTCAGAGCGATTCCCACCGAAATACCACTGCCAGACGCCACAATCTTTTCGTTTCTCAGCGTCGGGAAGGGTACCGCGGGATCCGAAGAAGCCGCGTTGGTATGAGTCGAAGCCGAAGAGGAATGGGAGACGGATGCCGTCGGCGAGGAGCCGGCGCGCATTCTCCCCGTGGCTAGATTCGGAGCGGCGAGCATTTGTGCATCGTCCGGCGAGAGCACAATCTCGGAGACAGGACGTGGACGGCGAGTTCGTTGCATGGGGCGGATGGGTGGCGAAGACGGAGAAGGCGAGTGAATGGGGGCCCCCAAGCGGAGCAGGCGCTTTGCGTTCTCCCGTGGTCCCGCCAGCTTTCTAAATATCGAGCCCCGCCAATTGTTGCCGGGTTTAGCAAATTGTTCCGCTTCGATCTCGGCGCCAATGTTCGCCCCAACTGAACGACGGTCGGTTCGCGAACTGGATGAGCTGGAGAATAAAGATAGAGACTCGGGAGGCGCGCAAGGCAGCTGGACAGCAGGACTCGTCGTCACGGATCTCGACAGGTCCTGCGGTAAGGGAGAAGAAATGTGAGCGGTGGTCATCGTGCGCAAGGCCGAATCCGGAGCATAATTTGTACTGCAGGAAGGAGAAAAAAGGGAGAACAAAGTGCAGTCCAACCGATTGCCTTTTGTATGCGAGGGAAAGGGAAAAATAGAAAGGGAAAAAAAAAAGGGAAAAAACAAAGGGTCGCAGAAAAAATTAACTAGAATAAAGACAGGAAAGAAGAAAAATAGAAAAGAAGAAAAAGCTTAAAAAAAAATACAAATTAAAAAAATAAAAGAAAATAAAACAACAGGATAAAAACAGAAGACCCGGAGTGGGGAGAAGGGAAGAAGTGAAACGGAGATCTGAAACCACAGACCGGTTGCTCGGAGAGAGTGCGCAAGAGAGATGGGGAAGAAGAGGACGAGAAAGAGGACAGGCCGATAGAAAAGAGCGAAAAGAAGGTGAACGAGCAACGCAACGCAACGCAACGCATGGGAAATCCAAATGTGCAAGTGACTTACCCCGTACTTGGCGGCTTGAGATCCCAGCTACTTGGGATATAGCGATAATTGATTACGACGATGCCGGGATTTTCTTTTTTCTCTTTTCTGTTTTGCTTTTTTGCTTTTTCTGTCGGTGCCGCGTTGGGCAGATGATCGACGGTCCAACGCAAGGAGCAGCTCAGACCGATGTGGCGGACGAGGGTTGCAGACCGAGTCGTGCAAGAGTAAACGACGGCGTGAGATGGGCAGAAGAGAAGGGCGACAGTGAGCGACGACAGTGGCGGGGATGCAATTGGCAAGCAAACAGGGAATGGCCAGAAGGGCCCATGGATTGCGGGGAGGACGAGAAAAAAAAGGGCTTCAGACAACCGGAATGTCTCGACTTGCAAATGACCGAAGAAAAGTGGATGCCCGCGGATGACGGCGGCGACACGACGAGAAGTGAGGCGGTGCGTTAAGTTTCTTGGGCGCAAACGAGAGCGAGGGAAAGCGAGAGACGGCAGGAGATGGAAAGAGGAACAGAGAAGAGAAGAAGATGAAGAAGACTGGAGGAACCGGAGAAAAGACGATGATGACGCAGAGGTTCATCCCATCCGGCGATCCGTGGGCTGCAATTTTGGGGGGAAAGGATTTATTCTACTTATGACAGTTCTGATGATTTATTACTATTATTATAGTTAAGGTATTCCAGCGATTTGGCTTTTCTTGTTGAGAAACAGGTTTGCAGAACAGCCACCAACCCTACTTCTGACTATCGCCACGAGCATCATTCGTAGAATATTCCCCCCGTTTCAACTTCCTCCCCAGTGGTGGTTCCTACCGTCCTTCATAACATGGCCTCTCCACCGACAATCCTCGCCATGACTCTGGGCCATGTGATGGCGGTGCATGCGCACACCTCCTCGTCGGTACATGTCCTGACAGCAGACACTCTCCAGTCTACACAGCCCGTCATCCTCGACGGATTAACCCGTTAAGGCTGTTAGTACCGTGAGCGACTCCCCTAGTTCTAGAGAGGCCCAAGTCCCTAAACCAACTTAGCGCCCGTCAACTAGTTGGCTCCGTGTGACGTCGGATCTTCCGCTGGTGCCGAGCGAGTCGAGGCGTGAGACTGGAGGCAGCTAGAATCTGAGGATCGAGCGCCTCGTCCAGAATAATCATTGAAGCAGCAGGACTGGAGGCGGATACTCCGGCACGCTCTTCCTCGCCGATTCAAGCCCGAGTTTGTTCCTTGACCGCAAGAGAAAGGGAGCCAGTCTCGCAGACCCCAAGGCAAGGTCGCGCGACGACTCGTCTGGCTAATTTTTCCAGTCCCCAATCCCACCCCCCGACCATCCCTCTCACGGGCTTAGTGTGCGGGGATCCGTTTGTCTAGTGTCGGCCTTGTGATGCTCGCCTAGAAAGTGGTGATATCATAGACGGCCCGGCAAAAGTACCCGCTGATGGTCTTGCTCTGCGTCGTGGTTCCAAGAAAAAGAAATTGAAGGATCGACCATCCTTATCTTAAATTCCTTGGGAGGAACGGTGAAAATCAAAGTTAAACTTCCGGGTTTGGATCCCAGACAGCAATGAATAAAGATCAAAGAACCTTCCTTGTTCCTTTCCGGGGCTCCATCTGGGCTGATCCGGTGGGTGCAGAATTGGCGACCAGTTACTACTCCGGAGGAGGGACGCGCAATAGTGACTTCCCCGTCTTACCTGATAATCAGGAGATGGGACGATTTGGATCCGCCGGCAGCTCTGGACCGATCTGGTTTTGAAGATGGCGTTGAGGCCAAAATCGCGCAGGACGGAGCGATGAGGTCATCGGCCGCTTCTCCGAATTTGGTACCTGATGGCAGCCTGACCGTTGAGGCGGTCGACCGGCCGCCTGAAGAACCCCATCTTACGCTGTAGAAGACTAGATCCATATCGAGATTCAGAAACATCGCTACCCCTTAATTTAAAGCTCTTGTCGTTGGCTCCCAATGGTTTGTAAGGCACCATGCAGAACATTTCTAGAACGCTTGCAGCCTGTTCCCACCACTAGTCCTAACTCTAGTATGTAGAAGCATCTCGGGTATGATCGACCGCAGCCGCATTCCCTTCCCCGGCATTCCAGGTCGAGTTAATCGGCATAAAGTTGAAGAAGTATCAGATTGACAGCTTAGCCCTCCCTTCCCTCACACCCATCCTCGTCGGGAGGAGGCATTTCCCCGATCCACTCCCTTGCCTTGCGTCATTTGCGGACTCAGGTCCCGAGGGTCCCTTGCATCAAACACGTCTTTGGGGCCTGGGCATCTGTCCCATCTGTCTGCATCGGGCTGGCAAGGTCTTCTAGAGATGGGTCCCATCGTGGTGCTGAATGGATGGTTGATTGGTGGGGAATTGATTGGCGGATCCGTCAGAACAACCTTTCCCACATTCGAGCTGCTTATCAAGGAGCCGCAATAACGTCAACTCGGTCCGAAACGGCCCCCTCTATTAATTTCTGAATGCGTATATACCTTCTGCGGCCTCCCACCATCCATAGAGTGCAAATCAAGTAAACCAGTTATCGTCAATCTCGTTGATGTTCATCAGTCCATCCCCTTCCAGCAGACCGGGGTCCCCACCTCCCTCGCCCCCAAAGTTCTCGCTTTCCATAAACAGATCGTCGAAGCTGGATTCTCCAGGCACCATCATGTCGTCCGTACCGCCACCGAACATGCCATCTTGAGCGCTGTTGGTGCCCGAAAGTGCCTCGGCCTTTTGTAATTCCAGGTCGAACGCGTCCCCGCCCGCTGGGAGGTTGGCATTCTGGTTATCGGTTCCGGGCAAGTCGGTCGTTTCGTTGCCAGGGAGATTATTTCCTTTCCCCTGGTCGGTGACGCCAGCATTCGTACTGTCGATATTGGATCCGGCGAGGAAGTTGTCGTTTCCAAGGTCATCGTCCCCGAAATCCAAGTTAAGATCAAATTCATTCGCCCCGCCCCCGGAATCATCCAGCACGGAGTCGAAGTTGATCTCTGTAGGGATGTTTTGGTCTGGAGCTGCAGATTTCGGCTCATCGGGCTTCTCTGTTTTGACGGGAGTTTGAGTCGGGGCCGGTTGGGAGACTTCTGCGCTCGACTGTGGTTGTGCCGAAGCGTCGTTCGGTGCCGGTTTGGTTTCAGTCTGGTTTTCACCCACTGCAGATTCTTGGGGCTGTGGCGCAACCTCCGGCTCTTGCTTGACGACTGGTTCTTTCATAACAACATCCTCGATGGGTTTTTGGAGGGCAGCTTTTCTAACCTTGACTACATCGTAATCCCTCTCCAGAAACGCTTTGGCGATAAACTATGATAGGTTAGTATCGACGGTGGCATTGCAAGGGGCCCCTTGATGCAATTTCTGCTGCAGGACTACCTACTATTTGTTCAGACAGGTTGTCCAGCGCGGACTGAAACTGCTCCTGAGCAGCGGGAATAGCCCGTTTCAGCTGGGCGCTGGACTGCGACGAGCCTCTGGAGTTGAAGAACCGCCCAGCTTCAATCAACTGCGAGGGTTAGAGAACTGATTGGACGAAATCCTGCTGCTGGCGGAGATCATTTACCGTTTGATTCATTGTCGTCGTTAGAACATCCAGAGACTCCGGGTTTGAATAATCGGAAGTACCCATTGTCCAGGATACGGCTGATGGAGCGATGCAAACGCGCGGATGCAGCTCCTGGGTGGGAGGCGAACAAGGAGAACCAACCAATGGAAGCCGAGAGGGCTAGCGACGCAGGCAAGGTGGTGTTGAAACGTGGTAAGCGCTGGGCATGCAAACGACAGGCTCGCAAGGCACTACGACAGAGTCGCAGGGAGACAGGAGAGACTGACAGACAATAATCCATAAGCGCCCACCGCCGACGGACGAACAAAAAAGGGCCAGGCGGCGCTAACGCCAAGCGGACTAGCGTCCCCCACCGGCGGCGGCTCTTGACCATCCAAAGCCCAAAGTTCCAAACTCCTCGTTCTTTTCTCCATTCAATCTTTCCCGTCAAGTCAGATCCATCGCAGCTTTTCTCTTGTTCCCCTGTGTTTCCGTCTTGTTGATTGATTTCATTTCATTTCAGTTCCATTTCCATTTCATTTCCTTCCGCTTTCTTTCTTCTCGTCGCTCCCCCCCGTCACTTTTGTGTTTCCTCTCGCAGGTGTTAACATTTCAGTGCTTGGGTGTTTCCTCTATTCGTCCCGTTGTCTTTCGTCACCTTTCGTCGATTCTTCGTGTTCTTTCGACCTCGTCCACCTCCGTTTGTGATTGTTGGGGTCGTGACAGCAACTGTTTGAGTCGCCTGAGTCCTAGCGCTTTTTTTAATCACCAAAGCTACCATTTCTTCACCGTTTGTCTTCTATTTTTTTTCTTCCTCTTCTACTTTTTCCTTTTCTGTCTTTTTCCCCTCGTCGCGGTCGTTCTAAACGACGGTTAATATTGAGCTTTATTGTATGATCTACCACCTCTTCTTTTCTTTTCTTTGTTTTTCTCTTCCTCTTTTTTTTTTTTGTCCTGATCCCCGCGTCACTTTCCGCCTTTCGACTTCAGCCAATTCTGTGACTGCGTAACGCCCTGCATCGTCCCGTCCCTCCCCCCAAAAAAATAATTGTCATATTTACCCCGAAGCACCCGTCAGAAATCGTCTCCAGCATCTATTGACCTGTCCGTTCAATCATTTCAGTGATCAGTTTTTTTCTTCTCTTCTTGTGTATACTGCAGCTTGTGCTCTTTCGACAATGGCCGACAACGTGCCCGCCTCGACCTCTTCTACCCTCCCACCTCCGCAGCCTTCGACTGCTGCTTCAGGCCAGCAGTACGATGCGTCTCAGGGCAATGGTCAGGCCAATCCCTCCCACATGCCCCCTCCTCCTCGTCCGCCCGTTGTGATTCCCCAGAATACCAACCCGATTCCAACAGCTATCACCTCTCCAATGTCTGGAAACATGATGTCCCCGACCAGCGCGGGTGGATTTGTTCGTCGGGCTGCCCCCGAACCAAACAAACGGGCTCTGTACGTCGGCGGTCTCGACCACAGGGTCACCGAGGATATCCTGAAACAAATCTTCGAGACCACCGGCCATGTCATCAGCGTCAAGATCATCCCCGACAAGAACGTGAGTATAACATTGACTGTGGCCTTCGGAAGCGTTCCCCCTCGGCTGAAGGCTGACCTGGTTTTCTTTTTCGTGCTGACTCCCACAGAAGTTTAACAGCAAAGGATACAACTACGGCTTTGTTGAATTCGACGACCCCGGCGCCGCTGAGAGAGCCATGCAGACTCTCAACGGGCGCCGCATCCACCAGTCGGTATGCGAGCGCGATATGGTTCTTCGTTTACTTTCCCAGGAGGAAGCTGTTCTGATCGCTGTTAACAGGAAATCCGGGTCAACTGGGCCTACCAGTCCACCACCATGACTAAGGAGGATACTTCGAACCACTTCCACATCTTTGTTGGCGATTTGAGCAACGAGGTCAACGACGACGTCCTTCTCCAGGCCTTCTCTGCGTTTGGCTCCGTTTCCGAGGCTCGGGTCATGTGGGACATGAAGACCGGTCGCTCTCGCGGCTACGGTTTCGTCGCTTTCCGCGATCGTTCCGACGCCGATAAGGCTTTGGGATCGATGGATGGTGAATGGCTTGGTTCTCGTGCGATCCGCTGCAACTGGGCCAACCAAAAGGGACAGCCTTCCATCTCTCAGCAGCAGGCCATGGCAGCCATGGGCATGACTCCGACCACGCCTTTCGGCCATCATCATTTCCCCACCCATGGCATCCAGAGCTACGACATGGTCGTCCAGCAAACCCCTCAGTGGCAGACCACGTGCTACGTGGGCAACCTGACCCCTTACACCACGCAGAACGATCTTGTCCCGCTTTTCCAGAACTTCGGCTACGTCCTCGAGACCCGTCTTCAGGCGGACCGTGGCTTTGCATTCATCAAAATGGACAGTCACGAAAACGCTGCCATGGCCATCTGCCAACTGAACGGGTACAACGTCAATGGCCGCCCCTTGAAGTGCAGTGTACGTTCTCAAGCCTCCCCCTACCCTCCCCCCCCCTTTTTTGTTTGTACTCGTGTCACTAATGGAGCCCTACAGTGGGGTAAGGATCGCCCCCCCACCGGTCAGTTTGACAACTTCTCCGGTCAGCAGGGCAACTCTCCCTTCAACAACAGCCCTCAGCCGTTTTTCCCCCAGTATGGCGGCCCGGGCGCTCCCATGACTCCTCAAGGTAAATTATCCTTTTCCCGGGTCCCTTTTTCTTCGGCCATGGGCTTGTCTAATTCGTCCGACTTCTAGGTCCGAACCCAGCTGGAAGGGGTTGGGACCAGGCTGGAATGGCCGGTCAAGGCTACGGCCAAGTGCCAGCAAACGCCGGGTACGGCCGCGGACAGGCTACCCCTAATTCTGGCTGGAACCAGGCAAACAACGCCAATTTTGGCAACGGCTTCGGAAACTATCAAGCTTAGGTCGTTTCCCGATGGACATTCGCTACACGGCGCACCTTGCCCTCCCCGCCTCACCTTGGATCGTGGAGTGTGAGTTCAGTCATCTACGGCAGCAACAGTGATGAAGAAGCCTTTCCCTTCTCTTTCCTCCCTCCCTTTCTCTCTCCTTTTCCTACTCTCTCCCCCTTTAATATTTCCTTATCTTCACATCTTCCAGTTATCATTCTCTTTCGTATCTCTTACTCCTGTTTCTTTCTTATGATTGCCTTAAGTGAATTTCTTTTTCTAAGCGCATCTCCCCATTCTCCAATGCTTTCTTTCTTGAAATGAAATTTTTGTGTGTTATCGTACACCCAATACCCCAAGTCCATCTTGTTGTCAACCTTTCTATGCTCTTTTCCTTCAAGTGTGCGCAACTTTGATCAAGAGCTTCTTGGACTTCCGATTCAAGCGTTCTGCCGGAATTAACTAAAAGTTTTCGTTCGCTTCTGAACCCGCATTTTGGATCATTATTTGGGAAATTGCTTGCTCCCAAGTCTGTATCGTATCTTTCTAAGTTTGTATGCGTGGCCTGTTCTGCGATTTGTTCCGTCGCCTGCGGCGCGAGACCAACATCTGTACCGGGCCTCCTTTGTCTGATAGCGCTCTTTTTTCTCTGTTCATCTTCCCAGACAACGTCGATCAACCAGATCAACTCGTTTGATTTCTGCTTCCCAGTATCTTCTTTTTCTTTTATGATACCAAGTCATCTGCGACTTCATGTTCTGGCGTTTCGGACAATATACCTATTTGCTTCTACCATACTTTTGGAATGTCGCCCGAGCGGTTTATCTTGAGTAGCATTCGTTAGCCTTGAATGGTGTATTCAGCAGAACTCGAGACTACGGAGTAGAGGCAGACACTCCACGATGTACTCCGGAGTAGCAGCGGCAGGAACGGTCCAATGGCGACGGTGCGGAGAAGGAGTCTAGAAGGCGGCAGTCCCGAAAGGGCGCCACCGCCTTGGCTTTTGGTCGCCAACTAAGATCGCACCTAAACTCTTTGACCTCCCCCTTCCTGTCGCTCTCGTGTCGATTTTAGCTGATGGGTTTCCGACCCGAAAATCCAGGGACGACGGCGCAATCCTGATAGTGGACCTTCGGATGTGGGCATGCTAACGGCCAGCTGCGCTAGCCGTGCCCATTGCCGCCAATGGACGATGCTAGCGACGGTAAAAGCGTGGCTCTGTCATCGCTAGGCGATGACGATCAACTCGCAGGCCGGACTCGCTCCGGGAGCGCCAGCAGTGGACACAAACGCAGCTCCTCCGGCTCTTTACTTTCCAAGCTCTCCTTTCTGCGGATGATCCAGGCCACCCAGAACACCCCCGAGAGAAGCCATTCGGGCCTCGACCGACCCGATGGCGACGATTTCGGCGCCAGCTTACGGGGCGGCAGCAGGGCCATGTCGAGTGCCTTGCAACATCGGCGAACGCGGAGACGGAGGGGCTCGCTGAGAAAGGCAGCCTTACTGAGCACGAGACTCGACTTTCGCGACAAAAAGACCAATAGAGCCCCGGTCGACGTCTTACGTGCAGACGAACCCTCCGAGCAGCACCACCGACCACAGCACCCGCATCTTTTCCCTCCGCATACACCTCCGTCGCTCCCTTCAAACTCCACGACGCCATTGCGACCGTTGGCCTCGCCCATTTCCCCCGAGCACGAAATCACTCCTCATGAACCCTCGTACCGGGAGGCAACCAATTCGGGAGAGAATTCGGAATGGAACATGATGAATGCGCCCCAACGATCCCTCTCCACCTCCTCCCCTTCCGCTCCGCGACACCAGCAGAATCCCTCGAAAGACAGCCTAGGCGAGATCACCACCGATGAGGAGGATATCATGTCGTTCCCCCGAGTCAAAAATACCAACGCGGCCGTTGCTGCCGCCGCGGGGTTACATCTTCCGGCTGCGTCACCGAGCTCGGATTCATACTATGCGCTCCAGGCGGACCCGAAATACCGGGCCATGCACCGGGCGAAATCGCCTCTCGCAACGCATCCAGCGGACATGACGACCAGCCAGGAGATGGTGTGGGACTACTCGGAGACGGAGTGGTGGGGCTGGATTATCTTGATCGTGACGTGGCTCGTTTTTGTGGTCGGGATGGGAAGCTGCTTTAGCGTCTGGAGTTGGGCGTGGGATGTAGGCGAGACTCCGTATGCGCCTCCGGAGCTGGAGGATGATCCCACCCTGCCTATCGTGGGGTATTATCCTGCTCTGATCATCCTAACGGCGGTCATGTCCTGGGTGTGGGTGATCATTGCGTGGGTAGGGATGAAGTATTTCAAACATGCGAATATATCTGGGGAAGATATATGAATGTGGTGATTTCATCTGCCGAAATGCTTTCTTTTTGCGTTTCATTCCTATGCACATGCCTTTGGCTCCACTATCCGATAGATGTAATTTCTAATGCAAATCCACAGAAGCCCCCGTGAGAAGGCTATATTAAATGAAATATCTCCATATTCCACCCAAATCAGAAAGGGAAAGAAACGATATAACCCCAAGATAACTCCATATTTCCCGACTCCGATATCAACCCGTACATCTAACCGCTGCCCTATATGATTCAGTTCGTATATCTCCCCATTAATGTGATACAGCACATTGGTTCGCGCATGCTATTCGGTGTTGCGCCATCTGCGCACTGAGGTCGTCAGGCCCCCAATTTTGCGCGCTCGCAGCCGGCGCTGGCAATTCGGGCTCTGCTGCTCTGGTAGAACCATCGACGTTCTTTGGGTGCACCGTTGTTCCCGGTGCGGTGCTCACGAGACCCTTGGACACGGCGTAGCAGGAGGAGCGGTCGTGGTTCAAGTCCTCGCTGTAGAACTCATCCAAGATGGGATGCAGAAGTACCGTTTGCTTGTGAATCGTGACAATCGAGTTCGCCGGGACCGAGACCCAGTTATCTAAGAGCACGAGGGTTAGCGAATATTCAAGATCATCGGAATCCACCGCCATCAAATCTCCAAGGGGGAAAACAAGGGAAGAATAGAAAAAGGCCATCTCACGTCTCTCGAAAGTAATCGGCTCGCTTGCCACCAACACAATATCCGCACCCTTATCATGCCTCTCCATCTTGAAGTGCCCCTGATCCTTCCCCTCCTTCCACTTCGTCCCGGACGAAAAGTACAGACTCGCCGGCTCATCTGTCTTGCTACTGATGTACCGCGTACAAACCACTGTATGCCCATCCGTCACCGCAAAGTTCAGCAGACTGCGCGTCTCCACCCCGGACACATTATGCCGCTTGGGGATGTCGCGAATGAACTCGTTGATCTTCGCGATAGTCTTCACCATGACTTTCCGCAGCAGAGCTTGCCCAAACCCTTCCGGCCCGGGGTCACAGCTGGGATCGACGCCCTCCTTCTCCAGGAGGTCGAGGAACAGCGCGAAGGCCCACTCGCTGTCGGTGCCGCCCTTGACGCCCAGGTACCAGCGGTCCGCGAGCGAGTCGGCCAGCATGCGCTTGATGTAGTGCCAGCCGCCAATGCCGCCGTTGTGCATCCACATCAGCGTCTGGTGCTGGAAGGGGTGGCAGTTGTTGTCGGAGAGCGCGCCCTCCGTCGTGGCGCGCACGTGCGCGAAGATCAAGTCCGAGCACGTCTTCGACGCCAGCCGTTCCAGGTTCTCGCAGTTCCAGGCCGGCAGCGTCGACGTGAAGATGCACGGCTCAGGCCCGAGCTTGGGGTCGGTGTAGAAACCGACTCCGAAGCCATCGCCGTTGACGGGACGGCGGTTGTCCTTTTGGGGCGGTTAGATGGACATGATGCAATGGAACAAAGGATGCGCAGTAGGAATCTCACGAGTCTTAAACGAGAATCATACGATTGAGTCAGAATCGAGTGACTCGGTTCTGTGACTAGCTTGCTGAGACGGATCTCATGGCTGCCTTTGTATACCTAACGTGAAGGAGCGGTCAGATAGTTCCATGAATGACATCAATACCAGCATCAACATACCAGAAAGCGACACATAATGAACAATACAAAGCTCCAGTTCACGGAGCTAGTTTCGAGACCAGGCCGAAGACTTCCAACAACAGAGTTCTGGACCAGCAGAATTCAGACGCAAGAATAAGTAGAATATTGGTTTTCGGCGGCCGAAATCGCAAAGCTGATAAGAGAGTGACGGAGCTTCGTTTTTAGTTCTCCGCGATTGGAGGGCGCAACGGCCACAACGTTCAACCCAATTCAAGTCACCCCGATGGATGGCTTCGCGACGAGTTGATTGAAAGGAACGACGAGTTTCAGAAAATCAAAGAAAAGAAAAGTATTTGATCAGCCGCTGTTCGTCGCAGGCCGCGACAATGTCGCCATCTGACCACACGTGACTCACACCGACTCGCTACGGGCGGCGCAGCGGCCACTTGCGCAGGTCACGGGGTGTCCGCCTGAGGCAGCGATGACATTCGATTCGCTCCGCCTTTTTCTCTCCGGCATTCATCTTCATCCGCATCATCTTCCCACACCGTACCTTAACCTCCCAGGATCATTTCCCAGAGAGATTCCCGTGGCTGACTAGCCCGGGAGATGACCATCCCTTTCTCCCTGATTGATTTGCGGTGCATGACATCTCTAGAACCATGAGCGGGAGAATCCTCTCCCACCGTCTGGTTCCGCTGCTGCGGACGGGTCTTTTGGCCCGCCATCTTCACAACGCCGGTGCCAGGACTGGCGGTCTTCTACGGTCTGATGGAGGTGCTGCTCTCCGAGGCCGGGCCTGGCCCGTCGGCGCCAACTCGATTCACAATGTCCCCGCGGTGCGAAACATCTCGTTTGCCCGCATTCTCCCTAAATTGGCCATGAAGCTAGTCCGCGTGCCGGCCATGTTTGGAGGGGCTATGGTTGCCGGGTTGGCTTATTTTCAGTACCAGGCTACGCGTAGGTCTATCCCATCGGTTCCTTTCCGCTCGAGTCAAACTAATGATGGGGTTTTTGGTGTGTCACAGAGGCCGGTAATTATGCTATTGACGTTTTGAAGAGAGCGGGGGAAACGGCGAGCGATACGGCTTCGACCCTGTTCGTGGGAATTTCAGGTATGGCGGAGCAGACACAACGGGGCTGGCAAAAGACGAAAGAAGATGTGGAACTCCCGGAATGGTTACAGAAGATTCTTCGAGTCGATGAGGATTCACAGTCGGGCAACGGTGGTTCCTCAGGAGGAGGGGGCAAGCCTCCACAGGAAAGCAGGGCCGGACTCGGCGCCGCAGCTGCGACCGGAACTGCCTTTGGATACGATTCGGACGAGGAAGATATTCGAACTAGCAGAGAGGTTGCCGAGGATGACCAGATGATGCTTCTTACTCGGAAGATGATTGAGATTCGGAACATTTTGTCGTCGGTCGGGCAGTCCAACACGCTTACTCTGCCGTCGATTGTGGTCATTGGATCGCAGTCTTCTGGTAAAAGCTCTGTTCTGGAGGCCATCGTGGGGCATGAATTCTTGCCGAAAGGCTCAAACATGGTCACTCGTCGACCCATCGAGCTTACCTTGGTTAACACCCCGAATGCACAAGCCGAATATGGTGAATTCCCGGCCCTTGGGCTGGGGAAAGTTACCGACTTTTCTCAAATCCAGCGCACATTAACCGACCTTAATCTCGCTGTCCCGGAAAAGGACTGCGTCACCGACGACCCGATTCAACTCTCTATCTACTCTCCCAACGTTCCTGACCTCTCCCTTATCGACCTTCCCGGTTACATTCAAGTGGCCGGACAAGACCAGCCGCCGGAGCTGAAGCAGAAGATCTCCGACCTCTGCGACAAGTATATCCAGGCTCCAAATGTCATTCTGGCTATCTCTGCGGCAGATGTGGATCTCGCCAACTCGACAGCTCTACGAGCAAGCCGACGGGTGGATCCTCGCGGTGAGAGGACGATCGGTGTCATCACCAAGATGGATCTTGTTGACCCAGACCGTGGCGTCAACATTCTTTCGGACAAGAAATACCCTCTGCGCCTGGGATACGTGGGCGTGGTCTGTCGCATTCCTCAGACTACTGCTTTGTTCTCCAGAGGAAGTGGCAACATCACGAGCGCGATCCTGAAGAACGAGAATGCCTACTTTTCGGCCCACCCTCAGGAGTTCGGCTCCCAGTCCGACCTATCGATTGGTGTTACGACTCTGCGCAACAAACTGATGCATGTTCTCGAGCAGACTATGGCATCGAGCCTAGCAGGCACTAGGGATGCTATCAGTCAGGAGCTCGAGGAAGCGACGTACGAGTTCAAGGTGCAATATAACGACCGTCCCTTGAGCGCCGAGTCATATCTTGCCGAGAGCTTGGATAGCTTTAAACACTCCTTCAAAGCATTTGCCGAAAACTTCGGTCGGCCTCAGGTTCGCGAAATGCTGAAGAACGAATTGGACCAGCGGGTAATGGACATCTTGGCCCAGCGATACTGGAACAAACCCATTGACGACTTGGCTCCTATACTACCCGAGCTGGACCCTCTCAGTGACCTCCCCAAGGCGGACCTGGATTCCCAGTATTGGAACCGTAAGCTGGACGGGTCGACTTCTTCACTGACGAAACTTGGTATCGGAAGACTCGCCACGACGGTCGTCGCTAATGCAATCCAATCCCACGTTGACCGATTACTGGCCAACTCTACCTTTGCCTCCCACCCCTACGCTCAAAAGCAGATCGTGGATGCCTGCAATAGCATCTTGAATGACCGATTCTTCAGCACCAGTGATCAAGTCGAGAACTGCATCAAACCATACAAATTCGAGATTGAAGTTGAGGACCCGGAGTGGGTCAAGGGACGAGAGAATGTTAGCAAGGTGCTGAAGGATGAACTTCGAGCCTGTGAGGCCGCTATGCGGCGTGTCGAGGACAACGTCGGCAAGAGGAAGCTTAAGGATGTCATGGCATTTGTGGACAAGGTCCGCAAGGGTGAATTCCTCCTGGAAGGTGACGTTGCCAGCACTGCTGGTGCTGGCGGATTCAGTGCCGCCCTCTTAGCTACCGGTATTGTCCCCTTTGCTTCCCTTCCTCTACCCTACCCAAGCTAATCTGTATCTTTCAGGCCGCGAAAGCGTCTTCCTCCGAGATCGCGCCGATCTCCTCAAGATGCGCCTGCTCGCCATCCGCTCCAAGCAGTGCGCCTCCAAGAAGAACAAATACTACTGCCCTGAGGTCTTCCTCGACGTCGTGGCCGACAAACTCACCTCGACCGCTGTCCTCTTCCTCAACGTCGAGCTCCTCTCCGAATTCTACTACAACTTCCCCCGTGAACTAGACATGCGTCTCGGCCGCCACCTCTCCGACGCTGAGGTCGAACGGTTCGCGCGCGAAGACCCGCGCATCCGCAAGCATCTCGACGTGATCAAGAAGAAGGAGCTGCTCGAATTAGCCCTGCAAAAGATCGAAAGCATCCGACAGCTCGATGGACGCAGCAAGCACCGACGAACGGACCGTCCTTTGGCCACCAAGGAGTCGAGGAATCGCGGGTGGAATCTATTCTAATCAAGCTCGTCTCTTTCTACTCCTTGACCCCATTCGTTAGCCGTCCCTTCTCTGCTTTTCATGCATTGCATAACTACATATACTTCGTTCTCCCCTTCTCTACTACCTCTTCTCTCTTTTTCCTCATTCCCCTTTTATCTCCTTGCGATCAGCGTCTATCCTTCCCCCCCTTCTTTCTCCTGTATACCAAATGTCTCAAAACTCTAGGGAATTGTTTATAGTTCAACAAGATCAGGATAGGCGTTTATCCACTCACAACAGCGATTGCTTTCCTTCTACTTCTCCTTCTCCTGCTTCTTTCTTTTCACCTTTTACCTCTCCCGGTATTATTAATCGTTAGATCGTGGCCCAATAGGATCTGTTGGTTATTTTCTGAATCAGAATGACTGGGCACCTACCTAAGTAGTTCCGGTAATGGGTCCACCATCCGTCCATTCGTCTAGCTCGGAATTGTAATTGTAATTGTCTCGATGGAGGTAATCCGCAGGCAGAGTGGAGTAGGATAAAAACATTGAAACGAACACTAGTGGTAAACAAAGAATTAAATAAAATAGAGTATAAATAGTAAGTATAAATAGTAAGTAATAAGAAGATATCAAATCCAACCAATCGACCAAACACCAACAAGAGCAGGGATTGAAATTTAAAAAATGAAAATAAAAATGAAGAGATAAAAATAACAAAAAAGATAATAATAATTAAGGCCTTCCGAACTAAAGACCAAAACAAAAACCAATCTAACGAGGAAAAGTCTAAACGCAAAAAAAAAAGAAAAGAAAACCCCGGTCTATCTAATCCATACACACACATACACACAAAGAAAAGAGAACTAGTAAAAACAGACACAAGCAGAGAGAAAAGAACGACAAAGAAATGGAATTCAAAGAACAAGCCGACTGAGTTCAAAAGAAATGCACGCTTTTTGTTGTCTCTCGAAGGATGATCCAACCGTCTCGAACACGAGAGGGCTCGAGTATACAAATCCCTGTCCCGATGTTTGTCTGTTCTCGGTTTGGAAGAAAGCGACGGAGAACCAAATCACCAATAAGCAAGATAATCAAATCAATCAATCAGAGGGAAGAAAGCCCGTCTCGATGGATATAGAACAGAAAAAGAAAAAAGAAAATCAAAGGATAGAGAGTGATTGAGGTAAAGGTGGTAGTCATGTAAACGGCGTCAAGTAGAATAGGTTCAAGGTGAGAAAGAAAGATGAAAAATACAACAATCAACAGGTGAAAGGGTAAAAAGAAATGAAACAGAAAAGCTCTCGCTCCGAATATTCATAGACATCGCATCGCATATCTTGCTGGTGGTGGTACAAGGATTCCGCATTCTATCCAATATTGGGAATCATCTCTTTACTCCCGAGACACGTCACGGCCGAACAGCTTGGCCTTGATCCAGTCGACAGCGACCAGGACACGGTTGCGGTCTAGAGATCAAAGTTAGATAAACAATCAGTAAGCTAGTGGGCAAAGAGGCAACTTACTGCTGAAGCACATGCTCAGATAGGCACTGCGCCAGAAGAGGTAGGTCATGGTACCACCGCTTGCGATGTTGCCGCTCAGCCAGCTGATGTCCGCAACCGCACGCTCCTTTCCGATGTAGGCCAGACTTCCCTGGTGCGAGTACTGGAAGGGACCAATCTGCTTGGTTCTCCGCAGCTGGCGCTGGCGCTCACGGATCTCGTCGAAGACCTCGTTGCGGTCGTCACCCTTGGCCTCGGCCTGGGCCTCGGACAGGCGCTTCAGCTCCTGCTCAACAGACTCGGTCTTGGCCATGGTGTTGAACAGACGAGCCAGGAAGGCACCTTCCTGGCTGGCAACCTGGGCAGTGGGAGCGTAGTTGGTAATGGCGCAATCACCGACAGCCCAGACGTTCTCGGTTCCGTTGACAACCAGGTATTCGTTGACGGCGAGACCGCGACGCGAGTTCTTCTGGGCGGGCAGCTGGTTCATAAGGTCGCGAACGACGTTGCGGACGGCGTTACCGGTGGCCCAGACCAGCAGACCGTAGGGGATGGTCTCGATCTCCTTGGAGCCGTCGGGCTTGGTGACCTCGGCCTGGATGTACTTGTCGGTGACGTTCTTGACCATGGTCTTGGCGCGGATGGAGATAGCCTCCTCCTTGAAGGTCGACTCGGTGTAGTCAATGAGCTGCTTGGAGAACATGGGGAGCACGTTGGGGAGGGCCTCGACCAGGGTCACATGGAAGTGCTTCTGGATGTCGGGGATCCACTTCTTCAGGTCGTCCTCGAAGAAGTCCTGCAGCTCACCGGCGAATTCCACACCGGTAGGGCCACCACCGACGACAACCATGTGCAGCAGTCGCTTGACCTCCTCTTCGGTCTGATCCTTGAACATGGCGGTCTCAACGCAGTCCATGATGCGCTTACGGATCTTCTGGGCGTCGCCGACCTCCTTCAGGAAGCAGGAGTTCTCCTTGACACCCTTGATACCTATATGCCGGTGCGGTTAGTCGCGGGTTTACGATCGAACGAGGCGAATAGAGGGGTTCCCTACCGAAGGTCGCGTTCTCGGCACCGACACCAACGACCAGCATGTCGAAGGGCACCTCGGTGTGGGAGATGTCACCCTTGATCTCGGAGTCGTCGCTGATGTACACGACGCGCTTCTCGTAGTCGATCTTGGTGGCCTCGGCTTCGTAGAACTTCACGTTGGCCTGCTTCTGGCGCAGGATGTTGCGAATGGGCTCCATGATGGAGCGGTGCTCGATCAGACCGGTGGTACACGAGGGCAACAGCGGAGTGAAGAGGAAGTAGTTTCGGGGGGAGACGACGACGACATTGTAGTTCTCAGTGTCGAGTTTCTTGAGCAGAGAAACGGAACCCCATCCAGTACCTGAACGCGAACAAACAGTGGTTAGTAGGGGAATGTCGCGACTGAAACTGCGACCCAATCCGTCATCACACGGAAGCCAGCAGCCGGAAGGAAAGACAATCATTACGTACCCAGGATCACCAGGGTCTTCTTAGAAGGGTCAGGTTCGACCTGATCGATGGGGTGACGCAGCTCGTAGATGTTGTAGGCCAGGTTTCCGGTCAAGGCGAGACCGGTGAGCCAGGTCAAACGCCAGGTCCATCGCAGCCAGCGGAAGCCCTTCTTCTTGGGCTGGGGAGTGGGAGCGGCGTCGGCGTAGGTGCGACGAGATTGCCGGGCGAGACCGGATCGCACGGGGAATGCGGAGCGAAGGTTGGGTCGCGTCGAGAGCGACCTGCGCGACAGCGACGACAACTGCATGGTGGATGGAGATACCATCTTGGAGCGCATGGCCAGCGTACTTCCAACCATTGTCGGTTGATGGGGTCACCCAAGGGGGATTGGAGGGGAGAGTGTCGGAGGGTAAGGAAGGGAAAAGGGAAAGGAAAAAAAGAAAGAGAAAAAAAAAGGAAGGAGGTGAGTCAATTGACCAACGAAAGGGGAGTTCGGTCAATTGACGACGGAGATAATTCTAATTGTTTGGTGCCGGAGGGAAAAAAAAAAAAAAAAAAAAATGGAGATGACGATAGCGAAGGGACGGAGGCAGTTAAGCTGTTTTGGGCGAATCGGTGTGTTCTGGCTTTTCTGCCACTCGCCGTCGATGATTCTTCCGCGGTGGAGTCTTCTTGAAGGGACCGAATCCAAGGGATTTGGAGAATGAGGAGAGAACTCGTGAGGGGAGAAGACAATTCCTGAGGGAGGAAGTTTAAGCGCCGATGGAGACGCGTGAGGGGCTTTACCTCGAACTCCGTAGCTCCTCCGAAGTATGACAGTATGACTCTGACTCTTCCAGTTCCATGAAGCCGTCGCCTGCCAAGTGGATCCCGTGAAGGTGAGGAGAAGCTAGGGTTTTGAATCTTTTTCCAACTGAGCTACTCCGTACAGAGGACTGGCAGAGTGACAAGTAAACAGTTAGGGGTTCCGACTTAGCCCGAGCAGCTTCATAATCCCGAATATCTGAAATACTATGAAAATAATTAGGAATAGGATAGGAAAAGAAGGAATATGAATGTAAATCTCCAAATCCCCTCATCACTGCTGAGTCATCCTGCCCTACGGTCCCTCCCGATCCTGCCGGCTTCACCCGCATCGACGGAGCTCTGCACTTCATCCACTTCGTCCACCGACTACGCATTACGGAGTATGGCTCGATGGGAATCCGGGGAACCCAGTGAGCTCCACTCGGCCCTGCTGTTCGATTTTGCCCTTCTTGTCCTGTGTTTTCGTCCCTCCGACTCCGTTCATCCGCTGCGTAGAGAATGCCAAAGCTATAGCAACTGATATCACAGATTCGGACTATGTGCCGTCATAACAACTTAGTCATGGTTCAACTCATTGTGGTTGATGCAAGTCTCCGTGGGTTTAGTTGAGCCAATCTATTGGGTCTGTTATTGCCAATTATCGAGGTATTATTAGAGCTGCTACTTTATACTTAGTGGAAACAAGTAGAGAGTCTATCCGAATATATAACACCAGGCCAATGTCGAATTATACGTTCCCGAATTCCACAAAATGAACATACTCTTCTACCCAAATTCGAAGACACTTAGTACGAATAAGATTAAGAATCCATCTAATATAGTCACAATTCACAGAGCGAGAAGAGAACCAACAAGGCACAAAAGCAAGATCCTCATCAAATCCAACCACTCCGTCTACCAGGCTCGTCCAATCCAAGTATGTATTCTCTTATATACGTATTCTCAATATCAGGAGACATATTCTGTCAACCAACCAAGCATAAAACAGTTAATGGGTGAACCCCTGCGCAGATAACTTCAATAATTTAAACCTACAAAATGCTAACCAGCACCAAATAAAGACACACTCACCCAGCAATATATCTATCTACATATACACAGGTAGCATGCATATACCAAGTTCCCTTGAACTCGGGCTCTGGACAAACACTCAAGAATCTTCTCAGAGGCCAGAACCAGCACCGACGCATGCCCATGTCCATGCACACACAACGTCCGTGAATATATACACATGCCATGGCATCATCAAAGCAAGACACGCTGCACACCACCCACCCAATCATCCACAGAATACTTCACACTGACATAAGAAGCACATCCCCAGACACCTCAAAAGTCCTAATCCAACAACCCAAGCGCACCACGTAAACCCAACACCCAGGAACAATATGACGCATCACATCCACTAACACATCCACCCATCAATGCACAGCGCATACAATACATAATTACATATCCTCTGTACTTAGTCTGTACTCTGTCCTCCGAACCCAATTAAGCCCAATGAAACCCCTCCTCCCGCGCGTAAGAAGTACCATACATACATACAGACATACATAGGTACGCACGACGCTCCGAGCAAGAATCTGCCTCGTCAAAAATCCAAGCAAGCCAGCTGCCTTTCAGCCTTAAGTATATACTTACGCAGCGCTACATAAAACTATTGGGAGTGCGCAGATGCACGCTTGTTTGCCCAAGTGGCTTGACTACGGGCTTTGCTTGCTTGGATCTACGGGTCTAAGGGCGGGAAGTGATAGGTCAAGTTGGATTTTTTTTTTTCTTGGGTTCTGGGCTCATGGCTCATGGTTTCATTAACTACTGCGTATGTCTACTTATGTCTATATCCAGGTCAAGAGAATATGTATGGTAGGGAAAAAAGATAGGCGAGAGAATGCAGATTATCGATCTAACTAACGAAACAAACATCTCTTTCCAAGATTCAATAATGGCCAGATCATGCATACATACGCGGCAGATTCATCGAGAAGGGGCCGACAGAGCGGAACAAACTCGATCAGCGCCCCTATTCGATCAAATCGACGGGGCGGAAGATTTGACAAAAATAGCGTTGGGTGGCTTCGATTTGTCGTCCATACAAACAATAGCCGCGGACTCGATCAGCGCCATACAAACAGGTTTATGTCCCCCTCCTGAATGACGGAGTCGAGGCGGGCTTTTGGGATGCAGCTCCGGTGCAATAATATTGCACAGGATGAGTGCATATCATGTGTGGGCAGCAATGGGCAGCTTCAATATCCTAAGCAGGTATGTGGCATGTGAATGGGTACTCCGTACATACATATGCATCGTATTTTCTATCCGTCGTCGGCAACCCCGTGTTCCCTGTCCATGGCCGTCTGGATCTCAAGGGTTCCCTCGCTTTGCTCGACCTGCCGACCTACCTTGCGTACATACTCCGGTTCACCCCCGTTTCCTGTCGCAGTTAACATCTGGTCAATCTGCGTGAATGATGCGGTGCGGTTGGAATTCCTCCGGCTGTTACATCTCCCCAGCCCAGAACCAGACGCATCGCAATGTTGGTAGCTTGAGAGGGACCCGCGGATGTCCTCGTTCAAAAGTACCGGACCTACCTGACCATCCGGACCCAACATTCGGCTTTCATTTCGGTCTGGCCTGCCTGATCTTGACCTAACCTGACCTGATCCCGGCCTGAAGAGTGGAGTGGTCAAGGGACAAATCCAGTGTAAGGTGACACTCCGCATGTCCCTCTCCTCTTTCACATCGCCGATCTATAGCCGAATCCCCCGAGTTTACAGTAAAGTCACGGTACGATAAAGAAAGTCAACCGATTCCAGCCGCCCATGCAGCCCGCCGCCAATGACTCGTCGGACGACGGCAGCAATTCCCTCATTGTCCCCCGGTCCAAGGACTCGACTTTGCCATGCCATGCAAGTCTTCGTGACAATGGGCGACATGAGGAAGTGGATCTCGAAACACCTAGCGGAGTAGTGGTTGCGGTCGCATTTTAAGATCCTCCTCTTTGTGTGACCGAGCTCTGTGCAGAACTGCGCAATGCGATGGACGTAATGTACTTTTGGCCCTTGCGGGCGGCCGGCCATCATCCTACCGGCAGCATAAGGAAGGAAAAAGAAAAGTGCTGCCCATAAGCGCAGAAGTATCAACGTTGCTGCTCTGTATCACTTCACTGGGCGCAAGAAAGTTCGATACATAGATAAAGAAAGGGGACGGTCCAGGTCTTAGGCTGTCCGCCTGGCGATTTTCGACAGGACCGTCATTCTGGATTGTCTTGCCGGATCTATTTGAAATGTGTACAGCTGATCAGCGTTTGAAGACTGTAGGACGGTAAGCGACCATCATTATCCAACGTTGCCAGCGTACCATGGAATTGGTGATACCGAATTGCGCCCGCTTTGGCTGTTGTGTTTGCTGATGAAAGAGGTTGGATCAAGGATATCGAGATCCTGGACAACGCGCATGCTTTCTTCTTCGTTCTCTTCTTCTCCTTTGTGCGACCGCTTGGCCCGTCCAAGAAATCGACCTGTGCTATGATAAGCTGACGGAATGTTGGCGAGGCTGATGATCCTTCACCAGGAGGGGTTCTTGCGGCCTTTGTGTTGTACACAAAAAGACAAATATGTGGCTTGCAGACGATATCCAAGATTTATGCTAGAGCCGGATCCCCTGTCATCGGTTAATTGCAAAGATACCAAATTAACGATAATTGATCACCGCGTCGAGTAATTTCGACCTTCCGGATGGTTGGTCCAGGAGGTGTCACCGTTGAATGGTAGTATTGAAACGCAATAAGATGCAAGAGGTAGGCTATCAATGGGGAATGAAGGGTTCAATAGCCCCAACGTTATATTGTTCAAAACAGCCATGCTACACAGCCATCAATAAGGAATTTGTAATGGACGCAAGTTGGTCGGAAGCATCTATCACAAGGCAAGTCATTCTGCAATAGCAGGAGCGCCACCAAGCCCCTGGCGTGGCAAGGAGCCAAAGTACGAGCGGGTCGATACGAAAGCGTCCAGGAGTACGATGAAGAACGGACGGACGAAAGAAAGAAAGCACGCAGGCACGAGAGAGAGGGAAAGATAGAGAGAATGAAAGAAGGCCGTGATTGAAGGCCGCATCGGGAAACTCCTCGACCGCCGGCGCTAATCCCAATCGGGCCATATTGAAATTGGTCCCCCGCGCGCCTTTCGTTCAGACTCGTTTGGACCGCGGGGCTTGACGATGAGCGCTGTGAGAAGCTGCAGACTAAAGTTCCGGGTTCGCTGGCGTTGGCCGGCGGTCTTGAACCCAAATGGCTCGAGGACACTGGCTTGCTAGGGGGTCTACGCACCGCCAAATCACACAGGGCGGGTTTTTTGAGACAGGCCATGCAAACTACAAGCATGCATGCGTGTGACTGGAAAATGTGATCTCGTCTCTGGTCCCTACCAGAATGTGGCAAAGGCACAAGGCTGGCAACGAAAGCGAGAGCATGATGACCGTCGTGGTGACGACACCGTCGACGACGACGATGATGAATCATTTGAAGATGGCAGGATGCATACGGGTCGACGCTAGTTGGCTGTTGGATGATATTCATCAATACCTCACGGCTGTTGCGGTTTGTTTTTTGCTTTTTCGATATACCGGCCAGGGGAGGAGGCAAGTATCGACCATTGGAAGTCCTGGATAGAGTACAGAGTCGCTTCGCTTGGATCCCTGACCCGGCATTAGGGGGGTTTTTAGTGATTAGCAGCAGTTCCTGATTCCTCCCTGCCCCCCTT